TGTCTTTGCCCCTGGATGTGCTGCTCTCCATCGACGTTCCGGATAACTCATCGTGCCAATCGGAGTCTCGAAACAGCTCCCGATGGGTTCAATTTTGTCTCAGCTCCCCACTCCCTCTCCTCCATCCACCATACTATGTATACGGAGACCTCCCTCTACGATATACTGTACCCCCTTATATGTACCGTTCATCCGCCCCCCCTCTCCATCTTAGCTTCTCCAGCTTCCATTTCACCTTCTAGCACGACCCCCTAGTACCCTTCGAGCTTCGCACTTCCATCCCTGATTTCTTCCCAAATCCCACCACGATCGGCCCCCTCTCCACCACCACTCCTCCTCCTCCCACTTCCCCCCTTTGGAAAGTTGGCAATCGGCTCCTTTCCGGCCATCTGCATCGCGCATCGAATCAGCGGGCGTAGAACAGGTTCCAAGCTCCTGTAGTCAGCTTGGCTCCCCTGTCCGTCATCCTTCTCTGCTTCTTCCACTCAGGAACGTATTTCATGATCTGGTTCCTGACGCCCGTGCTCCCTTTCGTTGGTATGACACGTCACCGCCACTGGGGGCATCGGTAAACATAGGCGAGCTGGAGCTGGACTCCTGGAGGCGTTGGACGCCTCTGTGGCTGTTGCCTGCAGAGGAGGAGAATGCTATGGCGTACAGTAGTGCCGAGGAGTTATGATAGCATTCTAATATGATAATTCGTCTATAATTTGCACAAATAAATGTTACAGTAAGGACTGCATTCATACAAAAGGACTACCTAAACCTATGGAGGACTCGGAGGAAAGGCTAACTAACTTAGTTAGTTACAGTCCGGTGCTGACTACTAAACTACTGAGCAATTCCCTACAAACTTCAAAGTAATAACCACAAGCATAGATGCCCCCAGAAACTCCAGCAAAGCCACCTCGACGTGGATCGCACGAGCAGTTTCAGAGTGACATCTGACCAGTCCAGCCCTCTCGGTTCACGCCCTGCCTCGTGCTCGCCGCATCGCCACTTTATTTGATACGTTGACGGCTCTCCCGTCCCGCTGCAGCTGTGCTTCAGATTTCTTTTCTTTTTTTCATGTACCCTAGGAGTCTAGTGGTTGGTAGTATCGACTTTGATTTCTGATGCATTACATGACTGCGATCATGCGATGACTATTGCGTTTAGTTACTATTGTTATCCCATTATTGTTCTTCTACTTGTACAAAGTCCCTTGGCCGTTCTCCGTTCTTCGTTCTCTGCCTTTCGCTCGAGGTCCCGTCGTAAACTAATCGATCCACCCCCTAAATGGTTGGCCTCCTTTTTTCCTTCCTTCCGAAGGAAATCCACTTCGCTGTCTTCCCACAATTCCGTAGAGGGCCTAGCGTGTTTGTATTTCAGGGGATCGGTCATCTCGATCTGTCCGAGACTCCTGGTCGTGATTCTTTTGCCACTTTATATTCTTACCATTCCAATTATACGTCCGATCAAGAATGATTAGAGCTCCGCGCATCATCCTTGGCCTGATTTACCGCCCGATCATTCCCACTAGCTATGCCTATAAGATATAGGTACTCCGTAGAATAGAGTATTCATACAATAATGACATCCTCTAGCCTCAAAGAGAAAGACCATAAATAAAGCTCTCACCAACAGGCATAGTGGAAACAATATTCCCCCCCTCACCAATAGTTTGGTCCGAACGGGACGGCCCAGCACTTCCCGGCATTTGACCATTTCTTTGGAAATCACATCTCGCATCCTCGTATTTGCCAAAGGACCCTTTGAAATTACATCTTCTTCTCTGCCTCCACGCCCTGATTGACGGCGCATGGTGCTATACCACGCCAGGTCCACTTTCCTCCACTACCCAACCCCCAGTTAGGAAAAGAATCCTGTGCACGTCTCCACGATCCGCACATCCCCCGTTTCTAGTGCCGCGGAACTTGGCTGCAACTTGCGCGCTCCCAAGAAAATATCAGCTAGAATCCCGCTAGAGACGGGTTAGAAGACCGCCCTGCCACTTGGTGGGAACGTGAGATTTTGATGGCCTTGGTGTGACTTGGCTGTGGAGTTGGGAGTTGGGATTGTGTCGCTCGTGACTGGTTCTTACCGTTCCGACTTGACGGTGCGCTTGCGTGTGGCGGGCGCCGAGGCCATGTCGACGGAGATGAGGAAAGCTCTTGGAGCTTCTGGCTAACTTTCCGTGCAAAGCTATGCACTAACTTTGCTTCCTGGCCAGTGGCTACCACCGTAAGAAGGAAGTACGACTCTCCCCGAATGGTGGTTTGCGTACTCCGCACTTCGTGAACAGGTGCCTGTTTTGGTAACGTTGTCGAGGTACTGTACCCCTTTCTCTTTGTTCTCTATATGAAGGATTTCGTGGATATCGTCTGTGTTTCTTTGAGGCGCAGCGATCTACAGTACTAATTGCTACTCATCTTGGGGATAGTGCTCAACTTGTGAACCCCTTTTTTTCAAGTCTCCCGACGATCTTTCGTCCTCATTCCTGCAGGGTGCTTTGACTTGACTTTGTACGGAAGAAGCTTCCCAAGCATTAAACCTTCGACCAAGCCATTTTGAAGACCATTCAAGTGGGCATTGACCTTCGCCTAGGCGAAGGAGCTTCCATTCGTTTTTTTTTTTCATGAAGCGTCCCGATGAAGACCCGTTCTAGAATCTTAAAATATCAAAGACTAAAAAATAGCCTCTCACCCTAGTGGAATGGGCCGGTCCATTTGGCGTGTCTCATCGTCTCCCGAGTCCGGAAGCGTCGGATAAGATGTTTTGCATTTTCTTTTGCATTCAGGGGGAAGTTGGAACGAGGGCCTCGTCAATAGACAGTAGTGGGCCGGGCATGGCTATTCGCTGCCCTGCTGGACCTGCTGCGGATGCAAATAGCCCTGGGTTCCGAAGAAGGTCTCATTATGAGCTTAACAAAGTACGGCGCCCAAGGTACTCAGCACTGAAGATTTGCTGCCTATTCCAGTCAGGAAGAGCAAATCCCGATGATCCTGTCATGCGAGAAGAACAGAAAAACATCGGTCGCAGCCATTTTTCTTCTTTCTGGCGGTGTGTCTGCATGGCCGCGGCGATCTCTAACTAGGCGTTGAAGCACAGTCGACTCGGTGGTCCAAGGGGTCAATAGCTTAATTATTTCCTACCAGTGCCCAATCGTGTTACGCAATGGCATAAAGCAGGGGTCCAAAATGCCCACGTGGAAGTGAGCTTTGACAAGAAAGCCTACGTGTTATAGGGCTAAGCTTGGGGGAGGAGAGCATTATCAATAGAAGGGGGTGGGGGGGGTTTGCCTAGCATGGAAAGATCCGGAGAAGTTGGAACTGCCCAGGCAGGAAAACCATACATCACAGACTTGTCTCATGGATAGATTATTATTATGTACCTTTAGCTAGGCTTCGCGTCTCTCATCTACTACGGAGTAGACAATAGGTACCAGCCTTGCAAACAAGGAGGAGGAGCGGACGAGGAATGGATGTGTAACTCCTCATGCTCTGGACCAGGTGAAATAGGAAGATAAGATAGCGAGAGTTCATAATCAGGGCTATTGGGTCAATAATTGACTGTAGTGGGTGCATTGGCTGCAGATACCGTACATACGTCGAAGTTTTCTAGAATCCTTCGCATGGTCGGCTTGCGTGACCATATATATCACCGAGTCTGAGATTGGTAGGTGAGGCCGGGGGCAGCTAGTTGGCACACACAACGATGCAGCACATACAATGATGCAGTCCTGTCTAAATGAGATGATAGAACGTCTCCATGGGGTTTCAAACCTATGGAACCTCACTGTATGTGTTGCTTCGCAATTCTATAGCGGCCAATAATTATCGCCTCGTGGCATATTCTGGTCTAATGGACTACCAGCCTGGAGATTCCACCTTCTCGTGTAATGCGTAGTGCCACAGATCCTGTGTAACAACCCTCAAGGGTCTGTTCACGGACTTTTAAAAAAGATGAAGAGCCCATTCCCCTAGAGCCATGCTCATGTACTATGGCACATCGTCACACCAATCTGAATAAAACATTGTACGTTGGATGCAAACTATATAAACTCCTTGCGTATATAGCTGATCTAACCCTGTTTCATCAAAGAATAAGCATTAATCCCCAAACGTAAAGGCCAAAGTGTCCACAAGCGAGCTTCTTTCGACGTCACTCGGCCCATCAATAGATTACCCTCACCCAGGAACATTCGTGGGGTTGCATTGCACCGACGATCCAGGATTATCCCGTCGGACATGGACATCACATCCCCATGGACAGTCCGCACGTTCAACTCAATACCCTAGTCTGCCAGGGACGCGCCCGGGGTGAATACCAACGTGCCAATGAGGACAACCACCGTGGCGTAGACAAGAGTGTGGGACATGTGCCAGTCCCAGACATTGGATCGTGAAACAAACCACGGTTCCAAGGAGGTACGAATGGCTGACGAGTTTGGGGCCCCACTGGAACCCGACCGTTGCATGGACTGCGATCACTGGAAGACGTCAGTATTTCCCTGAGCATCAAGAAGGGTAGAGAAATCGCCAACACTGGATTGGAGACGCAGTCTCATAATTGTGGTGTTCGTTCGTTCATTCAATGGAGTATATAACCCTCGGGGACAAGAATAGCTCTCGGAGGCAGCCATCGGATGCTTGATGGCGCCAACCGGTCCTCATACGCGGCCTCTGCAAGCCACTCGCGAGCCAAGTGCCGATCGGCTGGGGCGTCGTCCCGGAACGATGAGGATTTAGGGACAAGCCCCAGTCAACTGGCCCAGTCAACTGGTGTCGTGAGTCGTGAGTGGGGCCGATGATGATGCTTGACAAACCCAAAGGCCACCAAAAAACAGCTGGCGCGTTTAAAACGTTGGCGCTGCCCTCGTAATTAATAGAATAATGGAAAGGCTGAAGAATCGACGTTGGAAGTGAGTAGTTTATCGTCCTGCTGTTCGCACTGTGAGGGTAATAAAAAGCGAGGGACCTCCAGCAGGAGAAGAACCCCAATGAACCGGTCGCGCAACGATGCGCCTCACTTTCCGCGTATCAATCGCCGTCGCTTTGGTCGTTGCTGTCCTCCTCGTCAAGAATCATTTGGATTCTCTCGAGCCACAATGGCAGGCCAAGCGCGGCCCTGATCTTGCGCCGGAATTCGTGCTGGACAGCGCAGGCGCCCATATCGAGCTGGTCTCGGCCCATCCTGCACGGCTCTCACCAACTTACTCTTCACCTTCGTCACAATCCTCATCCTCCTTTTCGCCAAGTACACCCAACTCGAGTCCCGCTCCACCGTCCAAATCATGGCCTGAGCCCACAAAGCCCGTGACGCCGACCAAGTTTCAGCCAAAATCAATTCCAGTCGATGTGCCGGGCGCGATCGATGATATTTGGCAATACCCTTTCTGGGCAGACTGGGATACTGAAGACGGAGGTATTCATAATCTGAACATGAAACCGAACCAGGAGCCCAAATCAACTCCCAAGCCGAAGATCTCGCCCTATCCTGATCGCATCATCGTCTTGGGTCGTATGTCGTGGGAGGACTCGGATTGGTTGGAGGAGGAATTGCCCGAGTGAGTTTCCGTGGACTGAATAGGACACATTCAGTTCTTTCAAATTAACATTGGCTGATTCCCGATAGATGGCAGCACGCGGTCTACGTGGTCGATGAACCCGACGCGGAATATGCCGTTCAAATGAACAAGGGCAAAGAATCCAACATCTACCTCCAGTACATCATCGACCACTATCACAAACTCCCCGAATATATGGTCTTCCTCCACGCCCATCGCAACGCCGACCACGTCGAGTTCTGGGAGCAAGACAACGCCCTGACCGTGCAACGCCTGCAACTGGATTACCTGAAGAAGGTCGGCTATGTCAACCTTCGCTGTGGTTGGGGCCCAGGTTGTCCGGGCGAAGTCCAGCCATTCCGCCAGCTGGAAGGGCGCACGACAGAAATCGCCTTTGCCGGCGCCTGGATCCGTATTTTTAACAATACGGATGTCCCCGAGGTGGTGGCTACCCCGTGCTGTGCGCAGTTTAGTGTGACAAGGGCACAGGTTCATGCCCGACCTTTGAGTGACTACCAGTCCTTCCACCGTTGGCTGATGGAGACGGAGCTGGATGATGAGACCAGCGGTCGTGTGTTTGAGTATTTGTGGCATATTATTTTCGGGCAGGATCCCGTGTTGTAAGTTGGATATCTATCCACTTGACTTCTATATTCGGAGCTTGGCACTAACATTCGAGCTCGTTCTAGTTGTCCCTCAAAACAACAGTGTTATGAAGATGTATATGGAATGGAGTGGGACCCGGCCTATGAGGATGACTTTATGGATTGGGTTGGTGATGACTTCTGGGACATACCATGAGTGCTGCTTTGTATATAGGCAGTGATATAAAAGTGCGCCCAGCATAAAATTGGCGCATCTCGAGATGAATAGATACCCTCGTGCTTTGTTTTATCTGATCTTGCAATTTATAAGATTTTCTGTCCCGTCTGGCTACCATCACATGCGCCCGTGACCATTGAAGTCTAGTTTAGGAATGGACTAAGTTGATGAATGTCTCGTGCTGTGCCCGCGGGCAACTTGACAAAACAGGCCTGGCTAAGTATCTACCTGATAGACCGACTCGATTTTCTCAATGCGAATGGAAGTCATTATTGTAAAGCCCTCGAAGCAAAAATATCGTCAATTGGTAAAGACTAATCAAACTCAAGAATCAGATACTAGACGGAAGAACTCGGCTTGCAATCTTAAGTACTATCCCATCCACGCATAGCATATCAAGCCGTGTTCCATTCGTATTCATGTCATATCAGACCATTATCATTCCGTCATCTACAGCCAGGCGAGTGGCATGAGACCAGCTACGGCGGCCAGGGAGACAACGCTTGGAGCTGTCAGGCCCACGGCAGCACCAGTTGAACTGGCGGTCGCCGCGCCGCTCGTAGCTCCGGACGGAGCTCGAGACGAGCTGCTGGTAGAGCCAGAAGTAGCGGTTGCTCCGCTAGCTGCCGCAGTGGTAGCAACTGTTGCTGCAGAATCAGTAGTGCCAGTGGCCGAGGCACTAAGATTGGTAGCATCTGCAGCAGCGTTGTAGGTGGTTGTGCTAAATTTGCACGACTGGACGAGGTCAAGGGCTTCTGGAAGATTTACATTAGATTATGGTGCCGCTATCATATGATAGAGATGGTTTCGAGGCAGTTCTTACCATTATCGTTATCGCCATCGTCGTCATCATCATCATCACGGTCATTGTCGCGGGGGGCATACTGGGTAATACAGGCCGCACAGAGAGGAATCTGCGTCTTGGCTGCTTGCCAGTTGCAGATGCACTGCATTTCGGCAGAGTCATTGTCATGTTGGTTATCACAGCGTCTGGAGACTCCGACTACGGAGCCACAAGCCTCCCAGCAGCGATTTGGGACATCGTCTTGCTCCAATTTGGCTGCAATTGCGACGTTCCCGGCGAGGACGAGGCCGGCGAGAGCGAGAAGCTGTTGGGTACGCATGATGGCTGATTTCGAGGGTAGAATGGGTCTTAGATTTGAAGTTCGTTTGAAATTATTGATGGAACTGTTGATATAATTGTATCTTGATGGGATTGTGCTCTCTTTATATGTTGCTTCTACAATCAAGACCCTGATGTTTCTATAAATGAAGTTATGATTGGGGATTGCCGATCTCAGAACCCTGCAGTGTTTGTTTGTCTTCTATCGCATGTTACCGACAGATTGTGTCAATATGGGTAAGTGGGCTGCTGGGCCTCAAAGAGACAATGCAGACCCCGAGTATCAAGATGGAGTCGAACCTCATCGACAGAAATGTATCTCCACCGATCAACGAGGGTATAGCCAATGCTCTCAAAGGGAAAGCCGTTGCCTGGTCTATCCATGAATTAGCCAAGATCCGCCAAGAGCAGAGATTGGGGAGCTCTTCTGTGTATGCGGAGACGGGGAGAAATCCGATCTTGATATAGGTCCCCTTGCAAAGCATTCGATGTGGATAGATTGCATATTATGCTATGGCTAATATCTTGATCTTTGGGCATTCTGGGACTGCTCACTGTGGATATTTCGAATGAAACTCTAGCACAATTTAATCAAGATTCTAAACATACAAACAGCGGTTTGTCTGCCAAGAGCGATGCCCGAAGATATTCATCTAAGCCACCCGGTGGGGCCGCCTCCTTGGCGTCGTAGCTCTGTACGATACTTCGTTTAGGCCTCCTCAATCTTTGATGGAACCGAGAGGGTGATTTGGGACCTATTGTGGAGGATTTCTACATTCCGTAGGTAAGGAACCTTCCGAAGTCAAGAAATCAATGTGTGGCTGTTCCCATCTTGCATGCGTCCTGCCGTTAGCCGAGCCAATCTGTTCCACTCATCCAGTGTAGTTATATATAGATAGCAAAATTCGCAGGTCGCGTCTAGGCTTCAGCATTCTGAAGGAAAACCCCTGCAAGATATTTTGCTGTTTCATCTAGAGAGCTGGATGTGAAACTTGGCGGGAAACATGCAAACGATCTTGCTGTTTTTGCCGTTCTTGCTTCTAGGAAGTTGCCGGCGAGCCAACGGATAGTCGACATGACTCGTTGGAATGAGGATGATGGATAGATTCTGTTATTCTATCTTAGTCCTAATTAATTGACACAGAATAGAGATTAGATATATTACTACAATATCAGAAGTGCTGGCGATGTGGTCATGGTCACTAACTTGGAATGTCCCCGTCCACTTAGTAAGAACGCCCAACCCCGCGGAAACCTGAAGGCAAGTTAAACATTGACTCCTTCTGTCAACTACTTCTTGTTACATCACATTTGGAACGCATCATTCGACATTCTCTCTTCACAGCATGGCTCGAGCAGTAAGTCAAGTGTGGGAGACATATTGTCTGCGCCCCGTGGGAGACTCTGCATCCGCCATTCTCCCAGTGTTTCTCTACGGGACAGCCTGGAAGAAAGACCGGACGGCCGACTTGGTCTATACTGCGGTCAACGCCGGTTTCCGCGCCATCGACACTGCAGCACAGCCTCGTCATTATCAAGAAAATCTGGTCGGCGATGGAATCCGCAAGGCGATCGCGGATGGTGTTGTCCGCCGAGAGGACCTCTACGTAAGTGGGAGCCAACGTAACCCGCCGACTTCTGGGCATGTTTTGACGGGACTATCCAGGTGCAAACAAAATTCAGCCCCATCTCGGCACAGGACCCGGATAACATGCCATATGATCCAAAGGCCTCGGTGACTGAACAAGTCCATGCCTCCATCAAGTCCTCACTGCACAATCTTCGTCCCTCTGAAGACCCGAAGACTGCGGATGATGCCTATATCGATACGGTGGTGATTCACTCGCCATTACGGACTCTTCAACAGACATTAGAGGCCTGGGTAGCCCTAGAGACCTACGTGCCTCATCGCATCCGCAGCCTGGGCATTTCCAATTGCTCCCTTCCCGTGCTCCGTGCACTGTTCACAGCTCCCGAGGCTAAGGTGCGACCGGCCGTGGTGCAGAATCGATTCTACGAGGATACACTCTTTGACACCGAGTTACGGATATTTTGCCGTGAGAATCAGATCATCTATCAGAGCTTCTGGACATTGACGGCCAACCCAGATCTGGTGCGGTCTGATCCTGTCCAGCAACTTGCCACTGCAGCTCAGATTAGTCCTGCGGCAGCGTTATATACCCTTGTGATGGGACTGGGAGATATTGCCGTGCTGAATGGAACTACAAATGAGGGCCGTATGAAGGAGGATTTGGCAGCACCAATTGTCGTCCAAGATTTTATCCAGACTCATCCGGAACAGTGGCAGCAGCTTCTCCAGGGGTTCCAAGCGGCGGTTGGAGATCCCAATTGATTAGTGTAATCTCCATCACAAAACCAAGAAGGCGGCTGATGAAGTTGTCAATTAAATATAAACCATCTTGAAATGCCAAAGTAATTGTCCTTGATGATCTTCCCAGTCGAGTTTGAGTGAACGGAGTCGGCCAGTTGACAGACCGTGCTGACTCAGCCGGCCAGGCGTTGCTCCGCTCGAATTGACCTCATCGTCGCCAGCGCAGATTTCACGTTTCCTTGTGTCGCCTCTGCTCCCATTCTCTTCTGCTTCGATCGCGTCGTATACGCATCCTCTGGCCTGGACTCTTGTCCACCAGCCTGACATATTCCACGAGTGCTGCCTCCCAAAACGGTCTGAATGTGGCATTTTTGCCTGTTCTGATTGTGGCCTCACAAAGGCCCTTCTGGATCGCCATCACGGTGATTTCCTCGACGACCTCTTTCCCCCTCGACCACCACCTTCCAGCGACCACTAGCCACCGATCATCGCGCACAATTGCTGCGTTATAGTGCATATTTACGCGACCAGCTGTATAATAACGACTCGTGCTATCAGATCTGACTCGTTTGCCCGACTGATCTGTGGTCTCAACCTATTTTTTTTTTTTTTTTATAAAATTCGTGCCTCAGCAATCGCCAACGACAACCAAGGCTGCGATCTAGCAATCGCTGCCTTTTTCTGTCTTCATTGACACCTACCGTTGCCTGGACGTCTTTGCGTACATAACGATTGACGGGACTCACATATTTATTCGACCTTTTCCCACCATCACAATACCCTCCGACCCCACTACTCAAAACTCCCATCCTCTACACCCTCGATTGACTTCACCACATCATGAATTCCCAGGGAATCACTCGCAAAAGGCCAGCGCCTGGCACCACCCCCGCGGTGCATCCCCAGATGGGTGCCGTTCCGAACTTCCAGAATCCCAATCCCAATTCGCAACTCTCCAATGACCAGTTCCTGCAATGGGGCCAAAACCCTCCCGCAAATGTCGCCAATACCTCCTATGTTGATCCCTCTGCCTACAACTCCGCCGCATATGGGTCAAACCAAGACCTGTCTGGCCCGGCAGCCACTACCTCCAACCAGTTGACCCGCCGAACTCCGGCCAACCAGCTGGTTAGCCGCAACCGTGGCTACGAACAGGCACCTGTGACCTACTCGGACAACAGTGCTGGCGCAGGCACAGGGGAGGGCGCATGGGGAGAATCAATCGAGGAACTCTACAAACGGGCTCTGGCCGCCAAGAGGGAGGCGCAATCAAAGCGAAAGCAGATTCCGCCCTTTGTGCAAAAGTTGAGCAGGTATGTTGAATTCTGATAGCTTGAACCTTGAAGATGAATACTGATGATTGCTTGTTACAGTTTCCTTGATGAATCTAAAAACACAGAGCTGATCCGATGGTCCGACGATGGCAATTCCTTCATTGTCTTGGATGAAGACGAGTTTGCCCGACGTTTGATCCCAGAACTCTTCAAGCATAACAACTACGCATCCTTTGTCCGGCAGCTGAACATGTACGGCTTCCATAAGAAAGTGGGATTATCTGACAACTCCATGCGTGCCAGTGAGCGCAAGAACAAAAGCCCCTCCGAATACTCTAACCCTTATTTCAAACGAGGCCACCCTGAGCTGCTTTGGTTGATTTCGAAACCGAAAAATGCAGCTGGCCATGCAAGTAAGGGAAGCAAGGGTGGCGCACGTGTTAAGACTGAGGATGCGGACGAGAATGAGCTAGATGACTATGCTGAGGATGGCGGACCTGGTGCTCACGACGACCGTGCACGGCAGCGCCCTCTGTCCTTGGTGACCGACTCGGAAATGCCCAAGGATCAGCTTGAAGGAATTGTTCAGCAACTAAAGGCCATTCGTGCACAGCAATCGGTCATCTCAACTCACATTTCCAGTCTGCGCCGAGAGCATGAGCAGCTCTCCGCGCAGGCGGCCACCTTCCAAGACCAACACACCCGACATGAAAATTCGATCAATGCCATCCTCACCTTCCTGGCAACAGTGTACAACCGCAGCCTGCAGGGTCAAGATGGATCCCAGAACATTGCCAACTCCTTTGCTGGTGCCATTTCGGGTGACCACCAGGGCAACATTGTTGATATGGGGGATGACTTTTCCTTCAGCCCCTTGGCCTCGATGACCAGCCCAACTGCACAACGGACAATGAAGAAACAGCAATTGCTGCTTAAAGCACCACCTTCTGCGAACGATGGCAACCGGGCAACCACTCTATCGCCTGCAGCCGGCGGGACCTATGAGACTCGTTCCCGCAGTCATACTCGTCAGCCAAGTGCTACACAGCATGGACACGTGGAGGAGGTTCTCGATAGTAGCCCCAGACAAGGCCCTACAAACCTGTCTCCTGGACAGCTGGACGAGAAATACCCACAGAAGGATATCATGTCCGTGATCCAGAATTCAAACGCGCGCAACGCCAGCCCAACCACCTTCTCTCAATTCCCCGATGTACTTTCTTCGCTCGAGAGAGGAGGCAATGGCCCTCTCACTCCTGGTGTGCGTGCCGATATGCTTCGACTGATGGCCAATGATACCGGCCACCACCATGGTTCAACCACGGCGAACAATGCTCTGGTCATGCCAACCCCCCACCAATGCCACAAGACTACTCGAACCGCCTTTCCAATACCCGACAAGAGATCGACAGTCTGGTCAAGTTGCAAGCCGAGCAGGACCGTTCCGTTCAGAACTTGACAAACCTCCTCCAACCTCTGAGTCCCACCGGTGCCATCCCGGGGTTGGATGGTGACGCAAACGCCCCGCCTCCAATTGACCTGGATCAGATTTTCAATAACGACTACTTCACTGATCTTGGAGACACCTCGGGCGCTGACCCAAAGCACGACACATCTACTCTTGATTTCGGAACCGGTGCCAATGCCCACGATAACATTCCTACTACTACCCAAGCGGATACCGGCGACACCAACGATCTCCTTGACTTTGGCCATATGCCGGGCGATGACGATCTCTTCAGCAGCAACCAGGGAGCAAACCACTCTTCATACAACTACGGCTTCGACGGCACGGGCTACGGAGCGGACGCGGGATCTGGAAACTTCGACTCCGGCCGGGTCGTCGAACAACTGACTGATAGCGAGGCTACCAGCCCTGCAACCGCTGAGGATCCTTCTGCTGAACCCGACGACGGTGGCAGCGCTGCTAAACGGCGCCGAAAGGCATGATCTCTTGATCTCATGGAGCTGCTCTAATGAAGCCCAGACAAGAAAGGATCAGTTTATGGAATACCCCAGGAGAAACATGGCGTTATTCTGTTCATAGGGGTTCTGCTTTCTTTGGTGGTTGTTAGCTTTGTATGTAAGAATCATTTTTTTCTCATGATATTATGACCCGATTTAGAATGCTCTATGTTTCTGTCTTGCTTCGTAGGTCCCTGATTGGAAATGAGGTTCTTTTCTGCTTCCGTATGTGGTAGATTATACCAGCCAATGCACCGATAATGTACCATGCTCTTCTCAGCATTAACAGCAAAGGAGACCAGTCCACTTTTCTCAGTTCTGATATCTTCCTCTCCCACTATATGATCTCCTTCTATAACCTCCTGCCTACTTCCCATCCCGATCCCACTCCCTCTCCCCAGCCCTCTCCCTCTTCCTCTCCCTCTCCCAATCCCTCTGCATCCCCCGTCTCCGCCCACTCGGACCCCCCAAATCCTTCTCCTTCTCACGCGGATCAATCACCATCAATGAATCTGCATCCCCCGGATGCTCCTTCTTCCAATTCAAATCCTTGCCGAGCATGTCCTTACCAAACCGTAACGTATGGTTGAGCCAGCCTTCGTCATTGACATCCTCCTCGTCTGCGTTTTGCGCTGTGTCCGGATCGTCCCATACTTGGCAGGATTGGCAGTTTGCGATGAAGTGGAGGTCGCAGAGTTGGGCTTCTTCGTCTTCTGGTTCTGTCGCGCGCGATTTTCCTTTTTCTTTGGCTGTGTGTTGGGTTTGATGGGGTTGTGTGGTTGTGCTCTTGGGATCGGTAGTTCCTTCGAGTTTGGCTTTGAAGGCATTGAACATGTCCAGCGCGGCTTTTTCGGCCGAACTCCTGCCGCCAGAGGTAGCTGCCGCGCCGTTTGTGGATCCCGGTGCAAAGCGTTTGCGGCCGCGTGTTGCGGTGTCTGGGATCATGGCTTCGAGGGCGGACTTTTTGCGGCCGGTGTCGGCTGGACCGACGTCGGCGGTCCGGCGCATCGATGCCTTTAATGAAGCTATCTCGGCATTGGTCCGTGAGAGTTTTGATTCCTTGGGTGGTGGAGAGGCTGGCGTGGGAGAGCGAGAGGGGGACTCGGGATCTCGTAGCGGTAATTGTGTCTGGGGGTCTGGTGTTTTGCGTCGTTGTCTGCGCTCTGGCGAGGACGGGCGTTTGGGAGATGGAGACCGTGGTCGTTTGCGTGGTGCTGACTCTGTAGGACGTGGTAATGGCTCTGTTGTCGCTTCGTCCTTTGCAACAGGTACATCCGCAACCAATTTGGTATTAAACTTGGGCTTCGCGGGCCGCATGGGCATACCCTCGTCGCCTTCATCATCGCCAAAGCTGAGCAAGACTTTTCCTCCTTTGGCGGCCTTTTTCTTTTTCTTGGGCACTTGCTTCTCCACTCCAGCTGTCGTGGTTGAGACGACCTTGCGATCCTTCAATTTACCAGCCAGGGGTCCCAATTCTCCAACTTCGCAAGATGTCACTTTCACCGGATACACGGGTCGCTCTGTACCCTCGACACGCTCTGCGTCTGCAATTTTCAACACGTTGAAAATGCTATCCCCCTCCAACCGTCCAAACAGTGTACACTGCCCACTCAATTCGCGCTCCGTATTGCCCAGCGTGATAAAGAATTGACTCCCATACGATCCATCCTCACTCTTCGCCATGCCCACCTGCCCCCGCCGGTTGAATCGTAGTCGACTGTGGATCTCATCGCGCAGGACGACACGTTCGTTCGGGTCGCGCGCTTCGGGGTCGTACTCGAACTCGGGATATTCGTAGATGGATGTCCCACCGGATCCAGTGCCCGTCGGGTCACCACCCTGGACTACAAAGTCTGGCACAATGCGGTGGAAGATCGTTCCGGCATAGTAATTGTCCTTGCAGTGCTGCAGGAAGTTCTTGCAGGTGAGGGGAGCCTGGTTTGCGAATAGTGCGATATGAATCGGGCCAACGGTTGTGTGTAGTGTCGCCGATGCCGTTGGGTTTGGCTCACTGGCGTATTGAGTGGACATGGTGGAGAGGAGTGGTATATGCGGCCGTGGATCGGCCGTCAACGCTACGACGGCGTTCAAGAGGAGGGCGTGGTTCTTCGGTCGAGTCGTCGATTGGGAGCTTCCCCGAGAAAAGTGAACGTCATGTCACGTGACTTATTTACTGTCTCAATAGAGGTTGGATGGGGCTCAATGTATATGCATTTCTTTGGAGCCAACAGGGCAGAATATATACAAAAATACGAAATATACATCCAGGAAGGTCCGCTTTGTCTATGTCCAAATATCCATTGGAGTCCGGGGTCGCTTGGTGGAGTGTCGCTTTCGGCAAAGAAGTATGTGTAAATCTCAAGGTCGGGTGGAGGGCGCGCGGCTGATGGAATGATCAAGTTGTCTATGAGTGTCGCGAGCGGTGTGTTGCAAAGGGAGTGGTGTAATGTTTTGTCTAATACGGGGTAGCAGCATGTTGAAGATATGCGTTTCGTCATGAGAGCGTCGCAAGTCCACGGCCTGTCCACCCAGAAGCGGTAAGCGAGGAACTAAGGAGCGATACTGTCATGGGACGACAATCAGTCAACTTCAACAGGGCTGGACCATACTTTCAATGGATGATGTCGACGATGATGATAGCAATGATGAAAACGATGGCGCATGGTGGGTGTTCTTTTTTCAAGCCTTGAAGGCCTGTGCCGAACCAGCAGCACAGAACTTACAGCGGGCAATCCAGAGGAGAGGAAGAGTCATTGAGTTGTCGCGTAGGGACAAGACTCTATAGGAAACCGAAGGGAATTTTTGGCGCATGAGGGTCGCATATGGGTAGTGGTAGTTGATGGCCAAGGAAGCACCATGGCCCATACAGGCGGAGGGAGCCCATCACCAAGCCAAGTGTAGGGTACTGAGACTCCCGAGAAAGCTCCAGCAGACCGGCAGCTCAAGCCCCTTGACCATCCTTAGCTGCAATCACAGGAACTGCCATGGCAATGGGCAAAGGAACGGGGACCGGCCCAGTGCCCCGGTCCGGATCAAACGTGGAAGCCCGCGCATGAAGCCCCAGTTGAAACCGTAGCCGGCGAAGCGTTCGCTCCGAGATGTCATAGCCATCTTGACGCAGTAGCTTCAGCATTGCCTTGTCGGTCAGTCTGTCTTGCATGAAGAGCACTTTGATCCGCGCATGGAGCACCTCGTCCGCCGTTGTGGTCCTGCTGCGTTTGCGGATACCCCACTTGCGTAGCCGGGATTGGATGGTCCGTTCTTTGACCTGGATGTTATACCGGCTCTCGAGGGTGCGGCTGATGGAGTCGCTACTGATGCCATGTTGAAATAGCGTGATAATCTCGTCCCGGTAGGGCTCGAGGTTGATTTGTTGACGCGGCATGGCGAGGGTGGGTTAGTGTGCCTTTGTGAGTGGGGGAGGGGAAACGGGGAAAAGGGGAAAGGCGGGAGGAGTAGAATGTGGGAAAGGCGGTGAATTTGTGGGACGGCCACTGTTGACGACGGATTTAAGTTAACTTTCGGGCTACAGAACAGTACATAACAGTAGTGATGATTGGTCTTTTGCCGGTTTATACTCTGGTTATACCCCTGATAGCTTAGGACTCGAGAGCAATGGACACGGACCATGCGATGGTATGATCGGACCGGCCGAACTACTTGTCTACGGTGGAAACATGGATCAACGGATATGAATAATAAGTATAGGTTGGGGGTATTATTCCTATTTAGCATCGAGTCGTAACGCATCTCAGAATCGAATAGCAAGTCTCAATCAGGGAGACCACCGGCAGACATGACCACCTGCCCATCCATCATATGAAAAAGATACTATCTCATGTTTTCCATCCCGTGGACCATCCTGCCAATTTTACTTCTTCTCCGCGGAGGCATTATCGGAGGTGACCATCTCAGGAGCCGCCTTGTTGCGCTTGGAAATCCGGAATCCGCCGACCAGGAAGAATAGGGCCTGCAGACCGAGAATCACGGCCAGGGTCACCATGGCGCCAATAACACCGGCAACCGCCCGCGACATGCCACCAGAGCTGGAGGTAGACAAGCTGGAAGAGTCGGAGGAGCTGGTGCTGGCAGTCGAGGTGCCGCACTTGCCGTCAGTGTTGCCACACTGATCGCACCACTGGGCGTCGGAGGTGACGGCAACCTTCTCAATGCTAGTCTTGAAGTCAGACCACGAGAGGAGATCGTTCGACTGGCCGAACAGAGGGTAGACGGTAGGCTCGGCATTGCTGGTCATGGTGCCGTTGTGGAACGTGAAGCGCACGCTGAGCTCGCTCTCAGCGGGAATACCCGTGCCAGTGGCATTGGTCACGAGCTCAAAGACCATCGACGAGGCATAGTCCGGGACACCGGTGAAGTCAACCGAGGCAGCGGGCAGCTGCACCAGGCCGAAGAAGGAGAAGAAGGTTCCGTAGGAGCCAAAGGAGATGCCCAGCTTGGACTTGCCGTTGGTGGCAATGGTGTCGTTGAGGCTGGACAGGATCTCACCCGCCAGCACGGCACCATCGATCGCCCGGACGGGCTCGGACTGGTTGAACGCCAGGTTGTACTGCTGGTTGTTGGCCAGCTGGAGCAGCTGGGCGTAGGTCTCATCGGTCAAGTCCTTGAGCGCGGGGTACTCGTCGGTGGAGTTGTGGATCTGGGCCACATTGAGATAGTCAAAGATACTGTAAGCATTCTTGAACGACATCTGCGAGGTGGTGAACGTCGAGTTCAGCATGGGCGACAGCGACTGGTAGAAGTCCTTGGTGGACTTGAGCAGCGCGTTGTACGAGTCCGAATTGTAGTAGTTATTACTGCTCACGGTGGCCGCCTGGCAGTCACTCGAGCCCTGCAGCCAGGTAGCTCCCTCGTTGCTGTTACTGGAGGTGGTAGCGGTGACCTGGATCAGCTGGTAGCCCGAGAGAGGAGACACGACGGTGGTCGAGTTGGCCAGGGTCTGGTTGGCACTGCTACCGGCTGGGGGATACACGCCCTGCAGGAAACCCGTGGCCGAGTTCTGCAGCACCGTATCGGCTGGAGAGCTGGCGCTGATCTGGGAGGCCTGGACGATCAGAGGGCTGATGCCCTCAATCTGCTTGTCCGAGCTGGAGAGGATATACCGCGCATTGTAGAACGAGCCGGTATCATAGACCTCATTGTAGCCCAGGTCGGTCAACTGGGTGTTGCCGAGAATCTTGGCGGTTCGATCACCGTGGCGCGCAAAGATGTATGCGCCGACGACACGCTCTGCCTCGACCATGGAGGTCGAGAGAGAGGCGGCCAGTAGAAGGCCGGACCGAATGGAAGAGCGCATGGTTGAAGGCACGAATTCCTGGTGCAACGGCGGAGCAGCAGCAGCAGCAGCAGCAGCAGGGAGAGATGCGAAGGGTAATCAAGAAAATGCAGAGCAGCCGGGGATCCCTTCGTCCGGGTTGCAGGGCGTGCTGGACTACTTATGCTAGACCGCACTAGCCCGCGGAGATGAGAGTCCGGTGCATCGTGGATTTGCATGGCATCCATTGCAGCGGGTCAGTCGAGTCGAGTGTCCCGCCGAACTGGACCAGCTCCGGGGCCTTTCTGGTTGCGGGGACCAGCAGTCATTGGCGTTACAGTCTGATTCTGATTCTTGGAGGGGCCGGGTGCGCACGGAGACTGCCGATATGATTGTTTTCTTCTTTGGGCCGAAACAAGCGCAATTGGTGCACTATGGACGACTGTACAGTCTTGACCTCATGCCCTCCAGGTCGAGGCTCCCGAAGGGCAAGGCCAAGTCCGAGGGGCGAGGAGTTGGTACACCAGCAACACAATTAGCTAATAAGAATGGAAACAGTGGCCCCCCCAACCCCACAGACGATAAGACAGCGGGAGACTGGCCAAGCGTGAAGGAGAGTGGACTGGAAGACCTCGCTGAGGAGAAAAACAGTGAAGAAGACGACTCGGTGGAGAATCGAGCACCCTGGAAACTTGAAAGGACCCTAGTCACCCTCCTGAGGACTGCTGAGTAGTGCTGATAGGCGTTCCGAGCCTCGTGGGGCGGCCGACTTTTCGTTTATCATACGAGCTTGGGCCACGCTAACAACCCCAATTGGGGGCTGGTCCAGGCAGGGATTACCCAATCTGTGTCGCTGACGGAGAGAAGCGAAGGAGTCATGATCGCATCGGCATGCCATTCTGATTCCTGGATGGATCTCGACGAGTCGGGACTGTGGAGGACTGACAGTACGGAGGAGATCCACAAGCCTAACTCGCCAATCATGGAATCCATTGGCCTACGTTTTTGGTCATAATTGATGCTCAAACTATTGCCATGACCATCAGCTCATTGTCATTTGCCAAGTGTCCGATGTTCATTCTAAACTCATGCCATGGCGATGCCCTTATCGCCCATCAACTCGCACCCATTTCGTACCACGCCCACCATCCCGCCCGTCTGAACGGCCTCAGATCCGCCACCAGATAATCGCCATTCAATCTCAGCCAGTCCCTCAAGCCAAGTGATGCGGGTCTGCGCCGGCACTTCCAGCCGCTGCAATTGTTCCGCCAGCGCGGACAAGATATCCGCCAACGCGAGACCTTTGGCCGCCTTGAGCGTGTTCACCGTGTTAAGACATGAGGTCACATCGCTGGTGGAAAGGATTGTGCTCATGATTTCTTGAATGTCGGCCGGATGAGGTGCCGCGATGCAGTCGTATATTGTGGCGTTGGTGATCATTTCGGGTTCGGGTAATGGTGCCTTGGGAGCGTCGCGCATCGGCAACGGGATACCTGTGCTCATCTTTTAGTTTCAATCTGATAGCGAGGGGTAGTATTTTGGGTGTGGCGACAGTCAAGCATTTCCGCGGAGAAGGAGGGGGAGGGGGGACCCACTACTAGCATGACAGGCCTGGAGGACATTCAGTGCCCTTCGCATATCGCCCTTGCTCAGTCGCACTAGACTGTCCACTGCCTCGGGTTGGATGCGAACATTCTCTTTCTCAATCACTTGGTCTACCAGCACTCGAATGTCGGCTTCCTTGAGAGGACTGAACCGGAATCGGGTGCATCGTGATAGCAGTGCGGGAGAGAGCTTGTGTGTATAGTTGGCGATGATGCAGAATCGCGTGTTCGCCGTGTATTTCTCCATGATGCGGCGCAGGGCCATCTGTGCTGTGGAGGTCATGGCGTCGGCCTCGTCGAGAATGATCAGCTTGAAGCCGGCGAGCGCAGCGTTGCCCTCTGTCGCCGCTGCTGGGCCCATGGAGAAGATTTGTTTTGTGCCTGAGGAACATGTGTGTCAGCACTCTCTGTTCGAAGGTATCCTTTTTACCCCGATAAATCTCCATACTAGCAAAGGTCTTGATCTGTTCTCGGACCACGTCAATGCCACGGTCATCACTAGCATTGAGTTCCAACACCATCTGCCGCATATTCTTTGTGCCGTATATCCGCCGGGCGAGTGCGAGGATGGTCGAGGTCTTGCCGGTTCCAGGGGGACCGTAGAGGAGTAGGTGAGGTAGGCGCTGTCATCTCGTGAGCATTCGGCTCGTCCATTCGTCCGGATGTACAGTACGTACGTTCTTTTCAACAAATTTGTTGATGGTGGCTAGAATGTCTTGATGACCCGAGACATCATCGAGCGTATTTGGGCGGTATTTTTCAACCCTATCAGAGATTGTAAGCAAGTATTCCTTTCCCCATGAAAAGTCACGCCGTACCAAGGGAGATTGTCTTGAGCTTGAATGGGCAGGTCCGCCGCCGCCCTCTTTTTCCCACTAGCATTCTCTGAGCTGAACTGGACGTCCTTGGAGGGCGCATCCACATCCATTTCATCCTCGTAGTCGGACATTGTGAAGAAATGATGCTATAAAAGTATGAAGTGGGTGGGAAAGTGAGTTGACAAAGCCGATCGCGAAAAGTGAAGCTTGACGCGTTCCGCGCGTAAAGAGAAAGCTCGGGGCGGAAAATCAAGCGGAGAGCTGGCCAGCCGATGACATGGGCGGACTGCACCTGGCAACTGGCAACTGGCACTGCACCGCCTGCCGACTCCGCAACATCACTCTGCTCCCGCCTCCCCCGACATTGACTTGGTCAACCATCCACCATGCCGGTAAGATCAGAGTGATTTCTCTGGTAGAACCTCTCTTTGGGTTGTTCTCAACTGACTCGCCCAATCCCAGGCATACCACTCCATCTTTCTAGAGGACCGCGATGTCCCCGTGATAGGTACGCTGCCCCGCCGACAGCCGTCCCCTCCATGCGACACTCAACAACCGCAAAGGATCATGAATTGACTGTCTATCTTATATAGGGAACTTCCCTATTCTGCCCCTGCGCACCCGGACTCGTGGTCCCGCATACACGCTGCCCGCACTACCCCCCAATACTCCCGATGTGGACGTCACCCCGGAGAGCGAGTCCTACGACTGTGTCGACGAGATCCTGTCCCTCTTCCGAGCAAATGTCCTGTTCCGCAACTTTGAGATCAATGGCCCCGCCGATCGCATGCTCATTTATGGAACCCTCTTCATCAGCGAGTGTCTCGGCAAGGTCAAGCCTACGATGAATGCCCGGGAGGCCGAGAAGGTAGATGCTGACAGCTCTTGTCGCAACGTATCTTGGAGCTATCACTGACATGCGAACTGGATAGGCTCTGATCAATGCCGCTCTTGACAGCTTTGCTATTCCCGGCGATGTGTCTTTCCCGCTGAACCAGGCCTTTGAGCCCCCCACGCGACCGCCAGGATGCGGAGAGCCTACGGGCGTACGTCAACCAATAGCCCCCTTGAACGATATACCCAATGACTAAACACTAATTGATCTGAATAGATACATCTCGCAGGTTCGACAGGAGATTGCCGTCCGGCTACACGCTAGATTATACCCCGGTGGAGAGGGGCCGTCGAAGGTAAGCCCCAGACAACAACAGACAATTCTATCGCAACAGCACTAATGCCTTTACAGTTTTGGCTTAGCTTTACAAAGAGAAAGTTTATGGGAAAGAGTCTGTAGAGTGGCAGGCGGGTTGTATATTGTTTCATGAAATTTTCAGCGCATCAATGGACTTTTTTGGATTACGCGGCGTCATCGGTTGCAGACCGGAATCCCTTGTAGCTGCCGGAACCGATTACCAGGCAGCCATTCTTCCTTCGCTAGTCTCCTATATCAGTCCTAACTACCTGACAATCCCATACCTGCCCGGTAGTCATCGAGGATATCTACTGACACCCATGACCGATTTCCTTACTACATTTCGGCTCCTGGATTTATGACTGTCCGACGGAGGAGGAAAATATCAACGGGCCAACATTCAATGAATCATTATATTCGTACACATATGGACGCCTTTTCCCATGCTAGTATTTAAGATGCCATGTCCACGTCTCGATCACTAACAGGCGTCGAAGTGGTTTCTACCTTGCGCTTCTTCCGGAACGTGCCCGCAGCCTGAATATTGCTCGCAGTGGGAATGACGTGGACCCCGTGGAAGAGGTAGCCCTCTGCACCTCCACGTCCTGTCATGAGGGGATGCGTCCGGCCCGGCAGCACTTGCCAGGCACGAACGCGGGTGGTGTGTAGAGTTGGGGGCAAGAGTCGAGTGGGATCGAGGGGGAAATCCTCGAAGAGTGGGGTCAAGCCCACGGTCTCGGCTTTTGAAGTTTTCTGCATCTCCAGGTCCCGTTTTCGATTGATGAATGCTGTTCGCCGGGCAGTTGAATATAGATCCATGAGCTCGGTGAGGGGTTCGATGGTGGGAGAGTAAATAGCGACAGCTGCAGACCCAGACAGGAGCGGGACAGCGTGCTTCAAGATGCCCGCAGGCTCCAGCAAAGTAGCAGCAATTAACCCGTCAAAGCCACCGGCGCGAGCTTCATCTGTGACAGCGCGGAATTTTTCCCATCGGTTACGCTTGAAGTAATAAGCGGTGCGCTTGCTAGGCTTCAGACTGGCGAGCTCTTCGGCGGAGAGAGAGGGAGGTTCGTTGGACAGGATGGGGTCTGTTGCGGGATCCACAAGCTGTAGCCATGACACAGTCTTGAGATGTGTGTGAAGAGGATGAGATTCATCGGGAGTGTTGATATCGTATCCGAAATATTTCAGCAATGACAGGTTCGGTTGTGAGTAGGCGTGGATGATGGTGATGGTGTTTCCGGAGGCAGACATCGGTCGAGGACGTTTACGCCGGGGCGTTGAGGTAGTCTTTTTCTCTGTTTTCCCTGTCCCATCTTGCACCAGAGAAGAATCCTCGGTCGTTTCTTGGCCTTCGTCATCGTCTTCCGGGTACAGAATTCCCATCCGCTCGGCCATCGCCGCGACAATGAGACCACCTGTTTCGTCGACCACTAAGTACCGACCATTGGGCTTGATTGAAGAGATCGCATTCAGCGTTGAGTCACCACCATGATGTACATTGCCCAAGCAGCCGAGCAGGCCCACGTGCTCGTCGCGCAATTCCATCGCTCGCTGTGCATCCCGTTGGTCAAGCAAGTAGTTGGTGAGAAAGCCGACGTCCAACGGTAGGACCGTGAACCTCCGAATATACTTCTTGCGCTTGCGCAATGTATATTTGGCAAGGGAGAAAGCCGTCTTCTTGTCCAGGTTGGTGTGCGACTCGAGGAGTTTTGCGACGATATCCTTGCCCGCCCCACTGGCCTCTTTCTTCAACTCTTCAATCTCCTGCGTCGTCAATTTTTGGGTCGAGGCATCATCCACGATGTTGCGATTTGTGCGCATAGGCGTGCCTGCGCCCGACCCGGCTTCCTCGCCCTCACCCTCACCCTCGCCATCGGCCTCGGCTTCCTCGATGAGGTGTTCGGCATGGAGCTCTTCGGCGGGGACTATGCGCAGCTGGTAACCATCACTCTGGGGCGCGTCGAGAATCTCGAATGTCAGGAAGAAGGGACGACCAAGGATCTGGTTCGCGGCGAAGCTGCCATATTTGCCTAATTGTACAATTCTATAGGTTGAAAATTAGCCCTGTCCGTCGGTCACTGGAGCAGCTGTAAGCAGTGGGACATACGTATTTGGGACCAGCTTGACAATGCGCGTTTGATCTGATGGTAGCTGAATTACCACGAACTGATTCGGGCGAATAGAGGAATGCATCGTTAGAGATCCTCAAATCCGACCGGTTGGAGAAGCGACCTGGACAATTCCAACGTTGAAGCTCCGAAAAAACGACTTCCGCAACTTTTTTTGACGTTGCGGGCCAATCAGCGGCGCTTTTGACCGGAAGGCGGGGAGGAAGCGGAGGAACAGTTTATCCGGTGCAAGTTCATTGATTACATAAGGCAGAGCTGGACGGGTCACGGGACACTGGAATGGTTCCATCCATATAAGGTGACCTCTTTTGTGGCTGATACTAATAAAATACAGCACATTTAGGAGAGCCGATATTGCAGTAGGAAAAATAGTTTGTGGCTTCATGCTAACCCGGAACCGGTAGCTGCCATAGGCACAGGAAGCTGCGCGTTTTGCGACGCTCATGCAAAGTCATGCATCAATATTGGGTATTGAGGCTTTGGCAAAAGAAGGAGCCTTCATTCTCATTAGCCAAATACAAACCCTTACACTGCGAGGCTTATATGATGCACTCCATGACCGGGGATAACCGGGCCGATGAATACTTAGACCTGGAACAAATTTATGCTTTGGGTTTTGCGCCTGAGGCCTAGAGCCACGGACTAAGTTTGGGGGGATCCACTGTGGGAACAATATCCGCGATGGACGGAGGGTTTTGCAACGCTACTGTACAGTCCGGTTGGCCTGATTTACAGTCCTAATATGGGCAGGGTGTACACTGTAGAATCTGAATCATCTTCTACCCAGTAGTCATTCTGCCTACCCTTAATTTCGATACTCCGCGACCACCTCGGTCGCAGTATCATCAGCTCTCCAATGTACGTATGGACATTGTGTACACGTTGAGAATGTATACGATTCGAGCCTTCCATAACACTTGTCCTCTGTCCTCACCTCCACTGAATACGAAGGCAGTCATGATATATCATTATCCTTCAGCCTGACAAGGAAGGCTGTTTCTCTGGAGTATCTATACTATAAAATTCCCGAGCTTTAGGGTACTCAAATCGACCTAGGATACTTGCAAGTAGAGACTGTCACAAACCAGCGTCAGGCCTGATTGATGATCTGGGTCAAGAATTTTTGTTATTTTTGCATTCTACTCTGAACGCCTTGCTGAATCAATTGACCTAGCGGTAGGCGATGACACTTCAGTAGCCACGTGCGAGCGTCACCGGCCATAGAGTTCAAGTGTCGCTTCCTAGCGAAAAATGATTGGGGGGCGCCTGAAAGAAAACATTCGAGAAAGATGTAACAGTTGCTGGCGACAACCATGTCAGGGGTCGAGAACAGGTATGGGGAAGCGCAGACTGGGAGCATTCAGGAGGAGTTCTTAGTGGCTCGACTGGATACTTGGCGGATGTGTCTGTGAAGAAATTGTCGGGGAACCAATTGACGGTAGATAGCAAAGACTGATCAAAGAATGGGGACTCGAACTCGAAAGCTGTCTTCGGGAACGCTGTCATGAACATATCCATGCCATGATCATAAACCGGGATATCTGGTGGCATTTCTCCCATTAGAGGAACTGGAGCTGCGGTCAATTCTACAGAGAACAACTCTAGAATCTCAGAATTTGCGATCTCACTGCCAGCTGCTGACGAGGAGGCTCCGCTGGGATGGGAGTCCCATGGAATTTGTGTCGGAGATGATCCTTGATTGGAACATGGCAAGTATAGCTGAGAATTATAATCTGCAACATCTGATCCTCCGCTCAATGAAGGAATCTTATCGGGCTGTGTTTCCATGAACTCGGTAAACGTATGCGAGGATTGTAGTGAAGGGTATAAATCTTCCATTCCATCTGCGGAGAAATTTAGCGCTTGGAATACTGCTGCGGGCTGTCTCTTTGACGACTCTGTGTGAATTTCTGTGTTGTGAGATGAAGAAAGTCGAGGACAATTTGGGTCAGGCGGACCCGATTCGGATGTCAACTTTGATGCTTCATTCAAGGCCTTCGCTTTTGAGCGCCTCTTGGAGGGATACTGGCATTCAAGCGAGCGGGTGTCACATCTTTCGCATGTAATGTCACCGGTGCATCGTACCCTCGCCCTAGCACAGTTGAAGCACGCACGAAATGTCTTAGCGGTAACTCGGTGCTTCCAGTCCACCACCCCTTCACTTCGTTGAATATGGCTTAGCTCGTGACGATGTAAGGTGTCCCTGATTGTTGGTTCTCGTCAACAATGTTGCTAATCCAAAGGAAGTGACAGTCAGAACATACTTTCTGGAAAACCTCCGGCCACAATTGGCGCACTCAAAGGGCTTCTCCATTGTATGGCTGTGGACGTGTCGCTTCAGATGCTCTGATCGTTGAAACTTGCTACCACAGACTGAACATTGAACACTGGAGAATGCCATTGCATGTTCCAATGGGTTCCTCCTGTAATGTGTATCTCATATACGGTTAGCTGTCTTGTTTGTCACATCCAGGACCTGAAATTCTTACTTGCCACAGCAACTGGATCTGCAAGCAGTGTTTCTATGCAATTCTATTACATGTTGTGTTGTAAGAGGAGAAGTGAGGGTGCAGGATTGAAAAATTGTCTTACATACTGTGGAGAAGGCAGAGCTATTATACTCGTTATTCAATAGCGCCCAGTTAATTGTTGGCCTGAAATCCGGTATTGAATCCGGTGTAGATCTGACCGAAGAGTACGTCGCCACCAACTCGCGGGGATGAACAATTGTTTGAAGAGCTTCGGACCCATAATGTTTCCCAAGGTTCGATCCTGGATTTCTTCCCGATGCTTCACTGCTTAGTTTTCGTGTTCACTGGATTTGTCAACCTCAACACTATGTCTGATACCGGGCTGCAGAAGACCGCATTTTATCACCGCTTGCTGAGGTGCTGGCAACCAATTTCCATGACATCCAGGCCGCGGCTTCTTCTCAAGTATGTTATCTTATGCTAAGCTCTCAATATTGGAAAGAGGGGCAACGTAACAGTGCCAGTCGTTAACCAATTTCACCTCCGAAAGAGTACTTGTATTGTTCGTTTTCACAAATTTTTCTGCTCGATTGCTTCTTCCCTACTTTCAATGGACATTCTGAAACCGCAGTTGGGCTAGGTTTGTTCTCACAAAGTTATAGACAAATAATAATAACAATATTACTGACCCTCGCTCCATTGCCTGGTCTCTCGAAAAGTTAAGGATCTGCACTACACTGGTGCACGGGCAGCCATAGTGGGTTACATAGCACCCGCTATCCCCGAGATTGAGTTGTGACATCCCGCTATCCCCAGGGCTAGCACTCAATTGGAACAATAACACATTCGTGTCAAGCAGTAATAGCTTTCCTTGACGGCTTTCCACCTAATAAAAGGCCTTTCCTAGAAGCATGACTCTAGTACTATATTTCAAATATAGTTTGATATTTCAAACACGGAAATAACTTTTATTTCATTATCTTCTTACCCTCCGGTCTGTACCTGCTACGAGGCAATGGAGTTTCAAAAGCTTCGAGTCCCTGCATATTAGTATACGTCTCTCGGGGAAGCCGGAGGCCCACCAAGACTCAATCAGAAGAACTGTTGAGAACTGGGCCCATTTGGCGGGGTCTGACGTTCCAGTCAACATATCGTTTAATACACCCTGTCGTACTGACAGGGGAATGAAGTTTCCCGGGGAAAGCGGATCTCACGAGCCCATCTTTGTAGCAAATTCTTTTCAACCCTCCACTAGCCGAAATGAGATTTGTGTTATTTTCCCCAGATCGCTTCAACCCGCAAATTTGCGGGGTTAGGGTAGGATTTACCTACAAGCCCCTGGCTCCTCTCTTCCCGGCCTGCGATCTTCTTCAGCAGATTGCGGGGAGTGCACCGCATAACCATCTCGCTGCGGGCTAAAGAGAGCCGAGAGTTACGCCGGCCATGCTATACGGGATTTGCGCACTGAAGTCCTAACTTACCCCTGGTAGATGCTCAGACAGTTCGGGAATCAAATTATGGCAGACGGTATAGGGTAAGAATCCTCATATTGGTCTCCCCGGAGAACGGGCCTTCAAATTTCTTGATGGCTGTTCATGCTCGTTTTTTCTAGAGTGTCATTTCTATAGTCTGGTAAGGATATAAAAGCTGACTGCTTTCCCTTCGATCACCACCGTTTGATCATCTCTCTAAACAAACGTGTTTCTGAGACCTCCTTGGTTCTAGTGCCTCAAGATGAAGACTTTGGCCACTCTTTGTATGCTCTGCATTGGTCTCTTGGCCCTCACCGTCTCTGGGAAGAAAGCCCAGTATTCTGCGATCCCAAATGGCCAGCAATATCTTGATACGGGCGGGAATCCCATTGATGCCCATGGACCTGGCTTCCTCAAGGTTGACAACACTTGGTACTGGGTCGGTCAGTCCTTTTACACTGCTCCAGCCGGTGCACCGCCGAACGAGGCCATGGTGAACCTGTACAAGTCGACCGATCTGCTCAATTGGGACTTTGTCGGACCGATCGTGACCGCATACACTCCTGGAGTGAACGGGAGTTTACCCTTCGCTTACTCCTTTCCCGGTCGACCTAAGCTACTATACAACAAGCCCACGAAGAAGTATGTTTTGTGGGTACATTGGGAGGAGATTGCTACGTTCGGTGCATCCGAAGTGATTGTTCTTACAGCCGACAACGTCGCCGGTCCGTACACAGTCACCTCGAAATCGCATCGCCGCCCTGGTGCGGGCAACAATTTCCCCGATGCCATGGGTGACCGAATTGGCTCTCTGGTCCTCGATTACAACACTCAGTCGAAGAATACCAGTGACACGTCCCATCCCTATGTCCCCGTGCAGGCTGCCTACCCGCCTCAGATTTACCAATTCAACGCTCCCAACCCTAAAAATCTCACCCAGGTCAGCTACGTGAGCCAAAGTAACGGATATGGGACCTCTGAAGTCGACAATGCCTGGACTTTCCAGTTTGGAAACATCCAGTTCAATTTCACCTTGAAGGCACTGGCGGTGCGAATGACTCCTTGGAATGCCACCTTATACAACCTGTACGAGACACAGTACAGCCTTGGTGTGTCCAGCTACATCGTGCGGTATCCCACCACGAACCGGTCTGAAGTGTCAAGTGCCGTGTATGAGCTTGGAAACCCTGGAACTGCGCGGACGTCCCTGGTGCCACCTGTGATTGGTCCCACCCTGAATGAATCTAAGTCGAATGAAGTGGTCTGGGTCAATAGCGGAGACGCGGCGTTCATCACGGTTGGGACTGACGGAGCGTCCATCTTTTACACTACGGACGGTTCGACACCTTCTCCGACCAGTAGCCAGTACTGGGACGGGACCCGGATCACCATCGCTGGGGCACCTGGAACCAACCTTACGGTCAAAGCCATTTCGGTGTTGAACAACCAGACCAGCAGCGTGGTGAGCCAGACCTACGAGATTGCAAGTGACTCGTCTCTGGTGCCTGTCTTCAACCCTATCATCAACCGCCCCTCCGGTGTCTACCAGCGCGGATCCCCAGAATTCGGTTGGGAAGCATTGCGGGTCTACTGTCCCAGCTACAACACTGTCTGCTACTACACCATGGATGGATTGGACCCCAACCCGCCGATGGAAGGTGACAACAATGGGTACGGTAGCCGAGATATGACAGTTTGGGTGGATCCCAAGACGGATATTGGGTACTTTATGACTGCTAGTGACAATATCTATGGACGCATCTGGCAGCTCACCGAGGACTACACTGACGTGGTTGCGGAACTTGAATTCGATGTCTGGGTGGATAAGTCTCACGAGGCCCCAGCCATGATTCGCAACGGGGAAAGTGCTGGCGAATGGGTTTATCTCGTCAACTCTCAACAGAGCGGGTGGTTTGCAAACCAGGCACAGTATCTCCGGACAAATAACCTTGCTGGTGGCTTCAAACTCCCTCGCGATAGCACGGGGTACCGCGATGGAAGCTCTCTGTGGTCCCCATTCCAGCCCCTTGGCGATTCGAGCACATTCAACAGTCAGTCTTCCTATATTCTGAACATCGGCACGGACGCCAAACCGGTCTATATCTTCATGGGTGACCGAAATGATGCGAGCTACCTCTATGACTCCACCTATGTCTTCCTGCCACTCACTGTGAACGACACGGGTGCGTCCGAGGATGGCAGCGTCGCTTCTGGCGAAATGACGCTCAATTTCACTCCCGAGCTAGAGGTGAATCTGGCTAAGCATAGCATCATTCCTCCTACGTGGAAACTTCTTTCACTGAACCAGCCCGTGGTTGCGTCACCATCTGTTGCGCTAACGCCAGAGCAAGAGGCTGCGGGGACGTACAATTATAGTGCGTCCGTCGCGAATGACGGAGTGGACTTCGACCTCAATATCTACGGTCCTGTGCAGCAGTACTACAAGCCACAGAGCGTCCCCTTTTTCTGGCAAGTGGACCTTGGCAAAAGCTATAATCTTGCCTGGATCGGGCTTTCTTTCCTCAGCTATGGCGGCTCAGATGCAGCGAATCTATACACGATCTTGGCCAGCAATGACGCACAGTCGTGGGTAAAGCTGATCGACAACTCTCAGAACCAGTTACCCGGCTATCAGAGCCACATCCTGTCTGGAGCATACCGCTATATACAAGTCGACGATATTAATATATACGACGTCGATCATGGCAAAGGAGCGGACTGGGAGGCCGGGGTATTCGAAATATCTGTGTATGGATCGTCGCATCATTAAGAAAACGGGTGGAAGTGATGTAGTTACCTTGCAGAGAAGAAGCTCTTCTTGGAGCATTCTCTGGACCTGTCTTTCTTTCCCCTTCCATTTTGTTTTCACCTTCTTTTCCCCCGGGTACGTTGTTTCCGGATTGGAATTTTTCGCGGTGTAGTCAACGCGCCATTACAACGGAAGTCTCTCTGTGCTTGTTTCCTGCCTTTTGGCCTGGGAGCAGCGTGTAGGGCCTCGAGACTCCATTGGGTGCTTGAAGAGGATTGCTGTCAACATCACAATCTGACAATCATTTCACTCTCGTATCAATATTGAGCGCACTATCAGAGTGGCCTCGGGTGATGTTCTTGTATTTCGATATGGTGTCCCCGGAAGCGCAATGAAATCAGATCTTATGCAAGGCTTCCTGATAATTCAACTATACTGATAGTAATAGGTGTATAACCCTGGACGTTACTAGACACGATACTCATCTATAAAGTGGATCTAGAGCCGGGCTGCAGTAGAATGTGGCCACACTAAAGTTAAGCGTGGTCAGGAAGTTATGCATTTAATTATCTATTTTGTACTCTTTATACAATTAGCCTACTCATTTTTCAAAAGATACCTCTTATATGCCAGTGACTCCTATAAATTATTACCTACTCATCTACAAACACGTCTCTCAACACGTCTTTCAATACCTTCGTTTACACCTCTTTTCGTTGAATATTAATTTTAGGAGCGTCTATAGGGTCGTATAATCGAATTACATCACTAGAGTATTCCCCTTCTAATGCCTTTCTACTTACACGCCAATTGTAAATAAAGATCTTCTCATACCGCTAAGGTCATTACGTGTAGGTTGAATATAACGAAGTAACTGAATCGTCAAGATTTTGATTAAGTCATGAAGGGATTTCTGACCACGTTCTACTGTATGCCTACTGTCTGCCCATCTAGAGCCAATAATCATCATCTACAGTAGTGGTTAAGTTAGTTAACGTAAGAAACGGCGGTTTACATAAGCGGTGGCTTGGGATCAACCCGTGATCGGGTAATACGATGGTATGGTAAGGTAATCTAATACTTGGGTGCCCCGCCCCAGTATGTCTTTATTGCCCTCGGCCCCGCTCGATGCTCTTAATAATTGCCAGTTCTCCAGCATGGTAATACCAATACACAGGACCAACCGCACGGTTGATCGACGGAATGTGGGTGCCTGTGAGGAGGAGCCACAGGCCTGATATCATCGCCAACCAAGGCGGAGAGCGGAGGCTGGTTCGAAGCTCCGTGCTCGGTTATTATTCGCCAACCCCCAGGGCTTCAGCCTTCCTTTCTGTCTATTTTCGCGGCGCAAGGCAGTTTTGTTTCGCAGTCCAATGGATGATCTGCCCGTGACTTGCACGTGTCTTTATTTTTGGCGTCGCCGGAGCGTCCAGGACCTTGTTGCCTGGTAACTACTCTCTGGGGTTGCGGATTGCCACTCGACGACCTAGTCTTTACATTGATCTACCAGAACTAGGTACACTCACATAGTCCTCGACCATCCATATATCCTTACACTCCTTCATGGTGCTCCGTAAACCTCCCCCGCCACGTTTGGAGAACCTGCACAAGTGGAATGCTCATACCGCCGCCTCAACGTCTCCCTCGACATCCTCCCCTTCACAGCATCGGGCCCGCCTGAATCGAGCCCCCTCCGAGGATTCTATATACTCTCCCGATCTCAATACCTCCCCGGCATTTGACCTAATGCCGCTCGAAGAAGCCCAGAGATCCCCGGTCGGCTCTCCTACCAGCCATCCGCCAGATCCATGGACTGAGAGTTTCGAAGACCGGGCCAAACAAGAGCATCCAGCCACATTGGCACGGTCTTCCTATCCCACAGAGGCAGATGGTGGTGGAAAATTGATTCCACCAGTTCTGCAGGCGGGCCTACATGCGCCGGCAGAGAATGGCTGGCACCAAACACCACAGCCCGCGTTACCAGCTCCCAACAGCTCAACTGGAGAGGTTCCCATGCAGCTGCAATCAAACAACCCATTCCTGAAGCCACGACCAGTCAACATGAGGCAGAGCTCTTCAGAATCCAACGATTGGAACGACCGACATTCGCATACAACGGCCAGTAGTGACCCTCTCAGTCAGAGTATGATCGATCAGCCTCGCATTGCCTCCTCCCTATTCATGCTCATGCTGACCGATTCTAGCCGAAGGATACATTCCCATGACTGCTCGCCTCTCTTTATTGGACTCTTTGGAGCAACAAGAGTCTCCGTGGGCTGACCACGAACCGCCTCACGCCGAACCTCCACGTCCAATTTCAGTGGATCCGCCCCATGACCCTTCCCCATGGGGTTCGCAACATTCGATCAAGATATCGGCGCCTCAAGAGATTTACCTTCAGGGTGGCCAAACCAACCCTTATGCGCCCGCTCTTGTGGTACAGTCTGCGGACGGTGGTCCGGCGGACGATTCTTACGGATTACCCCCGCCACATGCGGAGGGCAGACTTGGCTCGGATGCCGGTATCAATACTCCCTCTATGATTTCCACTGCAACTTCCGCAACATCACATGAGTTGATCGATTTGGAAATCCCGAGCGGTGCTTTGGGAGTGGATACGGGATCTCATCAGGGTGCCTCGCCCCTGGATACCGACGAGATTGATGAGAAGGGCGAAAAATCACTGTTGGACTCTCGAGACCCATCGACAGGCGAGGTCCCTCAACTGCCCCCAAGGCATGTGTCGCACGAGGGCATCCCACCGCTACCGAGCAGGAATCTTTCTCCCACGGAAGCAGCCCGGCAAAAGGAACAACGAGCGGAAACTTACTCGATTCGCCAAATCAATTGGACCAACCGAGAGGGAACCTTGCTACAGTCGCCAATCTTGGTACAGAATAAAAACGGGCCATGCCCTCTGCTTGCTCTAATCAACGCACTCGTCTTGCGCGCTGATCCAAATGTCGAACCGCCCATCGTGAGGGCATTGAAGACTCGCGAGCAAATTTCGCTGGGGTTGTTGATAGAGGCTCTCTTCGAGGAACTGACTACCTGTCTGGGCCCGGACGAGGAATTTCCAGACATCGAGGCACTCACTCAATTTCTTACAATGCTGCACACCGGCATGAATGTTAATCCACGTCTAACATTGGTAAGTGAACCAGCATAATGACTACTTGCAAGACCGGAAGGCTTATACAGGACTAGGAAACCGTGGAATCACCTGGTACCTTTCTTCAGACCCCAGACCTCCGCTCGTACAGCACATTCGGTATACCTCTGATCCACGGTTGGCTTGCTTCGTGGTCAAGTCCTGAACATACCGGAATGACACGAATAGCCCAGTTCCATGAGGATATTCAACTGCTGCCTTTCCGGAAGCAAGAGCTTGAGGATCGAATCATGCGAGGGGAATCTCTGACCATAGACGAGGAGCAAAATATGGCAGACATCCAGGCTATTGAAAATTTTGTGGACATTGAGAACGCAACACAATTGAGCCCTTTTGGTTTGACGCAGCTGACAACCCATCTGGCCCCAGGATCTGTCTCTATCCTCTTCCGTAACGATCACTTCTCTACACTTTACAAACATCCACAATCTCACCAGCTTTTCACCCTGGTTACTGATGCTGGCTACGCAAACCATGCGGAAGTTGTGTGGGAATCCTTGGTCGATGTGACTGGATTCAACACTGAATTCCTCGCTGGCGACTTCCGTGCTGTTGGCCACGGTCCATCCAGCGCAACCGGTCCAACGAGTCCCGCTGGTCCGCGTACCTCGAGCACCGCTGCAAATGGTACACCGCCTGGCCATGAGGCTGCTCAAAGCCCATTGTCACCTCAAGAACAGAGCGATGCAGATTACGCATACGCCCTCTCGCTTCAGTTCCAAGAGGAAGAACAACGTGAACGTACTGAAAGCGGGCAGAATCCTAACGGTGGTTCTGGAGCTGGCCCTGGCCCTGGTAACCGCAACTCGGTCCCCGTTCGCTTGACTGGGCCTGCTGCTCACATGGACAACCCGCCTGCTCGGAGCTCAAGTACCGGCCTAAGAACGCGGCCGCCGCCTGGCAACGCTGGCTCTGATGATCCCAATGCACCTCCCCCTCCCTACGAACAAGCTGCCGGCGGCCCGCGATACTCGCCCCCTACTGGAAGGCCGACGTTTGATGATATTCAGATCGATCCATACACGGCGAACAACCAAAACTCGCGGAATCGATACTCGCAGCCGCCAGTGAACACGAATCGGTACAGCAGCGACCGGAACAGAAACAAAGACTGTATCATGATGTGAATTGCTGATTTTCAAGCAACCGTGTATTTTGGCTACCCTTGCCTAGTCCCCTTTTGTATAGGGCTACGATGATGCAATAACGAATGAACGTAACGACGAAATGACAACGAGATGTACCTATAGACGAGATGCGGCGTATTCAAACGAAAAATTTGGCTTCCCCATGTCTCGAGTTTGTTAAGCTTTGATACTCTAATCCCGATTTCTTATTTCTCCACGGCATCGTAGAAACCAACACGGACCTTCTCCGCGTAGCGTGCCTGGCGAAGAACGGAGATGAGGGCCCGCAGAAGTGGAAAAGCGGGGAAATGGCAGGGCTTGCAGATTCCTTAATATCCTGCAGGGAATAGGGGCGTTTCGTCACGGTGATTTACTCTGAATTGGGAAATGAAGGGGTAATGGCAAAGGGTTGTCTTATTGGAGGATTTTCGCCGTTCCAGTGTCTCATGCTTCGTCAAGCCACTGGCTCGTAGTTGGACCATTCCCCTTACCAACCTAGTAAATAGACACCCAGTACGGAGATAGAAAACACGAACCATAGGGTTCAGCGGTCATCATTGGTATCCACAGTTCTGTTGAAATGGTTCTTCTGCATGGTGTCCCGTATAGTAATCTTTTCCCAAGCCTGGCTTTTTAAGTGGCTGGCGCTTTACTCCTAAACCAGCCGGAGCATAATAACGCCTTTTATATTGCATATTCATTCATGAACGGAGGCAAGCCCTTATCTTGATTGATATTAGCCTAATACCCGACGGAAGCATACAAGCCAAATCTCCGTTTCTTCAATCCTATTGAGTAGTTATAAATACGCCAGATCGGCATACCTAAGGTGAGCTCCAGGTGGATCACGATCGAATCTTTTGTTCTCACACTGGCGCGCAATACCTCGCAATGTATAGCTCGCGTGCGATAGCCCTTGTGGCATTCTTCGGGTCTGTCAACGCCCAGGTAGCAGGTTATGGACAATGTAGGCCAACTTTATATGCTCTTTGCGCATAAATTCGAAACTGATTTGGAGATAGGTGGTGGCACTGGGTACTCGGGAAGCACAGTCTGCACATCGGGCTATTACTGTACCTCTCAGAATGCTTGTAAGGATGTACCGGGGTCATTTTATATTCACTTGTCTCATCAGTTTCATAGATTACTATCAGTGTGTTCCTGGAACGGCCACGACCAGCGCAACATCCACGTCAAAAACGTCCTTCTCTACTACAACTTCTACCACTTCTACCTCTACTAGTACATCTACAACCCTTAAGACTACTACTTCTCAGACTGCCACACAGACGTCCACTTCTTCTGCAGCCGCCACTTGCACTGGGACGTTCAATGCAATCTCGGCATCCGATTTCGTTGCTAAACTTCATCCTGGTTGGAACCTAGGAAACACTCTCGACGCAACGCCGGATGAAGGCTCCTGGAACAACGCACCCGTAGTAGCCTCGACATTCAGTGATGTCCAAAAAGCCGGGTTCAAGAGTGTTCGCATCCCAGGTAAGCTGTCCCTTGATATGTTGCGCATCGCCTAGATATTAATAAGGTGCAGTCACCTACGCATACCACTTCACTGGAAGCTCTCCAGACTGGACTATTGACCCAACTTGGCTGGCCCGAGTCTCTGAAGTTGTTGACATGGTCACTTCTTTGGGTCTGTACGCCATTGTGGATGCTCATCACGGTAAGATCACGTAATTCAGTCCATCCTGTGCACTCACAGCTAACGTGCACGTAGATTCCTGGATCTGGGCCGATGTCACTGCATCTGGCGCCAACCTGACTATGATTGAAGAAAAGTTCTACAGATTATGGTATCAAGTTGGAACTACGCTGGCTTGCAAGTCGAGTCTTGTTGCCTTTGAACCAATTAACGAGCCGCCATGCAACACTGCCACCGATGCAGCTGAAATCAACAAACTGAACAAGATCTTCCTTCAAGCCATTAACGACGCAGGTGGTTTCAACCCTCAAAGAGTCGTTACTCTTGTGGGAGGTGGTGAGGACAGTGTCAAGACTTCGGAATGGTTTGTTGCGCCCACGGGGTTCTCCAACCCTTACGCCATTCAGTTCCACTACTATAGTCCTTGTAAGTACAGCCAAAGAATTGATGATGTGGACAGTCACACTGATACTACTCAGATGATTTCATCTTCAGCGCATGGTAATTATGCTGATCCAATGACGGCTATGATATCCAGCTAACGACCTGCAGGGGCAAGACTATCTGGGGATCAGACTCTGACAAGGCGACCGTACTGTCAGACTTCACATTGCTCCGCAATAACTTTACAGGTGTTCCTATCCTGATCGGAGAATACGATGCTTCGCCAACCAATACTGAACCAGCTGCCCGCTGGAAATACGTGGACTATCTCATCCGTTCAGCGCTTAGCCTCGACTTTGCCTGCGTCCTTTGGGACAATGGTCTGGACCATCTTGATCGAAACTCGGGCACCTGGCGAGATCCCAATTCCATCTCAATGATCGCCAAATCTACGGCTTCCACAGCAAACAGCTTGCCAGACAGCACTGAGGATGCATCTGCGACATCTCAGTGGTCCTCAGCCTACATTTTCCACGAATACGGAACTAGCGTGGTAGCACAGAGTCTTCCATTCATCTTGAATGGAAATACTCTAACTTCAATCAGCGACTCGACGGGCTCGACTTTGACGTCAGGAACGGACTACTCTGTCTCGGGCTCTAACATTACTTTCTCAGCTTCTTACCTTTCTAAACACATCACTTCCACGACTTCGCCAGGCGTCATTGCCAACCTCACACTGACCTTCTCAGGAGGTCAATCATCGCCTGTCGTCCAAGTTGTCCAGTGGAAGACGCCCACTCTTTCGTCTACCTCTGCAGTGGCTTCTTCAGTCTCCGGTTCTGATCTGAGTATTCCTATTACCTGGGGTGGTCTTCCTGAAGTTGCAGCTGTCAAGGCATTGACTACCACTGGAACATACCTGGTGGATACCTGGACAGTCTACCTGGGCCCATTACAGCAGGCCAGAACAGTAAGTCTACTTCCTGATTGATTTTTGGAATTTGCGCTTACATTTCATGAACTATGACAGACCTACAGCAGCCAATATAACTGGGATTCATCCCATGTGATTATCACTTCTTCTGCAATTAGCTCGGTGATTTCAGCTGGGGTATCCACTGTATTCACGTTCGAGTTCTATCCCCGAGTTGAAGGTGGTGTCAACGCTGTTAACTTTACCTTGACCGTCTAGGGTCCTGGCCCTATAGGGATGGGAGTATAGTCTGAAGAAAGATTGAATTGATTTATTGCACTTGATATACCCTGATATTGTCACATTAACGCCGTAACATCCATTATAACGCTTGCTTCCAAAAATAATCATTCCAACAGGTCAAAATAGTAACGCCATGATATCGTACTGTACAAGACACAGCGGAGATCCACCTGAGTAATCGTCTCATCATCATTCTCATATCAGAAATCAGTCCAGAAGAGAAACAAAAAAGTAAAGCCCTTTTAATATAACGTCTTCAACTCTCTCAATGGAAGTCCTGGGTCATACTTGTCCCAGACAATCTTATTCTTTTCATTCAAATGGGCGCCATCATCCGTGATATTGATATTTGGATCAGTATCCAAAACCTCGTGTCGACTGAAGCCCCATCTATCGCGCGGAATCCACAATGTGGGAGGTGGAGATGCGACGCACGGCTCGAAGTATGCAGTACGCAGTTCTTCCTCGGTGTATTCAACCGGTGCCACATTCTTGCGCACCTTCCGACGAAGGGCAGCGTAGTCCTTGTAGATATTTGGATGGAACCAGGACCAGAATGCACTGACACGTGAGCGGCGTTGGTCGTTGATTTCGGCAACAGCGTCTTCTTTCTCTTGGAGAAGCTCTTCCTCCGCATCTAAAGAGCGTGGGAGGAACGTGTTCAGTGGTGCTAGGGCCTCATTGAGGGAGATATGTGCCAGGATGGTGGCAATTGTGTAGAGTACCATTATGATGACAGGTCCAATGGCGCCCTTGATGGCAAATAGACCGATCATACAGATCTCGGCCAGGTAGATACCGGTCAACAGGTGTTGAAGTGCGCGCGGATATACCAAACCCTTGGTGTCGATCTTGATGTCATAGACAAAGAGGAAGTTGTAACGGTAGGCTTGATAGACAAGGTACAAGCCAATGAAAGCAAAGCCCAAAATCAAGGGGGAGATACAGGAGTATGTTAAAGCTGGATAATCGTTAGCCAATGCAGATGTCATGGAATGCAAGTCTCTTACCAATCACACCCATGTTGGTGAAGACGGGGAACACGTTGCCCCAACTCAGACTACCGAGCTCAGCCCATCGTTGGAACAGACGGCGCGGAGAGTAGGCGAAGAAGGTAGTCACGAATTTGAATAGTAGAGCGCTCACAATCTGAACGAGAGCCATGGAGCTCATACTCAGACCCTGAAGCAAAAAGTAGGATATGTAAAAGTTGGTAGCTTTGGGCAAATTCTGAGCCAAAAGGTCCTTTGCTGAAAGAGGGTCCTTGATAATTTGGGCAGTAGCAGCAGATGCGGCAGAGGTCAAAGTCGTCACCAAGAACACTTGCACGACTTGAAAGACAAAATGAGCACTCTGGGTGAAGAGCTCAACTCGGGCCAATGATGGCACTCCAGCGCGCCGAGCACAAACTTTGTGATCATGTTAGAAGAGTTTTTTGGCAATGATAAACGGGTCATACTTACTTCGACAGATAATCGGTACCAGCGACATCAGTGCCACGAGGGCAGCGGATGGGAGAAGACCCTCGATTGCACCTTTGACAAAATCCGGCAGCTTGAGAATGAATCTCAGCGGCGGCAGGATTTTGCACAGGTAGGTGATGTTCGAGATGGTTCCAACAAGGGCGGCTGGGAATGACCAGAAGACTACCATTGCTGCGAGGCCTCCTTGGACCGCGAATTTTCGGATAATACGCTGCCACCAGCTCAGATTCAGTGCCGACCAGACAACGTCGCCTGGAGCAACTCCGATGAAACGTGGCGTCATGTGGAACGGCTGGTGGTGTGAGAGAGTTTGTAGAGCAATCTGGGCATCAGACTGCGAACCGAATTCAACGAACATCGCGGATAGCTTCTTGGCGTCACCATCCTGATGCTTCCTTTGAAGGACCTCAACTTCTTTCGTTACTCTGACAAGCTGCTCGCGATACCAGCGGATTGAATCAACCTTCCGACCGAAGAGGAACTTGAGACGATGAGTCGGGCGTTTGACTTTATGGGACCATGCTGGATTGCTTGATTCGCAGTCGAGGCATGTGTCGGAAGAGAACTCGCCGTTTTTCAAGGCCTTTTGGCGGATTTTGTTTGCTCGCCGAATGAGCTTGGTCTCTGCAGTTTCAAGCTTGCAGGCTAATTTGTCCCGTTCACTCACAAGCTTGTCGAGTTTTTTGCAGTCCGAGGTGATCCAGATCCGAGTAATTGTGTCGCCAAATACCTGCCGCAGTTGTTTTTCGTTCTTATAGGCGTCGGGCACCGACATGAACAGGACAGTCCTGGAAGAAATTCGAGAAGCGTAGGCAGGGGAGTTGAGATATGCCTGGCGCAAATTTGCATAATAGAGGCTTTCACGAGTCACGACGTAGAACACAAACGCTAGCCTCAAATTAGGGAAGCGCATTGAAAAGAGGGATGTAAATACTCACTGAAAAAGATCAATGCGGCGATAGTGTTGGCATAATACTTGGTTGGATTTGCGACGTTACTGAAGCTCAAGATGTCCAGCTGGTCGTTCCCGTTCCCACCCGTCGCATGTATTGGTAGAAGAATAGGCCATGTAATTAAACAGCCAAAGGCGCATACCGCGCACAAGACGCGCAAGAACCGCAGAAATAGATACCCATCAAGGGAAGAGTGGTGCATCACATGGTTGTCTTCTATCTTCAAGAATGTGCCGAACCAGTTGACCCAACCTGATGGTAATTCAGGACTTCGTTGATGCTCATGAATGTCTGGTAGGTGGGATCTCGGCGCGTACCAGCGACGCTGAGTTCTGCGAAATATCAGAAAGAGTCCGAACCAGAATGCTGCATATATCAATGCCGGCAGCAAGGTCATCATCAAGGCGGAGGCGGAGGAGCCACCTTCGCCAGTGAGGCCACTGGCAATCTCGCTCGATGTGGACGAAGCATTGCCTCGAGAGGAGCCAATATTGGGATCGTTGTTTGGTTCCTGCTCAGATTGAATCCATCGTTAGCTCTTTTGCTTGAAGTGCTAATAAATGGGCGGTATTCACGTACGATTGACATACTGGAAGTGTGCCTGGTACCTGATCACCCCAGGAGGAGACGTGACAGGAGTTGGGGGAGGCACTAATCAAATATGGAGAGCGGGACTGGTCTAAAGAGCACCAGACAAAAAAAAGACATTGATCCATAATTTCTCCGTCACAAAGCATGACGGCCCGCCCCTCTCCATTCAAGCGTCTGTCACCTCTCAAGGAGACTGGGCATAGTTAGGGTTCACGCGTCGGTGAGCGCTGATAGGTGCGTCGAATTGCACCAAGCCCTCGGAACGCGATAGTTTGTCGATCCTGTACTTTTGTGCGCCACACCTCGTCGGGTCCGACGCATCACGCTGCATCGGCCAGGCAGACACACATTTGGTCCTCGCGACTCGATAGGTGCTTCTCTTTTTTCTCTCAGTTCAGCCCTACATGATCAGTACGAGCGTCCCGGTACCTGGAATTAAGGCGTCATAAACATCGTGGAGGGCAAAAGCAAAGAGAGCCGCGAGTCCCCCTGTGGGTCCCTGGGGAACCAAACTATCGAAGACGCACCGACGATCGTGAATTTCGAAGATGCTGTGGATCGAGGGTCTGTCTCTCCCCTGAGCGCATGGACGATTGGACCCCAAATCTGGAACTATGTAGGATTTGGCATCTGAAGATGCAGCCCGTGCTCCTGCCAAGTGCCTTCACAAGGCTGTTGACCCAATTGATCTCGATTGACACTTGGCATGCTGGTGGTCTGCATAGTCTTGGTGAAGACTGCTCAAAGTATGCGCGTCCTGCAGGTGGCAGAGGCAAGCGCAGCCGGCGGGGATGGATGCCACTCTTCGTTCTCTTTCGAATATTCTTGCTCATCTCGCATGGGATAGACAATCGCCTTGTGTAACACATCGCTAGCTCGTTCCCTTCCAGCCCCCCCACTACGGTTGATTCGGTGGGCGAGAACCTTTGTTGACGGCGTCATGGGTGTTGATCCATTCTCCTTCACCCTGCCACACGGCTTTTGACAGCGGCAGACTTCTTGACCAGCCGGACGCAAGGGGCATACATTTTCTGGCACTTGTGGGAGACGGGCGCTAATAATACGCGACGACTCTGACAAGGGGTTGCAACGCATGTTTGTAGCGGGCTGGGCATATTCAAATTTCTGCGAAGTGTTCTGGGCCTGGTAGTCCTGGCTGATGGCTGATAGACAAGGATTCTCATGGGTCTGAGCGCCGATTAAGTGCATCTAGAGTCTCGACCAGATTTGATCTGCGAAGCACTGCCGCTGTGTTTCCCATGGATCGGGTCAGGTTCCCTGCTTTATCTCGTCCACACGTGTGGGTGTGTAACACCGAGGGATCTCCCTTGATGATCATGCCACCGTGTAGCACGATCTGCGAGCAGGTGGGAACAAGGAGAGACGAAAGTCTAGATGTTTGGTGGACTCGATTGCCGAACTGCCGTGGATGCGAAGAAACCGGGATGAGCCCTGCGCGAACGTCTGCACTTCGCACTCGATACGGTCGCATGCATTGCAGCACGGCGGATAGCTCTTCCGGGTTGAATAATCAGGAGTCAATCGAGGGGTTTGTCGTCTGTAAGAGATTTATCCAGAAAGAGTAGTTGAATGCAGAAGCACCAGGTGGTGGAGGCCTACGCACGTGTTCGACACTCTTTTTCAGCTACACTCAAATTCCCACCGACTACGCCGCAACGAGTGTACATGTAAACTCCAGAAATGGGTATTATGAGGATGGACGATACAAAATGATTAAATTATTGGAACTTCCCTCTCATGATTCGCTCAACTCATCCGACAAAGCTGATCGGCCTGCTTCAAAAACAGCCGCAGCTTTTAACAGCATCGCGTCCTCCCAGCGTCGGCCAACAAGTTGCATCCCAATCGGCAATTGGACCTCGGGTCGACCTGGAAGACTCTCCGCCCGGCCAAATCCACAAGGCACACTCATTGCAGGATGCCCGGTGACATTAAACGGAGCTGTGTTCGTAGTCACCCCCACGGCAGCCGAGAGCTTCTCCATGATGCTTGATTCGGGGCCGTCGCCATCGGCCTGCATCTTGGGGTGCGTCATTGCAACGGTAGGCGCACATGGCGTGACGAGGACGTCAACTTGCGCGAATGCCTGATCGTAGGCTGCCCGGAGCTCGAAGACTTTGCGGTGCGCCTTGGCTTCCACACTGGGACCAAAGACTTCCTGCAGGAATGGACCGGATAACATGACATTCATTGCCGCCGGGTTGGTCGCAGTGAGTAACTCGTACATACGCTGGTCGGGCGGCCATTGAGCTTGGATGTGTGGTGGCAGGAAAGACAAGTGTCCAGACGTCTTACCCTGGCAGGCCCATTCAGACATGCTCATTCTCGTGGCGGCAGTCCAGATGAGGCTGCCCTCACGATGCAGAGGAACGGAAATGTCCATCACCTCAGCTCCTGCGGCGGCAAAGGACGACCAGGCGGATTCAAGAACCGTGTCTCGAACTTCAGGGGACAGGCCCGGGACCTTGAATGACTCTGTTAATAGACCAATCTTCATACCGGACCCAATTCGTTCTCCATTTTCCAAGTTGCGATTCCGAAACTCGGCCAGAATGCGGGAGTAATTTTGTACTTGATCCTGAAGCGGAGATTCAGGGGTCATTCGTGGATCAATCCCATCATATCCAGCCATCACTTGCAGCAACAAGGCGAGATCCTCGAGGTTGGCCGCAAGGGGTCCGAGATGGTCAATCATGGGTGACAACGAGACAGCACCGGTATATGGAATCAGGCCATACGTTGGCTTCAGTCCGTAAATGCCACTATAGGACGCTGGATTACGGACCGATCCAGCCTGGTCGCCACCAATCGCAATATCCACCGTTTCTCCAAACAATCGGCCGGTCTCGCGGTGTATGACAGTCGCTGCAACGAGAGCAGCGGATCCGCTGCTACTTCCGCCAGAAGTATAGCCAGAGGCAAAGGCATTATGCACTGGACCGCTGGCGGCACTATACGAAAGAGGCGAGGCACAATAGTTCTCACAAGTGGAGGTACCTTTGATGATCGCACCGGCTGCGAGCACTCGCGAGACCACAGATGCATCAATTGGAGAAATGGGAAGCTGGCCGTCTTTGCAAAGCAACTCAGTGAATGTACCCACGGTAGTTGGCAGGCCGCCGACGGAGATGTTGTCTTTGATTACGATAGTTTTGCCACGGAGTACGCTGCTGGTCGGGTTTGCCGCGATGAGCTCGCAGCGAAATCTCCAAGCGTTCAAGGGATTGTCTTCCTTGTGAGGCTCCCAAAAGGTACGGGGAGCTGTTGTTGCCAGGGGAGAAAGCGCAGGATGAATGTAGTCGTCACAGCTTTGGATGTGTTTCATAACAGCCTCGGCTGACTGGAGCAGATGCAAGTAGGCCGCTGTCTCATGGCCTTCTGGGATCCTGATTCCGAGCTTAGTAGCTGCAATCTGCAAATGCTCGACTGATATATTTGACCTAAAAAGAGTTAGAGCCACTTGATAATCGTTCGAGTCATCGGTCACGTACTGGGTGGGATCAGCCAAAAATGCTACCGACATCGTGAATAGCTACAACGGAGAAGAATTTCCAGTAGTACTATCAATCAGTAACGAGGATAGAGCGGGATAATTATGAGTCCTATTACCAACGCCATGAACTAGAGAGCAGGATCGATAATGCAGAAGAGAGAAACAGCCGGCAAATCCACGGCATCGGAGGTGCCGCTTTGCTTCAGCGACAGTGCGGGGTCCCCGATGACAACACTGCAGAGGCAAGAGAGTCACGGAAAGTGGAGTGTGAATGAAGAAGGGCTGCATATCTTCAATTACATACTCCAAGATTAAGTGGAAAGTCATAGAATTGCAACATCGCTGGAAATGTATGCCAGTTGTCGTATTATTCCTGTCCATTTGCTAACAAAATCCGGCCGCCATCTACACATAACGAGACACCATCCACGTAGGCCTAAGAAGAGCTCAGAATTAGTATTGCAAGAGAGTCAACGTAGGGTATGGTGGATTCCGAGGTTACATACTCCGGCTTTGCTCACGAGATACAAGATCGTGCCCGCCATATCTTCTGAAGCGCCCGCTCGCTTTGCAGGAACCTTGTCAAACAGCGAACTGAAGATATTTCCTTCCGCACCAACCGGATTCATATTACTCGGAACGACTGAATGAAGCCGTAGAATCAGCGATTATTCAGGTTTTGCATGTTCATAGAAGTCAACTCACATCCTGGGTTGATGCCCACCACTCGGACGTAGAAGCGATTGTACTTGGCTGCCAGCAACTTGACCAAATGGTCGGTAGCGGCCTTACTGGTGGCATAGCTAGTCAAATCGACATTTGTCACATTGTGCATACTGGCACAAGAGCTGGTAATCACAATCACACCTCTCCCTTCATCGCGACCTTTTCCTCCGCTGCTCGTCTGTTTCTCGGCTGCTGCGACCAGAAGAGGAAGGAAGGCAACACTAAGGAAGTAATGCGCTGTTGAGTTCACTCGAAAAGTGTCTTCCCAGTCTTTTTCCTCAATAGACCACATTGAATTTTGAAGCTCCTCCAGTGTTGCAGTCAGGACATTGCACGCCTGGGGAGGGTCACGACGAATGCCCGCATTTGAGATCAATATATCCAAGTACTGTTCTTTTTGGGAGACCTTCTGAGCAAATTGAGATATTGACTTTTTGGATGAAACATCACAGACAAAACTAAGTGTTCAGTCAGCTACTATCCAAAGATCTCGTGAGTCTGTGCCTACCCTTCCGCACTTCCCCCGCTATCTCGCCCCAGACGATTTAGCTCACTAACGACATCATCGATAGGGTCACTTGACAATGCAGCGAGGTAGACTTTTGCACCATTCTGGATAAGTCCCTGGTCCACGGTCAACTTTGAACATTGAAATTCCAAGAGTAACACTTACCTTAGAGATCATAAGTCCTATTCCACTACTCCCGCCTGTCACCACTGCCACGCGGCCTTTTACATTGAATAGATCAAACGCTGCGAGAGACGACATCTCCAAATGTAGCCAGACGTGGATTTTGTAAGTCAAGAAGACTGTGCAGAGAAGACCATAAATAAATCCGTGCTCTAGACAGAAAGTGGGGGAGTGACCTGGCCCGTCGGAGGAGCCGAAAGGGTGCAAAACGCATTTCAAATATTAGAAGTCCTGGTGGACAAGATCCTTCTGCACTGATATTAACAGAATATGTCGTATGGCACATCGTTCTACTTGATATTGAAATGGATTTCTCTACATTATTCTTGACATATCTTTCTAACTCAATAGAAGTGTTGACGTCGACGTGGATAGCTCCATCGATACAAGACCACCGATGTGATCAGGCGCCAAAAGTGGACCCCCATAGCATCTTTAAAATCGTGGCTCTCCTCACGTTACGTGCGCTACTTATATTGGCCTCGGTCATGTCAGAACATAGCGTTCTAACATATTTAGTCTTTTAGTCTATTAGACTGACTCGCGGGCCCGGGTATTTGACGTAACAATATCAACCATTCAGCATCACCGCTTGGGAATTTCGATTACAGCTGCACCGAAGCCGCAGGGATGGGGAGAAAAAGTCGCGACCTCATTGGACCAGGAAAGAAGGAAAATCAGCCTCCATATGAGTGAGAACATCTTATTGGGCGTTGGATCGAGGAAGCAGGATTAAAGATGAGTTGTCTTAAAATTTCTTCTTCTCCCAGCGAACCATTTACGCCGCACGCTTGCGGGTCATCCTGGAAACATACTGACGACCTGTGTCGAACAACAATATAAATGCCTTTGCCAATCCACTGGAATTCTTGTGCCTTTACTATTGCAACTCAATATCTATCTCAATCATCTACTCTTCAAATTTCGGTCTAATCCTTCTGAAACGCGCAACGTTGTTGCCTACGGAGAACCTTTACGATACATATAAGTATGACTTGGCGACAAGACAACATTCATTTGGGCGAATGGGATCGATTCAATGAGGACCTAAAGCCTGGAGATACCTATCTTCAAGACGACTATGGAAATATCTGGCATCCGTCCTATGTTCCTGGTTCGACAGTACTGTCTCAACAGTCCAAGTACATGCCCTTTGATCAGGTTGGGCGACATCAAACGTCCTCTGCGCCGGGTAGCTTCCTTCACGGAGGCAATTCACTGGATGATCACAGCAATACGACTAGGTGCTTGCAGTTCAATAGTCCAGTTTCAACAATGATTCTTGTGATCATACTGTCTCCCCAACCGTGGTGAGACACCACTTCATCAGAAGTCAGGCTGGTATCTTCTGGGATAGGAGTTCTGGGCCAATGGAATGGCGATGCATGGCTTGATCAAATATCTACTTTTTCTTTTCTTTCGGGGTTTCATCTCTTCCATCTATTCAATCTTTCTGCTTGTGGAAAATTGATTGTCAAGAGGGTAATAGTCAAGGAATAAAAAATCAATTCAACGTGTATCCATTCCACCACCTCCTCGCCCTCTCACTCCTTATAATGCTCCTTCGTGCGAAGCTCTGCCAAATTCAAGCATTCACTAGTCATAGCATCATCTCTAGGAATCAACTTGACCTTAAAGTCCCTGGGAATCGCAACAAGCGCAGTTTTGAACTGATTATAATCCACATAGTCCGTGTTTGGTGGATTTTCCTCGCTGGCGACGATCTTGTAGGAAGAGAGAAGGCGAATCAAGGCGATGTAAAGTAGTCTCGAGGCAATGAATTGACCTGAGCATGCTCGAGATCCAGATCCAAAGCTCAGGTGAGGTAGACCACTCCCCTCCGTCTCGACTGGTGGGTCGATAGACTTCAGCCACCTTTCTGGATCGAAGTTGCCACCGTCGGGGCCAAAATGGTCCACATCTAAATCTGGAATCAGTTATCCGAAATGCGATACATCAAGTGTACTGACCGTGATTTCCTGCTTGGGCGTTGATCAAAATCATTGTCTTGGGTGGAATAATTGCTCCGTTCCAGTTCACCTCCGTGACGGTTTTCCGTGGCAGACTCATCGCGCTAACTGTATAATAACGCCCTGCTTCTTTGATGATAGCGTTAACGTACGGAACTTGCTCTTCTGAGATTGAACTTGTCCATGCTTCGCGAATGTCGGGATAATGGCGTTTGATGTCCTCGTAGGCACGATCCTGCCAGATCTGTCCTTCGGGTGTAGACAAAGAGCCGATACAAGACGTCAGAGTACCCGGAATAGTCTCGAAGCCACCCGAAACTAATGAGAGGCAGATTGAGGAAACTTCAACTCCGGTGAGTTTCGTTTCTTCATCCTTGAGAATAGCAGCAGAGATACAAGGCTTATCGGTTCCCTTTTTGATCATGGCTCGTACCTTGTCCAGTAGGAGATTGAGATAAGCATCGCGACGATCACGTAGCTCTTTTGATCGGGTAGTCTTCTCATTATTGGGAAGGTATCGCAGTACCGGAATATAGTCTTGCAGATTTTCAGAGGCACTTCGTAAAAGTGAAATGGCAGAGCCGACGTGTAGAATCTCGCGCAAAAGGTCGTCATACACAGCATCCATGCGGATCCCATAACAGAGTGTCAAGGTTGTATTCAAAGCATATCGTTGAATATACGGTCGCACATTGATTTCAGTTGCCCCATTTTGGCTATCACGGTAGATGTCGCGGACAATGCAGTAACTTTCCAGATCAAACATCGGGTGATAATGTCGCAGAGCTGGCCTTCCTAGAGCCGTGCCCGCAGCCTTGCGCTTTTTCTTGCACGAATCGTCCCAGGGAGATGAGCCGATAGTAAAGCCTTGTGTGCTGCTCACAACTCCATGAAAGGTATATAGCTTTGGGCGATCGATGATTGCATTCTGGTGGCCAAGAAGCATCTTCCGGCAGTCATCGAACGAGTTGACTACAACGGCCCTTGTGTTTCCAAGTTTGATTTGAAAGACCGAGTGGCCATATTCCCGCCACCATCGTTCACATACAGTTGCGTGGTCTTCGCCGAGTTTGAGGAGATGTCCAAAAACTGGCACAGCCCCGGGGATCTCTGGTAGGCCTTTGATGTGAGGAATATCGGTCGCCAGCGTCCACTAGGAAGCATCAGGATTAGATGTCAGGATGCAAGAATATTTAAACATGCGATAAACGTACTTTGTAAATCAAATAAAGGATCAAGGGTATAACAACCAGGGTATAGCTTCGAGGAATGACCCCCATGAGAGCCGAATGCTCCTCAAGTTTCATATCGATCATCTTGTCGTCGACCAAGGCTGTCCGCTGAAACCTAGTTTCCCAACCTGCGCAGCTCGAATTTTATTTTGCAGCTGCCCTTTCCTGTGGATTAAATAACATTTGTCTCAAAGATGACGCGAATTTTCTGGCTTCAAATGAATCTATCTATTCTCCGGCATTGTTGCGTCGGCCGACGATTGACCCCTCATCGGTCCTCGTCAATCCAATCGTTGCAGTGTCGGACGGTCCGACCACCGCTTATCATCTTGTGATAAGGTTCTCCCCACGGATTTCTTCAAGTAGTATAGTTAGATGCCAAGTGGGAGAATGGAGCGATAGAATATTTAGCAATGAGTCTGCATAAACAAAGTTAATAATATTCTCACTAGCTCTTCGCTATAATGTCAGAGGACACACTATTCTTGAAACACGATTAATACATTTTTTAGATGTGGTCTGAGCAGTTTTGCATTGAGTGGTACTATTTACAGAGAATACTAAGTCAAGTTCAAGGATTACTTTCTAGGAACGTCGCAATTCTTCGATCCATCCACTCAGTGTCCTCTGGGTTGGCACCGCCTCCACCAATATGGCCCCAGATCGATGGGATCACCGCCAACTCTCCGTTCTTTAGATACGACGCTTCTTTCTCGTTGGCTTCCCATGTGAAGTACTGGTCAGTCTGGCAGGGCATCAGAAGGATCCTCGTAGTCAGGCTTTGAAGCGCTTGTTCGATGGGAACTTTCGTAGAATCAGATTCCAAAGCAACTCCAATATCAGACCGTTGCCACATTCCTAGCATAACGAGGAGATTGTCCGGATGCCAGTCCTCGTAGCCCTCTTCACCCGCCTTGCTCCATTCCTCGAGAGTTTTGAAGCCTTGCCTCTCAAACAGACGCTGTTCGAACCACTCCGCACTCGTCAGCCAGGCGGAGTACGCTCGGCTGAAAGCATGTAGCCCACGAAGTGCGAACCCTCCTTGAGACCTCATAGCAATATCGTTGTAGTCAATTGAATGAGACAAAGCCGCTTTAGGCCCTTCCAGGAATTGATAGTTGTGCAGACTGGTCTTCGCTGACGAACAGATAATCACGGCATTTCGAAGCATTTGGGGATACATGGCAGCCCAGTGATAGGTGCATTGTCCACCCATGGAGAAGCCAATCATCACGTCAATGGAGGAGATGTTGAATTTTTCGGTGACCATCTTGTACTTGGCTCGAACGCAGTCTCGATAATCGAGGGTAGATGGGAAGTTATCGGTGTTTGAAGGACCGGACGATTCGCCATTGCCGAGTAACGCTACGACGATAACTCGATGGTTGCGCAGAACTCCGGTGGTGAAGTTCAAAGTCGTGTTTATCCTCCCACGAAAGCAGGTCGGAATCAGTGCGACTTTCTGGGCAGTGGGATTGAACTCCCGATAGGCGAGTCGTACACTGGGAAGTGTGACGCCATTTTGGAATGTGAAGTCTTTGAGCTCACAGTATTGGATTCCGGTATCATCGTAAGCTGGCGGCATGGTGGATGTCGATAATCGGGTTTCACGGGGCTTCAAGCCTGCCGATGGGATGGATAGGATGCCAGAGGAGAGACCGTGATGGTTCTTGACAGCTCGGGGTTCGGTTCTACTTAGTTGGCACCGATCTGATATTTGACGTGGTTCGGAGGACCCGACGGGCAGAAGTTTGGTATCCCGCTGGAGAGGTGGATTCGTGAATTTATGTACAGGACAATTAGATTTGACTCCACTTGTTTACCCCTCACAGTCACATCTCAGCGCCGAAAATGGCCGTGGCCTTGATTTCAACCGCAAACCGGGGATCGGGCAATTCTTTCACCCCGATCGTCGCTCGGCTCGGAGCGCGCGCACGATCGGACCAGATCTTGTTCCACTCTTCATTCATGTCGGCGTATTGTGTCTTCATGTCCAAGATGTAGACTGTCGAATCGACGATGTTGTGGATATTTGCCTTCCCATTGGAAGCTCCCTTAATGATGCTGTCGATTCGGCGCAAGACTGCTGCCGTCTGCTCTCGTACATTGATTGTGAAAGATCCGTCTGCATTTTCTTTGACACCTTCATATGTGCCTTCGGGAGTGACAGCAGCAATGCCTGAGATGTAAATTGTGTGGTGGGTGGACGGTGCCACGACGCGAGCGTGGGAGTATCGGGTAAGCCCAGCGGGCTTCTCAGGATCGAGGAGGAACGATTGGCCGTTGGCTGGCATTATTTTTACTGGTGATTGGAGCTGGAACTGGAATTATCGTTTCTCCCAAAAAGAATAATTGTCGATCTGTATGGCAATACTTGCCATCCTCTTATCACTTTCTTATAACTATTCGGTTTGACCCATACGTCAACGACGAGAGGCGGACCCCCCGACCAGGGGAAGCGGCGGGCGGCAGAGCCGAAGAAAGGAAGAAAAGCAGCCAGTATACCGAGTCAATGAATGTTAGATAGCGCAAAATGAATAGGGTAATTCTAGCCGGAAGATGTAAGGATCGTTGAACCTTTTCCAGATACCATTTTGCGTGTAAAATTGTTGTCAGGCTGTCGCACAGTGGCAGTTCAACAGTCTGAATCTCAGGACCGAGAAAGAGATCCACCTAAATACGTATCAACTTTCTCTCTTGGACGATCGGTTTAGATATCTCAGCAAATATATGTCTCTTTATTTTCCTAGTATGACGGATGAGATGATTTTGAACTTTCTTGGGAGTTTAAAACTTATAGAGTTCCACTGTATGTAGTTGTTGTCCGGGGTTCTACTCTTCTCCATTTCTCACGCGCGGTGGTATAGATGTGGAATACCTTGATTCCAATTATGTACTCTTCGCTTATTCCCCTTCTAGAGTGCTATCGGGTTGATGCCACAGAGACTCCAATATATAATTTGCATCCGGTACCAAGTTCGCTCTCCGCTTCTTGCTCTTCATCTCTCAGGCTGAATCATCAGCATTGTGAGGTAGTTATCGGTTCCTCGACTTGAGTCTTGGTTTCCCTCTGTTGCGATAGAGCTGCTTCACTGCTGCCTTAATTTGGCTTGAACGGCGCAACCTTGACCTGATTTAGGTCGATATTGAAAGTTGATTTGTCGTCACCATCATTCAAAAATGTGTCAAAGTCAAATTCCGCTAGGATGTCCCCCGTCTTCGAGGCGCCAAAGTCTGGCCCGAAAGAACTGTCCTTTCCCACCTTCATCCAATGTCAATATCAAATTGTGAGACTCGGTTGGTCGATTGAGGGATACATACTTCAGGAAGATTGGCACTGGTGGAAGACCGCTCAAATACACTTTCGGCCGACTCGTCAATGAGAAACGGCGTTCTCGACGAAGATGATTGCGTATTTGAAGCTATGTTGTGTTCGGGAACTAGATATTGGGACCGCATTCTATCTCGAGGTGAATAATGTAGTAGTGGACCTGGCTGACCAGGGTTATACAGGTTTGGCGAAAGCTTGTGTATTCCAGGTGATTGATCAGACGGCGGTTCGGGTATGCTGGGATTGCCCGAACTCAGGTATACTTGTGCCTGCATCACCAACTCACCTGACATTTGCTGAGACTGGAGTTGCTGTTGACTCATTGGCATCGCAGCTCGAGCTTGAAGTTGTTCTTGAAGCAGCTGTGTGTGGACTCTTGTCGCTCTCTCTTCGTGCTTTAACCCTGTATCTGGTCAGGGCTGATTTTTGGCACGTTTGGATTCAAACGCGAGAAACGTGGCGAGTATGAAGTTTCCGCATCTCGTGCAAAAGTAGTTAAAAGTAATGGAATTTATGCGCGTACAACTCCCCCACATGATGTGGACACTCCGCTATCGTCAATTCTCAGCCTTTTATTGGAGGCTCCTCGCTATCCCCGCACGGCCAAGTACATACTGTAGTCGGTCCTCAGAGGAGGGGAGTTCTCGCTGATTATTAGGTAACCAGATGCATTTGGACGAGAAATACCTCTACTATAGATGGTTTAGATCTGGACCCCCAAGAAATAACAAGAAAAGAATGGAAATGTGTCCAGTGATGACCAAGCGTGTACTAAATGCAGATTATCAGGAGATAACGCGCGATAAGTGAATCATCCGCAAGGTTCCCTCTCCCAATCGGCCTTATCTTCCCTGTTCCCCGCTCTCAACAGTCTGCATATCCCCGACTTGATGCTTCATGCTGGACAACTATGATGCCAGAACCCGCTGCTCGGGCGGAAAGCTCCTGCAAACGCTGCCATCGAAGAAAAAAGCGCTGCGATAAGACTCTACCACAATGTCACGCATGTCAACATGCCAAGGTCTCCTGTAGCTTTCTCGACGATGAAACGCAGGTCGCATCCTATCCAGTCGCGTATGGACCCCGATTCCAACCAAAGACAAGTTTTGCGTCTTCATGTGGACTCTGTCTAACAGCCAATAGATACGTGCGCGGCTTGGAGAGACGAGTGAAAGAGCTGGAACAACAGCTCACAGCGTCGCTCACGCCCCAACATTCCCAGACTGATCCGTTATTATACCCGTGGGATCAAGAGACAGATATTCATTTAGGCGAAAGCACGATGAATATGGACAATCTCACAGCAAATCAATCACCTCCTGCAGTGTCAAAAAAGCACCCATTGCCTCCCTCCGATACGCAACCTAATTCTTCCCCGTTGGATATTGCTGGACAGAGAAGTGGAAATCTAGCTGATGAGCTCCGGTTGTTGTCATTGGAGGCAGCAGCAGAGAGATATTTAGGCTCCTCGTCAGGCCTCTCCTTTGCCAAGTTAACTCAAACTGTCCTTCAAAGACTCTCGCCCGACCAAGAAGGGTTTATGTTTGACGGAGGAGTCACAGATAATCAGGAGCAAGCTTGTGATTCTGATCCAGAACTTGATCCACTTTTTAATTCAAATTCTATCTTTTTTGAAATGAACGCCTCGTTGACGGCCCCCCTTCCTCTGAACTCGATCTTTGACAACCCGGTGGTTACGGAATTCGAGGACTCGATGGGCCTCGCCTTGTTGGATCCCTCCCATATCAACTCTCTCCTCGAGTTCTACTTCGCCCACTCACATACTCTCTATCCCTTTATTCGAAAGAGTGAATTCGAAGCGGTACTCTGGAGGGTATACGGTGACCCACTTGATCCCCTGGCCCAGTCGCCTCTATGGCAGTTCCGAATTTGGATGGTTCTCGCGATTGGCTCCACCACTTATTGCTCTGTATCTTTGATGGACGAGACAGAGCCTTTACAACTCTTTAACAAGGCTATGACCTACTTTGAACCTGCAATGGGATGTGGGGACTTGGTAAGTTTTATCCCCGCCGACTCGTGTATTTTGTAATGGGCTAATTTTGGAACTCAGGCTGGCTTAGAGGTATTAATGCTGCAGGTTTCATATTCGTTCTTCAACAAAATCGGACCCAGTATGTGTGAATGATCTGCGCAAAAATTCGCCTTGGCTATCAAGTCACTAACACGCGGCAGATACTTGGTTCCTGGTAGGGGTAGCGGCTCGCATGGCGACAGGCATGGGGCTCCACACATCAGACGTGTACCAGACCCTGGCGGTAGATGTCGCCGAAGAGCAGAAGCGACTTTTCTTTTCTTTATACATGATGGACCGGTACGATTTGTGTTGATACACAACTATTTTTCGGAATCATTGATAGACTAACTTTTCCCAGTGTCGTGTCGTTGGCTCTGGGACGACCGTTTGCCATTCAAGACGATGATATTACAGTCGAGGTTTGTCCAACCCAATTCCAACCAGTCCTAGAAGAATAAACTACTAAATCACTTGTACTAGCCATTCGCCGACGCCGACGACGCAAATATCCAACCTGATGGCATCGTCGCAGCATCGACACTGGAGGCGTCCACAATGGCCGTCCCCCTGCACATTCTAGCACTTCGGAGAATTGCGAGTGATATCGGCAGTCAAGTCCATTCATCAAATTACAGCCAGCGACAAAGCCCCGAGGCTCGAGAGGAAACCATCCAAAAGCTCCACCGAAGACTCATCGAATGGCGCCGCAGCATGCCATTCCCACTACCCGATCTCCAATCAAAGGTGCCCCATTTATGTACGAGCTGGTTCGATCTAAATTATTATACCCATGTTATCATGCTGTATCGCCCTTCACCACTCAGCCCGACGCTGGACGCCGCCCGAATGAAGATTCTTGCTGAAGCATCAGGCATGGCGATTCGCCAAGCAACCAATCTGCATCGGCAGCGCCGGTTTGCGTATAACTGGCTTAATTTAGTCGCTATATTCAACTCTGCACTGTCACTTATGTACACTTCTACCGCCCACAGTGAGAACCTACCCTTGGCGCTAGATCACTCACGCGCCATCGATGATCTTGAGTTGGCTGTGGAATTATTGGACGTCTTCAGTGGGAAGTTTCCTTCTGCAAAAAAGATCCAAGGAATGATCCGGACAGTTTCAGCCAAGTTGAAAATGTATAACATACCCTCCATGGGTTTCTGAATGCGACCTTAATTTTGAGATTACCGGAGACTACTCCCTTTGGGGAGGACAAATTCTGGAATTCAGTATGCATATCTACAAATCTACTCCTGGACGAGATCCAGTTGCTTTGTATGCCACTTGCGCTGGACCTACCAACTGTTAACAAAGATCCCTCTCCTGATCCTATGGCTGCTCACGAAGGCAACGTCGATCGATATGCAAGACTACATCGACCACACGTTATTTGTGCTGAAGAGTATTGTATTATTCGCCGTATCTATCACAATACCCCCTTCGCCAAGTGGTGGGAGCATGGGCTCAAATCCGAGTTCGCTGAAGCAAGGCTTAGGGGAGTTAGTCACAGCATCGAGTGCCATCAAATGCAAGATTCATCATGTGCAATGACCTGTCTCGCGCGTTTGAGTCCAGGCTGCTTAACTATCCATACTTGATCCAGTACCCTCTCTTGCCACGAGACCTGACTCTACGGGAACTGTTCTACCGGAACCCAGAGATGAAGCCGCAAATTGCTCATACCTGTATCGTCGCCAATTATCAAACAACGTATGACTTGCTTGACGTTGTTCCTACAGAATCAATATGGCTGCAAGCAGAGAGAAGTCCAAATCGGCATTATTTGGAGGATCTCGAGCGCCGCGCAACGAAGCAATACTATGAATCGGTAACATGCAATAAGGAGCCAACGCAGACATGGCTCTATTCGGCTATCAATACTGCACATGTCGAGCTGCAGTACCGGAAGGGGATTCATGAATGTTTCCTTGCACCTATGCCCTTCATCGATGTTTTTCTCTGTTCCTCTGAAGATCTGAGGGGAAAGGCAGCTGGTATGAGGAGTAACGAGCCTGTACTTGGTGGTCCCTCAACTTTCGAGGAAGTTCAAGAATGAATCTGGCATTTCTCGTCCCGCATAACATAGTCTTTTTGTTGTTGTTAAGATACACAATTGTAAGTTGGTAGAAGGCTCGTTAGGTCCTGGGCAGTCGTCTGCTTGTACATAAGCAGAGCGGACTAGTAGGCGGTGAAGAACAAAGTGGCAGAAAAAGAAGGCCGTTGTCAACAGTCTCTCGAAGCTCCTGCAGCTGCTGGCGATTGGAATGCGACAAGGAACAGTCCTCGGCCTCATGGAAGACCGGGAGGCGAATCAAAACGGATTCGAGGCGCCATTTGAGCCGAAGCAGCCTTTTCCGCCGTTGCTTGACGAATTGGAATCGCCAGAGGAGGTGCAAGAGAGCTACGCGGAGGACGAGAGCGTTACCTCTCCAGGCTATGAGGAGATCGAAGTCGAAGACGATGCGGACTTCCAGTCGCACTATTCCCTAGAGCCACAATCATTCTCTGACTCAGAGTCGGAAGACTCGGCGGATGATATTGGAAGAAATCACCCTTTTCGACAGTCATCTGGCTCCCTCCATGGACCCAATGCCTTTGCGCCTCCTTTTTACAATCGGCCACCTACCCCTCTACCACCATCGCCTTCGCTAACATCGCTTCTACGACCACCATTTTCCACGACTACCTCTCGTCCCACCACCCCAGACAGCTCCGATGTTGAAACCCCTAATGACACGGAGGCTGCCGTGGCCAAGTCCGCCCGACGTGCGACCACTGTCCCGCGCGCCAGCCCCAAGGTTCCAACCTATGAGTACTACGGGTTTGTGTTGTACTTGGCTTCTTCACTTGCATTCTGTGAGTCTCATAGCTCTCTGTAGCTGCCGTTGGTCCTTGCGATACGTGCCAATGTCGTCGATTGTCATGCTGACCATGTCACACTCTAGTGATTTACCTGCTATGGTCCTATCTTCCATCCCCGTTTCTCCATCAACTTGGTATCTACTACTACCCTAACCGCTGGTGGTCCTTGGCCATTCCATCATGGCTGGTCATGTCCATTGTCTATATCTATGTTGCTCTCGCTTCATATAACACCGGGTACCTAACCCTGCCCATGAACAGCATCGAGAACATTGTCGATGAGGTTGCCAACGTAGCAGTCATCGATGGGAAGGCAAGGCGACGACCTGGAGGCTCCACCAAAATGAAGCCTGGGGCGACTTCATACCAGCTGATGGGTCCACAAAATCGGAAGGTGAACTGGCGGGAGATCTGGAGTGAGGGGACCGACGCGGTAATGGATATACCGGTTGGGGGTGTATGTGAGGTACTATATGGTCAAGAACGAGATGAGGACGCATGGATAGCGGGTTCTCAAACTGCGGACTCGTAATTAATCAAGAAAGACATCGAGATCCAATTCTCAATGACGTTGGCGTCCAAACACAAGGGGGTCGGTCACGTGCTGATAGGCACGGCGGCCTGGAGGCTCTTCGCATCTTTACCATTCTCTTGCTTTCCTCAAACGAACCGACTCATTCGCTTTGCTTTCAGCAGACTAGCAGAATGTCAGCAGAGCGTCCTTCCACGCCTCCTCGGCAAAATGCTGCTGGACCCGGGCAGCTGCCTCGCGAGCCGCTGACACCTGAACAGAAGCGAAAGATTGTACGCCATATCTGCAGGACTTCCACCTAAAATCGGTCTCAACACTAATCAAGTCTTTCTCAGGAACTCAATCGCATGAAAGCTAAGGCTCTGCGGGAGCAACGTGAAGCTGAATTAGCTGCGCAGGCTCGCTCGACGGGGACATCCCCCAACACCTCGCAAGCCGCCCAAGGACTCAAGCGTTCTCATGCCTCGATGACCACGGGCAAAGCTCCCCCTACCACCGTACGAGATGCCCGTACGAATGCACCTTCCTCGGATCGCCCGCTTGACGAGATCAAACCCGCGCGCAACTTCACTCGATATGTCGAATACGATTTCAGCAAAATGACGGATACCAAGGGTGGATTCTTGACACAGGAGGATGATCCATTCAATAAGGCGCTGCATGTGTCTGATGAGAAGGAGGCTCAGAAACCTGCCAACATGACTCAAAGGGAATGGGAACGACATCAACTGCTTCAAAATCTCCGACGAAATCGCGAGGGACCTTTTGAGCCAGGATTGAGTGTCTTAGATGATAAAAGCAAGCAAAAGACTTGTCGCGAATGCGGCAGTCTAGAAATTGACTGGAAGTGGGAAGAGCAACTTCGGTGTCAGATCTGCCACTCCTGCAAGGACAAATACCCAGAAAAATACAGCCTTCTCACCAAGACCGAGGCACGAGAGGATTATCTTCTCACAGACCGTGAGTTTAACCCATACCACTGCCAGTTCATTTCTCTTTACTGATTCTCATTAACAGCCGAGCTGCGTGACGAAGAGCTACTTCCTCATCTCGAAAAGCCCAATCCCCACAAGTCTACCTGGAACAGCATGATGTTATATCTCCGCTATCAAGTGGAAGAATATGCATTCTCGGACAAGAAGTGGGGTTCTCCCGAAGCGTTAGATGCCGAGTTTGAACGCCGGGAGACCGACAAGAAGCGGCGTCGAGAAGCGAAATTCAAAACGAAGCTGCAGGATCTGAAGAAGCGTACTCGTGTGGAAGCCTACCGGCGCAATCGGCAGGGTGCTGCGGGCGGTGATTTTGGCGACGACCTGAGTACCAATCGGAAACATGTCCATCAATGGGGTCGAACGGTTGATAATCCAGAGACGGGAATCGGCGTGAAGACCTGCGTGGACTGTGGGATGGAGGTCGAAGAATTGGAGTTCTGAATACCTTTGCACATCATATCACACCGTTCCTATTAGCATTCATGAGACCACGAATATTACCTCATATATATCTCCGTGCTGCCACAATTGCTAAATACATATCAGATTGAAGACGGTATGCTTGCTGAATACCGAATTGCGTCACCAAAGGCCTTTCATGAATTATCCATCCGTTTCTCCAAGCAGAAATGCCTAAGCGGTTTATACCTAGCCACCTTGCCTTAAATTCTGCCTGACTAAAGTTTTTTGGAGGTTTAGAAGGCTTTTTAGAATAACCACTGAGATTCAGTGGTCGATTTAGTCGGGACGAGGTATTGCGTTGGAAGTGCGGTGTCTACCTTCGATGTCATGGTCATTCAGGTTGGTACCTCTATGCCTGTTCAGGATATATTTTTCAAAGTGCAGCTCGGAAGCTTGATCGTGATTCTGCAGGGCTACCTACCTAGGTAATTGATATAGCCACATTTAACGGGTGCACTGATACATACCGAACTAGAAATCCAGTCTTTCAAACCTGTCGTCAAGACTTCCACAGGGTCCATGTCTGGGCAACGATTTATAACGGTGGGCTGAAGTTGACACCTCACCAATTAGGCTGAAAGCCGTGTCCACTTCGGACGGCGAAATGAGCTTCACTGGACTGCCGGACTCCCCGTCTCCCCATCAATAATTCAATGGTTCACTGCTGGTCTTCTCTCTCCGCTACTCTTTACCTCAGTCAATTCATTCTCTTCGAATTCTCTCAATTTCTCCATCCATACTTTTCTCCCTTTGTGCGTGCACACACTCCTCCTGCTTCTCTATTCCTCCCGAAAAGGGCAGGCGGTCAACTCCTCGTGAAGCCCCCCGAAAAGCCACCAGACTCGGCCATAACAAACGAGCGCACGCACTCGAACGTTCTCCAGTTGAGCAGTGGCTTTTTAGTCTTTCCTCTTATCTAGGCCCTTCTCCCCCTTTAACTGGTGGACACGGCGTGGAGCCCGGTTCCTCTGCTGTTGTCGCTCCCTGGGGGACCTGATTTCGCTTACTGCCGTGCGGATATCACGAGGTCAGGAGAACGAGCTGCCACGGGTCGTCGCTTTCGATCCATCCCGTTATCGCTTCACTTTGGACTAATCCCTACGGCCCTAGTCCACGCCGCTGTGCTCTGGACGACTGAATTCTATGGCTTGGCAATCTCCATCCTCCATGTCGGGCGTTGGAGGGATGCCCGGAGCCATGGGGGACTCGAATGGCGGGCACCCGCAGGGAACGGAATACACTCTGCAGGGTAAGTGTGGCTTTGGTTATGATATCCCACCGTCTCTCATTAACATTCGCAACCCAGGTGTGATGCGCTTCCTCCAGACCGAATGGCACCGACATGAACGCGACCGCAATGCGTGGGAGATTGAACGCGCGGAGATGAAATCTCGCATTGGCCGGCTGGAAGGAGAGCTACGTACAAGCAAGCGCATGCAAGAATCATTGGGCAAGCATGTTCGATTGATGGAGACAGCGCTGAAGAAGGAGAGGGAGAAGGTCAAAAAGCTCTCGAATAACGAGTCCATCGAGGATCTGCAAGATCCAAAGGACATTGCGCGCGAGAGTGTCAACTTCCTCAAGGGTGAGTAGAGAACTCCCACTTACACCTTTTATGTCGGTCTACTGACTTCATCTGTCAAAGAGCAACGCTCTGGCCCCAAGTCGAACGCGGATGCAAACCGGGAAGATCCCACAAGCCCCGAATCGCAAGATATCACCCACGAAGACGAGCGAGACAAATCCAGAGTTTACTTGTCGAAATGTGCACAGGAAATCGCATATCATGTTATCCCTACATCCCACCCTGTCCCTGATCTTAGCGACCCAGATCTTTCAGGCCACCTCTACGGAAACCAGCAGCTCTCCCAGCAGAACCTCGAGGAGGCATTCCTCCAGCAACAACGACAGAAGGCCAATCATATGATTTCGCACGAGGCGGTGCTTCCTAATCACCAGCAATCCGGTAATCAGTACTCTGAAAATGCGCGTGCCCAAAGCCAGTACAATCAAGTTCCCCTCGCTGTTGAGCGGCGTCAGATCGAGCAGCAGCAGCAACAAACCCCTGTCACTGCGATTGACAATCGGAAACTGGCTTATGAGCAAGGTCTGCTTGACGAGCGTGCAGCACCGGGGACGCAACAGTCGGCGCACGATGCTCCAGGGCCTTCGGTCGCTGTGAAAGAGGATCTGCAGCCTCACAAGACAAGCGAAGAGGGAACTGAAGATGTTGATGGCTGGAACTTCGACGAGCCCGCAGAGGTGGCGCCGGTCACCGAGTCCATCCCGCCTCACCGGCCTGATACAGACGCATTCCCCAATGCCAATTTCGTTCGTGGCAAGTCGCCGTCAAGGGGCGGGTCCCTCTCCCATCGACGAAAGAGCTCGGGCGCTCGACGGAAGAGTGACGGCAGTATTGAAACCCGAGACTTCGGTGCGAACACTGCTCAGCAAGATACGAACTTCAAGGTTCGATTTGCCTTGCGAGGACATCTTGATGTCATTCGTTCTGTGATTTTCACTGGTGGTGGCAGTCCGTCTGAGCCTGAGATTTGTACATGCAGTGATGATGGAACGATCAAACGTTGGATTATTCCCGCAACATATGGAACGTTTGGCGCTCATGGACCAAGTTCAAGCAATGACCTAGATATTACGAGCTACTTCACCCATCGCGGCCATGTTGGTGCGGTTACATCTCTTGCAGCTTGTTCGCCATCGCAGAACATCTCCAACGGTGGCCGGGTTCTAGGGGATGGCTGGGTCTTCTCCGGTGGACAAGATGCTAGTGTACGTGTTTGGGAGCGTGGACGGGTTGATCCCAAGGCCACCTTAGATGGCCATACAGACGCTGTCTGGGGACTCTGCGTGCTTCCGGGGACCGCAGGTTCTGTCTTTGGGGACTCGTCTAGTCACTATGGAGGACCAGACCGAATTCTGCTCGCGTCCGGTGCTGCAGATGGCCGAATCCTGATATGGGCTGTTAGTGCTCCACCTTTGGCATCCAACCCTCAGGCTGGTTCCCGCCGTCAAGGTGGGAGCCGTCGTGCAAACTCGATCTCTTCTGGCTCCGGTTTCCCGTCATCACCTCAACCCAGTGTTGCCACATCTACCCCCTTCCATTATACCCTTGTTCATCACATTATGCGCTCCGATTCTCCTTCACCGACCTGCATTAGTCCGTTGTCTTTGGCTGGTGTGAACTTTGTTGTGTCCTACACTGATGCCTCAATTCTCGTGTATGATACGCGAACCGGCGAGGAAATTGTGGGCATGGCAAGTTTGGAAACATATGACGGCACGCCGTCAACTGGTGTCGATTCTGTGGTCACTACCACCATTGGATTTGATGGATCTGCAAACCTGGACCCTAGCCGCACAATGGCTGAAGAAGAAGTTGTACATGGAGCTACTGGATCCAGTAGTGTGGAGGGCGTGATTATCAGTGGCTACGAGGATCGATACATCCGTTTCTTTGATGCCAACAGTGGTATGTTATAATCCGCACCCTTTGCTTTTTACTTACAGCGCACTAATACTTCATATTAGGCCAATGTACTTACACAATGCTGGCCCATCCGGCTGCCATCGCTTCGCTGTCGTTGTCCCCGGATGGCCGTGAGCTCGTCTCGGCTGGCCACGATGCAAGCTTGCGTTTCTGGAATCTCGAGAAGCGCAGCTGTACGCAGGAGTTGACTAGCCATCGGTTAATGCGTGGGGAAGGTGTCTGCGCCGTTGTCTGGAGCCGTGACGGCCGCTGGGTCGTTAGTGGCGGTGGAGATGGTGTGGTAAAGGTCTTCTCCAGATGATCGAAGCCCAGATGATGAGATGACAGCCTTGTATGATTCTTCTTTTTCTTTCTTCTTTCTGCTTCCATCTTCTCTTTGTTTCTATTCTGGTGTGCATTTCCTCGGCCTTTCTTGTCGTGATATGATTCCATGAACCGGATGAGTGATTGGCCGGACCAGTTTAGTTTCCCTCGAGCATTTGCAATGGTGTCCCATCCAGCTGCTGGCATATGGTACTCTTCTATGTGGTTTTTTTCTCTTCTCCTTCTACATGTGTACTTTTGACTGACACTCATAATATGCCGTCTTTGCGATGATTCCCTGGCGTACATTTCTGACCATGTTCCCCTCTGCATCTCTTGCTTTGCTCTGCTCCTGCCTTTTGCTTTGGTGCATGGCCAATGTCCCACTTGACATGGCCCTGCACGTCACCGGATTCCCTTGTGTATTTGATCTTTTGGTCATTGTGCGCTTGCACTATGAAGATTTCATCCCCCTTGGCCGCTGTTTCAGGGGCCCATAAACTGGACATTCTGGATTTGCTTTTTCTTCTTGTGTTGTTGTTGGAGTAATTCCTTCGAGAGCCCATTGGTGTGTGTATAACATTGACATCCACATTCTAAATTTACGATATCAAGTCATGTGCTTCCTCGGACAAGTTCTATCCATTCGTGGGTATTATGAAGGCCATAAATGTGGCTAGTAAATTGGTATATGCAACGTAATCAGTGTAGACATGCCCTCGCTTTGCCCTCTATTGGCCTGAGCTCCACGCATTCTTGAAGAGCACTGCTAAACGCTTCGCCTCATCCGCATCCTTCAACCGCTGCTCCATGAATCCCTGCAAATCCTCCCAGAACGCCTCCGTCTTCAATACTTCAGTACCACTGGGCCCCACTGCGGGCTTGGGTACGTCTTGTTCCTGGGCAACTTCTGGCTGAGACTCGGCAGCCTCGACGGCCTGGGCGCCCCCGATAATCATTACACCGAATTCGACCTCTTTGCCCCCAGTCAACATCTCGGGCTCATCAGACAAGACCTCAGCCACTGTCTTTCCTGTTCCTGGTACGGGCTTGCGGCGATATAGGATCTTGATCTTATCCAGTGCTACCGGGTTGCCTTGTGCATCGACGACACGTTCCCGGACGGCATCCTTCAGATCTGAGACGGTGGTAGTTGTGATGGGCGCATTGGTGAGAGAGAATTCAAGGGCTGGATTGCGGGCCGACTTGACTTTGATATTGACCGATTTCGAAGCTCCGGGTGCCTGTGCCTGCTTTGTTTTCTTGGGCATCTCCGGGTGCGGGGCTTGCAAGCGGGGGAGGGTGTACTGTTCATTGACAAGAAATGTGCCGTTAGAGACGATGGTTTCGAAAGCTTCTAAGTTTTCCTTGATTATCAAGGATATAGACATACCGGCACACGCAGGCCAACTTGTTCCGGGTCAAAGACATGATCAGCACGGATCTTGATGGGACGCAAGTCCAGCGAGGAGAGGAAGGATTTAGCGAAAGCGAGCTCGGACATGATGAGTCACGAGGTAAACTGTAACCAAAAGGAAATAACCAAAGGCTGAGGAAGGCAATAATCTGCTGTTTAAAAGTGGATGGTAAAGCTTGCGGTTCTTCTGAAGCCAAAAGTTGTTCTCTCCAAGCGGCGCGGGACATCAAATTGACAGCCTGATCCTTGAGGCATAAATCAGGCACCAATCCCGCAGCCTTGGTCCCTCACCGCCGTCTCATCTTTGGTTACTGCCCGTCTCCACCGCCGCCGAGAAAAAATGCCAAAAAAAAAGTTGCTGGGAAACCCGAAAATCAACCCAACCAAACACGATCTTCGATATGGGAAAGGGACGTCGCATGAAGAAGCAGGGGCCTCCTGCTCCCCTGGATGAGTCCAAGATTTCAATTTTGAAGAAGCGCAAGGCCGCTGAGAGCGAGTCAGCTTCCAAAGCTGTCGCAGCGAAGAAGCGTCGGAGATCCGACGCTGACGAGGAGGATGTTGTGACGAAGGATGCCTCTAAGAAGTCGAAGGTGAACGGTGCTGCCACCAATGGTGCTGGAAAGGATAAGAAGAAGAAGAAGGGCTCTTCAGAGAAGAAGAAGCCCGTGCCAATGTCCGACTCCGAGGATGAAGAAATGGACGACGAGTTTGGTGACCTGGATGATGTTAGCGAGGGATCATTGGACAGTCAGGAGGAGCTCGAACGCTTGTCCGACTTGGAGGATGAGGAGGAGGACGATTCGGTCCTCGACTCTGACGAGGATGATCACCCCCGTCAGGCCATGTTCTCCGACGACGAAGACCTTTCTGACGCTGAGGAACGATTGACTGCTGCCAATATCGAGGGACTTTCTCGGAAATTGGATCTCCAGAAACAGGCAGAAGAGGAAGAGGCCGAGCAGGAATTGCAAGAGTCTGCCATGCAGACCAACATTGCCGGTGACCGCCCCGATGTCTTCACCGATGAGACCCGTCCCGATGGTCTTGCTCCGGATTTGCAGCTCCTGCGCCAACGTATCACAGACACCATCCGCATCCTGGGTGATCTCAAGACCCTGGGACAGCCCGACAAGTCTCGCGCCGAGTACGTCGATCTCCTCTTGAACGATATCTGCACCTACTACGGCTACACCCGATACCTGGCCGAGAAGCTTTTCAACCTGTTCACACCCATGGAGGCATTCGCCTTTTTCGAAGCCAACGAGACACCGCGTCCAGTCGTTATTCGTACCAACACCCTGCGAACCAACCGTCGGTCTCTCGCCCAGGCCCTGATCAACCGTGGTGTCGTGCTTGAGCCCGTGGGTAAGTGGTCCAAGGTCGGCCTGCAGGTCTTCGAGTCCCCCGTGCCTCTGGGTGCCACCCCGGAGTACTTGGCTGGTCACTACATTCTCCAAGCTGCATCTTCTTTCCTGCCCGTCATGGCTCTCGCTCCCCAGCCCGGTGAGCGTGTTCTCGATATGGCTGCCGCCCCCGGTGGTAAGACTACCTACATGTCCGCTCTTATGCGCAACACCGGCTGCGTCATCGCCAACGATGCCAGCAAGCCCCGTGCTAAGGGTTTGATTGGTAATATTCACCGTCTCGGCTGTAAGAACACTATCGTCACCAACATGGATGCCCGTACTGCCTTCCCCAAGGCCATGGGTGGCTTCGACCGTGTCCTGCTGGACGCTCCTTGCACCGGTACTGGTGTTATCTCCAAGGATGCTGGTGTGAAGACCTCCAAGGATGAGAACGATTTCTTCCGCATTCCTCACATGCAACGACAGCTTCTTCTGGCTGCCATTGACTCCGTCGATCACGCTTCCAAGACTGGTGGTTACGTGGTCTACTCGACTTGCAGTGTTACCGTGGAGGAGAACGAGGCTGTTGTGCAGTATATCCTGCGCAAGCGGCCCAACGTCAAGATTGTCGACACCGGCCTGGGCGACTTTGGTAGCCCCGGTTTCATCAGCTACATGGGCAAGAAGTTTGACGCCAAGATGGCACTTACCCGCCGCTACTTCCCTCACCGGGAGAACGTCGACGGTTTCTACGTCTGCAAGCTGAAGAAGACTGGCCCTACCCCCGTGGCGAAGCCGACTGACGACAATACCTCTTCTGCTGATCGTCATCCTCGTCGTGCTAGCTCCAAGGCTTCCTCCACCGATGAGGAGGTCATTGACAAGACCCCCATTGTTGATGAAGACGGTGCCGCCATGAACTTTGAAGGCGGTGCTTTCGGTCCATTCGCAGAGGGTGACGAGGATGCGGGGCGCATTGCTCGCGCTGAACGTAACCGTCTCCGCCGTAAGGGTATCAACCCCAAGGGTGTTTTGAACAAGCCCAAGAAGAAGAAGGAGGGGGAGCAGGCATCGCCCAAGTCTGATGCCAAGACCGAGTCCACCCAGGAGAAGGAGAAAGGAGAGGAGAAGAAGGAGACCGAGGCTAAGCCTGAGGCTGCCAAGAAGTCCTCCAATCAGGAGAAGAAGACCGTGACGAAGGAGGGCAAGGCAGAGAAGAAAGAGAAGAAGGCCAAGAAGGCAAGCAAATGATCTGACCCGTGAGCTTCTTTTGTGTATCTATAGCTCTGGCACGGCAAAAAGCATCTTTGTTTGTTGGGTGGACTGGCGTATTGGACATATACCTTGTTTTCTTGAATTGTTTTACGTTTTAAAAGATCATCAACACAATTATAACATGTTTCATTCCGCAATCGCAATCGCAAGTCTAAGAACAGAACAGAACAGAACAGAACGGAACGGAATCTTCTATGTTATAAAATGATCTATGTCCACCACGCTCCAAGTCTAGGTGGCATGCAGATATATCCAAAAAGTCCAAGATGAGCGAGAGCAAAGAAGGGAAAAAAGGAAGAAACGAAAACTCCAAGCCTGAAAGGGGACCTCCCGCCGTATTCCACAAACCAGTCAAACCCCACCGTTCGCTAACTGAGAATTGAAACCATGTTAGCACCAGCCAAAAAGAATGTCAACCCAAAACGAAATCAAACAAAACACCATCACGGCCACATATGTATAAACCATAGGAACATCACACATGAAATGCTCAAAAACCCCAACATGCTTCGAACAACAGGGAACAACAGTCTAGATTGAAACCCTATGTCCGATAAATCTTAATCACGCTCTTGATGCTCTTACGGCAGATCGGGCAAAGATCCACCTGCTTGGCACAAGTCACGCAGGAGCAAACGTGTCCGCAGTCGCAGAAAACAGCGTTCTGCTCCTCTGAATAGCAGATCTGGCAAAGGTCCGCCTCCTCATCGGCTACTTCCCAGTAGCTGATGCCCTTGCCGTGGCGCTTGCCATCCTTGTAGCCGCCAACGTACTTGTTGCCCGTCTTCTTTTCGATGTAAGTACCCTGGCCGTGGCGGACGTCCTCGATCCAGTCACCATCGTAGCTGTCCCCGGTAGGATATTCCATCTTGCCTTGGCCGTGGCGGCGGCCGAAGATAAAGTCTCCTTCGTAGACGGTGCCAGTGCCGGAGAAGTGCTTGCCTCGTCCGTGATAGTACCCCTTGAGGAAATCACCACTGTAGTAATCACTAGTGAAAGTGGCTTCAACGGTCTGGGTACCGGTGAATCCTTGGATAGGATGCCGCCGGGACTCAGCCCACAAGTATTGGATGAGGCGATCAGGGCTGGAGAACAGACCAGCAAGGCCAAGCTGGGCGCGCTTGTCCTTGCTGAGCTTGTCTCCCACGATGATACAGGATCCGTGCGGGACCACAACATCCATAAAGCTCTCCGCGGGGGACACAGTGCTAACGGTGGTGCCGTCCACTCGCTTCCACATGAGGAAATCTCGACGGACAGTCCACTTCATATGCTTTCGAATCGAGGCCTTGACATTGGCCTCCAACTTCGAGAAGAAGGAGCCCACCGTACGAAGGACCTGGTTGTCTGCGTCAAAGACTTGAATGAAATAGTAGACGTGGCCAACGGGGAGAGCAACTGCTGGCTCCACAGGGGCCTCGACTGAACCCTGTGAGCTGGATCCAGACAAGTCTGAAGGGATTGACGTTCGCTGATCTGCCGAGCTGGTCTCGGCTACGGGAGCAGCATTGACTGCAGTAACGACATCGGTCTCCGGAGCCGCAGTGGCAACTGGCAACTCAGAGCTGCTTTCGTTGCTGGCACTGGACAGTTCGATGCCAGCCATGGAGACAATGGGACCAATATATCCGGAAGAGCTGGCGACAGCATCTCCATCAGCGGGGGAGGGTAGCAGCTCCGGGGTGTCTAAACCTGACCGCTCAATAATCGACTCTTCCACCTTGTCCTCAGTGGCCGTCGCAGATTGGGGGTCAGGGATGGCGAAGAACTTGGCATCATCTAAATAATTGAGTTAGTATATAATGTTCCAATGGATGGGCAGATTCAATGACTTACCCTCTGAGATGGTCTCCATCCAGAACCGCATGGTACCACCCGACGAATCCAGCGGAACGTTGAGATCGGTGATCAGATCGAATGCCAGCGTGGAGCCGCATTGGGCTCCAATATGCCAAAGACGGACACGCTCCGGGCCAACTGTCTCTCCACCAGCAGACTTCCACATGGAAATCTTCTTCCGTAGTTCGGCCAGACGAGACGAACGAGGCAGAGTCATATACATGACGTTGTCAGATGCTTTGGCGTGCATCATTAGGTCATAGCTGTCGAACAGGCTGTTCAAGGTTTCATACTCGGACATCGAATAAACCTCAACCTGAACGTCAGTCTTCGCGGCGTCGCCCGCTGTTTGGTAAATCCCGGTCTCGTAGTACTGCTTGACTGGCTCGGGGACATCCCAAGGCCCCTGCGGACCGGGGAGGAACTCCGAAACCATGTCGCTGCGGATATACATGACATTGACCGGGACATCATGGCCCTTCTTATGGTCCACAGACTCGGATGGCTTGAGTCCGAGATGAGGGCCCATCGCGGTCTTCTGAGTCAGGCACTCCACACGGTTGTCGCTACCATCGTCGAATGCAAGCCACTTGGTTCCAGGACCAGCTGGACGAAGAATGCTGAAGAACTTGCCGGACGTCCGGCGACCACGGTGAACCACATAGCCGTAGAGAACGTACTTGGTGCCTTGGCCATCGACCACGAAAGGCGTCAGATCCAACTCCTCGTCCAGTTCGACCTTGTTGAACGCCAACTGCCAACGCATCGACTTGTCCAGAGTATGGCGGCCAAGTTCAATGTGAAGCACAGGAGGGAGAGACCACCGACCAGACTTGGCCTGGAGGTATTCTCTGACAGCTTGGCCCGTGGACTGTGCTGAGTCGGCTCGAACACAGATGCGGGAGTTGTACTGTGCCGGCAGGGTATTCACTACAGGGGTCTCGTCCATCCCCGGAACTGAAACTGGTGCTGGGCTGTCAAACAGCTTGGCAAATTCTTGACCCGCCTCGGTACCAGCAAGCTCGAGCTCCAGGGTGCGGCGTAGGCGTTCCCAAAACTCAGAGACATCGCTCGAGAACTCACGCAGATTGCGCAGAGTCGAGGTGATGGCGTCGGTGTCCACATACTGGGGAGACTGCGTCCGACGCCGCAGCTGCCACAACAGCTTCTGCAAAGCATCGCACAGAGGCTTGGGCTTGACATCACAGTTTGTGAGATGTTCGAGCACGTCGACACTCTGAATGATCTTGCAGAACGGAGGTATGTGCAGCCACGAAGCCAGGCCGGCCACCTCGGCGCTGTGGTTGATGACCGAATCGCCCAGAGGACGGTAGCCAGTCAGGGCTAGACTATCCCACGTGGGCTCGGAGTCACTGGGGTGCCACCATAGGGACCGTGTTGGGTCGTCGATCACGCGGATATACGCATCGAAAGCAAGCATGTCGTTGTTCAACAAAGCCCGATGCTGGCCACGCCGACGGGTGTGAATCTGATCCCACGGCCCGTGGAAGTAGGTCCAACCCCAGTCCAGGTTGTGGGAGTTGAACTGATGGCAGGAGGATTGCATCCATCCCGTCCGAGGCTCCTCGGGGTTGTATACGATTACACCGATCTGTGCAGCCACACGCCAGGGGCTGGATGACGTTTCCTCACCTTCCTCAGACGTGTTGGAAGCAGGCACATTCGCATACTTTGCCCTGTAGTCTTCTAGCCAGGCTGTCGTATTCTCGGTCGCTGGAGTCTTCACATCCAAGTCGGGCGCGGCCTCGTCGAGTTTCGCATCCGATGGACCTCGACGAACGGTAAACTCGGTCTCGGGAAGCGTCTCGTCGGAGGCGGGCATGGTTCGCGAGCATTCCACATAGATACTCAATGAACCAACATTGTTTCCACGAGGGTAGAACTTGATTCGCCACCAGTAACCACCCACGAAGGCTGCTGGAGACCGCATGACCTTGGCCCGATTGGGAGCATCGGGTGTACCTCGGACACCCTTGAACTTCCATGTCAGCCGCGCCTTTTCCATGGGCACGTATTCGGGGTCATCCAAATCCCGGAAGAAGTTGCTTTCCCAGTATGTATCTGGTGAACCGTTAGTATATCCCCGTGCCATCTTCCTCTATAATCCTTGAGTCTTGGGATGAAACCTACGGTCACAGGCACTATAGTCTTGATCCGAACTGTTGATATCCTTCATTTCCTCCGCATTGGGGATCGAGGTGTCTTCCTCGAACTCGGCCCAATAGGCATGCTCCACCTCCTCGGCTGGTACGACGGGTTCGGTGGGGGGTGGAGTGGGCGCTTGAGGTTGTGACTCAGAGGGCATATCTGGCTGCTCGACGGAGGGAATGGGACTCTCTGAGGATGGAATGGGGGATAATGAGGTCTCTGGAGGAGTCAGGGGTGTATTGTTGGACTCTTGGACCTGAGTGATCTCGGGGACCGTGGGGACCGAGGTCGGCGGGCTGGACAAGTCGTCCCGTGAGGGATCCATTCTGTGGTAAGGTGCCGCACTGGCGAAACGATGAACTGTGGGTGATAAGGAGCGATATGCAGAACCTGTTCAGACTTGAATCTCCAGTCTGAGTGCAGTCTGTGGGGTCAATTGTTGAATGGTGTGTTCGTCTCTGTACTCTTTAAAAACACGATTGGAAGCGAATGTGTGGAGCGATAAGGCTCATCCCGTTGCTTATCGGCGAACGATGGAGGGACCCGTCGAGAGATGTATAGCGCAGGGAGGGTGTATAGAGGGTCTCTCGATGGTAAAGAGAGAGTGAGAGAGTGAGTGAGTGAGTGAGTGTGTGTGTGTGTAAATAGATGGAGGAGGGGAAGAGAGAAGGAGGCAAAAGAGGAGAAAAAAAGAAAAGGAAACGGGCCGATAAGCAGAAGACAAAGTCCGGGGGGGGATTCGCGGGAGAAAAAGAAACGGGCCCACTGCAGACAGGAGAGACTCCACTCGGGAAAGAATAAGAATAATAAAAATCATAAAAATCAGAATCATCCTTATTATTCTGTTCAATATTGACAATAATACACCCACGACCACTAGACTCTTCTTCTCTCTCCGGCACCACCCTACTACTGCACTACCGTACCCTGTCCAGTAGTCCGTCGGGTTGTCAGGTGGGGGATCCACGCGGCAGTTGGGGTGCCTCGTGGCCTGGTCGTAGGCACTATACTCATGTATAGAGTAGAGCGTGCTGGACTACAATCGGGCATCGACTACTTGGTCGAAAATCAATTGAGCATCCTGCTCGGCACTTCTGTCAATGATCATCTATACACTTTACAGCACGATTCAAAATCGCGGTGAGCCTCTTCTCCTCCTTTCTCCTCCGGAGATCGGCCGTGGATCCGAAAGGGACCCACTTGGGCCTCAGGGCAGCCAACCGAGTCCCAACCTTAAAACTGGTCTCTGAATGAAATCTCTTGTCCTGGAGAACATGATCCAGGTGGCAACAGAGTCGATTGTTGGGTCCGGCTATGCATTATTCTCATTCTCTTTTCGAATTCTTCTGCTTCTTATGATGATTCTTGCACAGTGGGCACATCTCCACCTTCTCTTCGCTTCGCCGTCGCCACCTCCGATCGGATGCTGACTACCGTATGTACTTCCCCCTTTCCAAGTGGCCCCAAAGTCGCCACTCTTCCAGGTTCTCCTGCTTATGCAAGCAGTCAAGTCCCACTCCACTGGGAGGTCTGGAATTGGCTGATTCGACTGTCCACCCACTTCCGAATCGCTTGAAATCGGCCAGAGTGCCACCGGACCCGACCGGTCTCGGGGCCCCAGTGCCAAGTGGGCCCTGCCAACTGGTCGGCACTGACTACCGGCCACGCGGGCAGCAATCCGCCTTGCTGCGGGCACCAGCCGCTCGGGTCACCCTTGCACTGGAGAAATCGGTTGGGGAGAAAGACATCAGGCCTCTCTGCCCGCCTGCTAGCCATCCTGCCAGCGAGATCAGTTCGATTAATTGACCCACCGACAGTGCGGCGGCAGGTGCCCGTTGTATCTGCATCTGACAGGGCACATGGACACCACGCAGGACTGGGTACTCATCTCCCCACGGGCTGCGATTCATCAGATTTCAAGCCTGACTGGTCCAAGCGCGTGGGCATCACCCTGCAGTTCATGATTGGCGGCTGTGGCGGGTGACACGGGACCCTGCATGCGCGCGGCAGCCTCGAGAGACGAATCACGGATTCATGCATGAGAGGCTTCCCTCTTCCTCCCCAAAGGTCCAGCATGATGAATACCCCCGGCCCTCTTCCAAAAATTTCTTAGTTCTGTGAGGGGGTCTGCGAGGGGGTCTCCGCTCTCGCAAAGGAAGCAGCGACAATGAGGGGGAAGGCCACCGTCGCTTCGGCATAGACCTTGACGGCTCTGGCATCGGCTTTGATTTTGCCCCAGCTGACGGCCTCATCGGGTCGAGCGCCGGCATCACTGCCATCGAACTCTTGCGCCGTATTCACGTAGACGGCATGCTCAGCCCCGTTGCGCATCAAACAGGCATTGGCAATATGGTGCTTCACCACTCCGCCACCCAGAATGATCATTCCAGCGCGGGCGGCCCGTACGGCCATGGTGTTGATGCGGCGGACATCGTCCACAATGTCCACCCGTAGCCGTTGTGGGGAGGACTTGAAGGTATGGAAGTAGAGCATATCCCCCAGAGAGCCATCCGTCAAGGCGGGGCAGAAGACCGGGATGTTGTTACGGGCCGCCCAGTAGAGCACCGAATCCTCATTATTGATCTCCCGACCGAGTCGCTCGGTGATGCGGCTGGGGGTCCAGTGCAGCTCGTCCTCCTCATCGCCCGTCTCCCGAGCCTTACGCTTGGCAGCCTCTTGTTCCTCGAGCATCCGGTCCAGGATGGGGACCACCCAGTCCTCAAAGGCACAGTAGTTATTGTTGGGGACCAGCAGATTACCAATCCGGTTCAAGCCCTTGGCCCGCAGACCGGCTCCCGGGGTGCTAAACGAGCCCATATATGTCGGTGCCAGGCATTTAATCAAGTCCTCCTCTACACCACCTGCCGTCGTCACTATGGCCGAGACATGCTTGTGCTTAACGAGGTACCGAAGCGTGTCCCGGAGGCCGGAGGAAATGAGGTTGGAGGTGTAGCCGAGGAAGACGGTGGTCTTTTCGCCGGTTTCAGGATGACGGAAGGCTCGCTAATAGGGAAAATGAAAGATTAGCTTTTGATTTTCGCTTTCGAGGTCTGGTTGAAAGGGAGCATCGCACCATCTCGTTGATGATCCGAGCGGCCTCGGCAACCGCACTGCCTTGGAAGCCCATATGAGTCATGTTCTCGACCATCTCAGCAACTGTGATATCCCGGCCATGAAACTGATCAAAGTCCACGCCACGCACTTCCTGTGCTCCTTCAGGGACGGGACCCGAGGCGACAAGGACCGAGTCGGTCGCCGAGGTGGGGGGCACGGAGCTGCTCATCGTGCTGTGTGAGAGGGGGAGAGGGGAAAGAGGGAAATAGATGGTTGAAGTAGGGCTGAGAATATATGTTTCTCAGATCGTTGCAATTGAACCGAGGTTTATCGAGTGGTCGAGGGATGTATATGTGTAGCGGGGTGAGGATCTAATTGAAGATTCGACACCTGTTTTTACTTTTTCGTTTTTTTTCCCTTTTTTTTTTGGCGGGGAAGGCCCGTCATCGCCAGGCACCGATGTGGACACCTCAGGCATCCAATGCATCGAGCATTCGATTGTTGGCCAGCCACTTCTCATGCCTGGCCTCTTCGACATTTAGACAAGTCAGCCAGATTTTGATATCTGACCTGTATGCGGTCTTTCATGCATATGTAGATATGGATACCGCCCCCTGAATGGCTGCATTACCAATTTTGGAGCCTTGTTTCATCTGTTGCAGATCCTCGGAGTTCTCACGAGCCTGCCAAGCCCTTCAGGAGAAGTGGTCTAGCGTCTCGATTGCTCCCTACATAGTGAGTAATGGTAATCAGATATCCCGGTTAGTAGTACTCGGGGTGCTAGCAGTTGACACCATGTCCATAGCTAGCAGGCTATCGACCCTTCAACCCCTCCGGCATGCACCTGATCTGTGTATCCTTCAAGAGTACTATACTGTACTACTGTACTTCGTACTCCTGCGGATGGAGTCGTCTAGATCCCCGTGCAGGCGTCGTGCACGGACCCCTGACCCTTTTCCACATTCGATCTTTCGATTCTTCAATGCTTCGGTGGCTTCAAATCCTGTCCTGTCACATGTTCGCATTGCCCTGGACAGACATCCAACTGTATTTGATTACAGTACCTTTTCGCCGCATAATTGAACCCATCCCTATCTTCTTCCATCCCAGAAAAAAGAAAGTCCACCTTGAAAATCCCCTGCCCGATCGGGCCATCTTCACGTGGCCCGTGCTGTAGATCACGTGTGCCCCCGTTCCACTGGTTCGGAGGCTGCAAGTTAGAAAGTTGAAGATACCTTCAAAAGCCAGACACACACTCAGACATCCGCCATCGTCATTTCCCACAGCAAGATACCCGACATCTCCCTCCACCCGGGCCCTTTTCAGTGAATCTCGTCATCTTCATCCCCTTCTCGCAACTGATCACACCTCTTCAGTCTCCCGGGTCATCACAGAGCATGACCTGGTAATGTCGTCTCGATTTCCCCCTTCGTCCGGGTTTAACTCCCGCGATCGTTCCCCTCAACGATTCGGGGACCGTCGGCAACCTGTCGGTTCTCGCGGCCTCGACGACGGGAGTCCTTCATTTGGCAGAGAACCTCCGCGTGGCCCACGGGCACTCGTCGACTCCCCAGGTCGGGGTGGCTCCTTTGGAGCCAGTGACCGGTTTGGTGGAGGTGGAGGCGGTGGCCGTGGACGAGGTTATGGCCGTGGCGGCGACTTTCGAGATCGAGATCGAGATCGAGACCGAGACCGAGACCGTGACCGAGACCCAAGAGATCGCGAGCGCGACTTTCGAGACACGCGTGATGGACCACCATTCCGGCGCGATGCCGATCGCGACTACGGTGGTCGCCGGGACCGTGAGTTCGATCCACGACCTGATCGCATAGGTTTTGGTCGAGGTCGTTCCCGGTCACCTACACGCGATTTTCGCGATTCAAGAGATCCTCCGGGCCGCGATTTCGATTTGGTGCGCATGAGACGCAACTCTCGGGATAGTATCCTGTCTGCATCGTCTGGAGGACCCGATGGCCCCCCTTCAAGTGGTGGTCATCCGCATGGTGGTGGCTCGATGCGGGGCCGTGGCCGTGGTGACTGGGAAGGAGGTCGCGGACGTGGTCGTGAGCCGTTCCGCCGTCGAAGTCGATCTCGTGATGGTCGCCTTGGCTGGCCGGGTCGTGGACGACCCTCTATCTTGGATCGTGATCGCGAGCGAGATCTGCTGGATCGTGATCGTCCCGTTGATCGCGACCGCGACCGCGACCGCATGCTTGACCGAGATCGAGATCGGGATCCTGTACGGGACCGAGATCGTGACCGTGATATGGACCGGCGTGATCGATTTGAGCGAAGAGACGAGTGGGAAGCTCGTCGGCCAGATCGTGAAGATCGTGACCGTCCCCCAGAGCCTTGGAAACGCGATCGTCCTCCAAGCCGAACCGATAATAGAGGCTCAATTGCCTCGACTGTCGCCTCAACGTCTCATGTCGCTCCCGGTCCAGGTTCGACGGTACCAGATCGATTGTCTGAGCACGACCCCACCGAACAAACGCAACGAAAAGCATCTATCATCTCTGGACCTCCGACAGGAGAGCTCCGACGTGATAGTGATCGACCCGAGCCAGCCCCAGTCCGATTCGAACCTCCCAAGGATGTAGGACTCCTTGGTCAGCAATCTCCTCCACCATCAGCTCCCCAAGTTCCCGCGTTTGGCTCTGTCTCTGCACCTATCCCCGCGGTACCTCCCACGAAAGCACCTTCTGTGGAAGCAGCTCGGACGACAAATGAGCCCTCCCCCAGGCCGAAAAGGAACGACAGCCCTTTCAACCACCCACCGGCCCGAAAGCTGAGCGAAGCCTGTCATTGCAACCACTCGACTCTCGTGTTCATCCATTCGATGGCAATCACCGCCAGGAAGAGGCGGCCCGCGCCGCAAGAGCGTCTACTCACCTGTCTGACCGTTCCCCGCCGACGGCCCCTGCTGCAATGGCCAAACGAGATTCGATATCCGGGGTTGGTGAACCATACGCACCTGGAAAGTCCAGTGTTGTTACCACTTCTCCAACCTTCGCTCGACTTCCCCCGCCCGCTCCTCGAGCGCAATCTAGAGATCCCTCGATCTCTCCTCGGATGCAACCATCGAGCATTCCGACCGGCCCACGAGCCTACCAGAGACGGCCGAGTTCATCACCGCGTGGTGGTGGTAACAAGGGGGTCAAGTCATGGGGCCGTTCTAGTTTTGGGCGCGCTCCGTCTGTATCAACTGCTCCGCCAAAGAAAGAGCCCGATGAGCATGAGGGGAAAATACCAGCTGATGATAAACTGCATCACGGCGCTTCGCCTGAAACCACGTTCGTGCCAGAAGAGCCCAAGATCATCAAAGATGCTGTACGTGATGCAGTGAAGACAACTCCCCCACGCTCCGGTTCCCTTGAGCTTCCCATCAGAACCTCTCCACCACCTGTCTCATTTGCGGATGCCAGGCCCACCAGGGAAAAAGAAGTAGACAAAAAGAATCCCCACGGCTCCAGAATATTGGACGGTTCAATGATGACCACGAACTACAAGAAGACAAAGAGCAGGAGCCGGATGTGGAGATGGAAGTTGAAGAAGAAGAAGAGGAGGAAGAGGAGGAAGAGAAAGTCGTTTTCACCAAGGAATATCTGGAAGAGCGAAAGCAGATATTTGAAAAGGACATGCAGTCTCTTCGGTCCGAATTACCTCCTTCACCCTTGGAAGATCCGACCATCGTCTCTCTCTTGCTGCGAATTCAGATGCTTGGCAAAATTGCCAATGAAGAGAAACTCGCCCAGCCCGCTGCCCCTATTCCATCCGTCGAAGACGAAGAAGAACCGTCAACTGCCGCGGCCAACGAGAAGGTGGTTTCCTTTGCCCCGACGGTCCTCGATCGCAAGTCAGAGTCTGTACCCCTCACGGTTGTTCCTCAGATTGCCGCGCGCGATGAAATCACCGTCGAGCGCCTGCCATTTTTGCATTCGGGGCCTCCCACCCCCATTTCTGATATGGAAGTATGCCACGAGAACAATTCAACTCAGGATAGCCTCAAGGATATGATTCAAGGTGAGCTTTCCAGGCGACAAAAGGAGGTTGCAAAGAAGAATGCCGCTCTTCGGGAGGAGTACATGGCTTATTACAAGCGTTGGCGCTTGGCTGTTTGGGAGATGGATCGCTTGAAAGAAAAGAAACCCATGACGCCTGGTCCTGCTTCCCCTCCAGCACCGCCAGTTCCTACTCCTCCAGCGGCTGCCCCCGAAGGCCGGGAAGGCCGACGGTACAAAGGAAACAGCGAACTCGATTTCCTGAACGCATTGAAAGCATCCGAAATCTCGGCTCAGGAGGAGCTTGAACGCCGACGAACGAAAATGGCGACTGCTCGACCCGACCTGGTCCGCGAGGCAGTGATCCCGGATATGCTGGAACCTCTAGAGGTGAAAGCCGGCATCTACAAGGATGTCAACAACACCATCGACCCTAACCACGCGATGGAAGTGTTTGGTTTCCTGCCACCACCCAATGACTTTACTCCAGAGGAGCATCAGTTGTTCACAGATGCTTTCATGGCGTACCCAAAGAAATGGGGCAAGATCGCACAATCCCTGCCTGGCCGTGATTTCAAGCAGTGCATTGTTCACTATTACCTTACCAAGGAAGAGATCAAGTACAAGGCCAAGCTGAACAAACGCTGGAGTCGGCGCGGCAGAGGAAAAGCCCGGTCTTCTCGACCCAAGTCCAATGCTTTGATTGCCGATCTGGGTGTTGTCAAGCCTGACTTTGACGGTGAAGAAGAGCAGCCTCCTCCTGTCACCGACACTGGACGCCCACGGCGTGCGGCAGCCCCCACCTTTGGTGATTCGAATGAAGCCGAAGGCGCCGCCACCACTGGTCGCCGAGGCCAAGCCGCTAAAGACGGTGAACCCACGGAGAAGCCAGCTGCTCGGCGTGGTGGACGTGCTGGCGGTGCTCGTACTCAACGGCGTGGTGCGAAAACCAACCAACAGGATTCCAAAGCCCCGACCCCGGCTCCTCAGGGCAATCCTCCTCTTGCTGCAGCCCCCAAGGTGGAGTTGGGCGTGGACGGAATGGTCGAGGCCATTTTGCCACAGGAGAAAGAAGCTGTGGAGAAAGAGGCTCCACCACCCTCCTCTCGTCCCAGAGGTGGTCGTGGAAGAGCGAAGGAGGGGATGTATGTCTTTGAATCCACAGAAGTTGAGCCAGTCATGACGACACCCAAAGCCTCGGAGGGTGGGTATGGGTCTCTGCAACCGACGAGCTACTGGTCTGTTCCTGAGCAACGCGATTTCCCGCGCTTGCTAGCACACTTTGGCCGTGACTTTGAGGGTATCTCAAATTTCATGAAGACCAAGACGACGGTGATGGTAAGAATTGCAACGATGAATGTTTAATTTGGTTATTCACATGGCTAACACAAACCTCTGCAGGTGAAAAATTACTACCAGCGGCGTCTTGACTCGGGACAGAAGGATTTCGAAGAGACTGTGTTGATGGCGGAGGAAAAGAAAGCTCGTGGTGAACCAACCGGTCCTCTTCCAGTCCCCAGCGTTGCTCCGAAGCGCCGTTATGAAGCAACCCCATCAGCCATTGTTCCACGCCCGCTCGCACCCCTTGGCGAGCTGATGCCCGAGGCGGAAGATGGACGATTCCCTCCCAAAGGCAAACCCATTGCAATGTCACCCCAACCAATGTCATTGCACGGCCGGATTATGCCCGAAAATGAACGGACTGCCAATCGATACGCACCACTCGCGCAGGCTTCCACTGGCGCAGCTGTACCCTCCGTTGCTGCTACTCTTGGTGATGATGGTTCCCGAGCAATGCGAACACAGGCTTCGTCCTCTCGGATTCCAGGTCCCCGCCTCGGATTCTTCACCGATGACCGGCGCGATTCCGCAATCTTGCCAGCCACCAGTCAGCGTGCGCAAGAAATGCAGATGCCCTCGCGTCATACTGCGGCGGCGGGCATGCCTCAAGAGCTGTCCCGAATGGATCCTTTGTCTTCGCAGGCTTACATACCAGGGCAGCCACCTCCATCTCTTATACCACCTTCTCATTCACGCCATCCCAGTCTTACGCAAGCCCCTGGCTCGCCATCGCAACTGTCACGACCGGAGCTTGACATATCCTCCGTTCATCGCGATCCTTTCGCCCAAAGGGCCTATTACTCGCTACAGGGACAACCGGGCGGACTGTCTCACTCTCCTCGTCCAGGTCTGTCACCAGTCAAAGATACTCTGCGTCCCAGCGCCACACCGGTACCCGAGTCAACCTCCCGTCAAGTCCCTGCTAAGCGCTCGAACATTATGAGCATTCTCAATGATGAGCCCGAAGAGCCTCAGCCACGGAAGCGTTTCGCCAGTGAAGTCCCTCCTGGTCCCGGTTCTGGCGCTGTATCCGCCTCAAGGTCTGTCTACCAACCTGGAGACCCAGCTCGTCTCGAGGAACCAGGAATGCCTGGGTCTGGACAGAAGCCTTCTAGCTATAGTCAGCCAAGCCCATACCAGACGCCATCTCGTGGATATCCAGAATACGGCAATTATGGGCCCCCTCAGGTTGGCTCAGGGACTGCTGCAAATAATGACTGGATGGCGCGCTTCGACCCCAGAGCGCAACAAGCAGGTCCACCAACGCAAGCTCAGCCGCCGCCATCATCCCAAAGTGGTCGTCCGGTATCGTCACTGTCTGCCCAAGGCTCCTATGGACATTATGCATCCGCGCAATCTCAACATGCTGGCCCACTAAATGCCATGCCTGTTCCGTCTCCGGCACCTACCCCGCCACCGGCTGCTTCTCAGCGATCTGCTTATCCTAGCGTCTTCTCACAGCCTGGTGTCCCATCTGGTGCCCGTGAAATGGTCTCACAGCCATCGGCGTACCGACCGGCATCGCCACCTCCACGAGCCAGCAGTGCTGTCTATGGCTCTCGTCCGGAGCCACCCACACCATCTCAGTCCTCGACCAGTCTATTCGGCATGGCGTCTCGCCAACCTGGCTCGCAACTTTCGTACTCCCCCGCTGCACCGTCTACCCCTGCTGCTCAGCAACACAGTCAAAGCTACCATCAACACGTCCAGACTATGGTCAATGGTTCCCACCAGCCACATCGCTCAAACGCTGTCGGACTGGCCGGTGGTCCTTCGCAATATGGACAGAACACTCCTCCACCGCAGGCCCAGGGTCGGTCGATGCCATCATTGGCAAGCCTCGGGCGGTCTTACACCCCTCCATCAGCCATGCATCATGGCGGCATGGGCTACGCCCAACCACCGCCGTCATCGTCGGGTGGGATCCCATCATTGCATCAACGACCTCCGGGCCCTGGTGAGCCAGGTGTTCACACGTCTGGTCATCACCGGGTCTACAGTCAAGGCTCGGTTCAAGGGGGTATACCGGGTCCATTGCATCCGCAATCGCAGCCGCCTCGCTAATTCTCTAATGCTGGACGAGCTGGTCTCTGATGGCTATGAACAGTACATTGGTTTCCGCATGGACAGAATCAGCTGTACATATGGAGGGGTACAGCCCTCTCCTAATCTTTGTTTTATTTTCCTTTCTTCCATGCACTCGGCGTGGGTACGTGTTTGTTCGATATGTATAATTAGATGAATGACTTGATGTATGCCATGTTCGAATATCTTGCTTTGAATTTCTGTGAATCTACCGTAATCATGTATTATGTGATTTCAACAATTGCCGTCTAAATGACTCGTATATATCATACCCCGGGTTGCAGGATAACGTGGTCGCACTAAATTTAGCGTGGTCAGAAGGCTTTTAACATCCTGTGTCTGACTACGTTAGGCCTCGAAAGCGCATCATGGTCATCAACTTTAGTGTGACCACGTTCTACTGTATGCCCATCTTCCCTCCGCCTCTATCGATCTAATTGATTCATATGGCTGGGGAGATTCCATGGATCGTAGTCCAAGTGTACAAAAGCCCGATCGACGGTCGGCACGCTCTCCAGAATGTACTGCAGACTCTCACCAACATCGTGACTGTCGCGTAAACTGGTTCGCTCGTCCACGACCAGATCAACCTCGACATTCAGCTTATCACCCGCGTAGTAGGCCTTGAGATCTTGAATTTTCTGGATCACTCGGGAGAAGCGCATCGTCATATACAGTAGAATACTGTGGTCGGTAGCGGAGGCCGCCGCACCTGTGAGTCGCCGAATGTACTCACCTGCCGTCCGACCCCAGTTCCACATGATGTAGATAGAGAGGAGGAGACCACCAAGAGGATCGAGGAACCAGAGACGAGCGAAAGAACCGACTAAAAGAGTTAGCGTAAATTCAGAATTGATATTTTCTGGAATGGACAGGGGTCAAGGATGCATACTTAGCGGGAAAATGATGCTGAAGGTGTTGAAAACAACATCAGTCATGGCATCTTGAGCGAGGACCTGGACACTGGGGCTCGGGATGAGACGACACCAGATCCAGCACAGCAATTTGATCACCACTGTTCCTGCCATCAAGGCAATAGAAGGAACCGATAATTCAACGAGAGTTTGGTCATCTCCGGTCAGTCTGTTGATGGACGACAGTCCGACTTGGAAAAACGCTGTAACCATAATCACGGAGAAGACTAGCACACTCAGAGGCTCGAGGCGGCGGCGACTGATTGGATATCGTCGACGATCTTGACGGCGGATCAAACTAGTGGTCACCCAGATGATCACCGTGCTGAGGAAATCAAGAACGCCATCGACGAGACCTGCTAACACGGACATGGAACTGGTCAGGACCATGATGGCCACCTTGGAGACTAGCAGGATCACGTTTGCAACAAAGTTGATACGGATAGCAATGTTCACCAAGCGCTCTTCCGCTTCCGGAGACAAGCCTTGATTGGTATCTAGATCGGGCATGGTATGGTGGGGACAATGCTCCTCTTCCGGCTCCTGTGTGGGTGGGAGCAACGGGGCCGTCTCGTCGGGGATACGATAGAGATTATGTGGCGTGCGTTTAATTCTGGCAGCTTTGGAATTTGCCTGGGCTGTTATATTGGCCATGTCATCCGCACCGGTGGATGAAGGATGGCCATTGCTTGTATGTGCCTCCAAGTGGTGGTGGCAGTCCGAATAGTCTTCGATCAGATTATGCGGAAGAGACGAGTCTAGGAGGCGATCGATGTAGAGATATTGTGAAATTAACTGGTTGTTCCGTTCATAATACTTTCGACTTTGAGTATATTAGTCGTATGATGAAAACTGAGAATTGCAAGAAAGTAAGAAAACAAAACATACATTGGCTTGCGCAGGCCCTTGAGAGAATCCGGAGGTCGATAGTAACGCTGCCTATATGGAAGAGAGCAGTGATTAGAGTTCCACGGGTCTATTGAAAGGTATAGATGTCGAGATCCACGAGGAGGAACCGAGATGATTGCATATGATCCGATGCGATGCATTTACTTGCATGTGATATGATGTTCATAGAATCTGGATTACCAGAGAAATGATATCATCGCCATGGTACGTACCATTCATATCGGGCATTACTATGCCCGATTAACTGCGATCCGCGCCGAAGAAAGGTTGGTGGCTCGGCTGTATTCTGCTCAAGGTCTTGCAAGGCCGAGCTGGAGAGTCGACTGGGCAACAAAGACAGAATGCGCTGGCCGCGAGTAGACAGGATCTCACGCTCGCGATCCAGACTGGGTCGCCGGGGCATTAACCGCGGCGACTCGAGAGGTGAGGACAGTGGAAGAAAGGATTGGGAGGACATGATGCCGGTTTCCAATGCCTTCTCCAATTCCCGCACCCAATTCAATCTTTGAAAGGAATCGTGACGAAGATGAACCACGAGAAACCGGACCGAGACTCGCGTGGCTGATGAGACGCGCGGGGAGAGAAGGAAGCTTGATGCCTGAAAACTCGGGCATAAAGACACCTCAGGCATTAAATTAGATAGTCTTAAAGGAAGATTGACGTTTCTATTAACAACACCGCATAGAGAATAGTAAAAAGTCGCACATATGAAGGTTTGCCTGTTTTCAAAGTGCGAGAAATGCTACGTCTCTGAGTTGGACATAGTATAAGCATATCCCCTATTGCTGGTATCATACCCCCTTGTATGGAGAGCGGGGTCAACAGTCTCGCCCCACGCTAGAGAATAATATCTAAGAGATGGACGACTACTCCTCTGATCTCGGAGCTGCCCAGAGGCCTCACTTAGTAGTGTCCAATCCCATTATCCAGCCCCTCAAAGTGCCTTTGTGATGGGCGCCGAAAGGGACCTCACGGTTGGGAGTGCTGCCGGCAACGACCATCTTTCACGCCCGGAAATTGCCTTCATCTCTGGGCCCATTAACAGTGGACCGAATGAGATCTATTTTCATACACATTACGTTTCTCGCATTCAACAAGCTATTGAGAATGGTCACGACTTTGTCATTGGGCCTATTCCGAGCGGAGTTGATGCCGACGCCCTGTACTATCTCCTCGGCTATCCAGTCGCCCCGAGTCGTATCACCATCTTCGTAACTCTTGCAGAGGAGCAGATTTTTGGACCACGGTTCCGAACCCTCTCAGTCAATGTGCAGGTGGTTGAGGGCCAGATGACTCAAGAACGCGACGCGGCTATGACCCAAGCCAGCACCTATGACATCCTACGAGTGCGAACCACAGAGGAGGCCCGGGCATTTTACGGTGGCATGGCTCGCCCGGGATACGTGACAAATACGGAGCGCAATTGGCGAAGACGGAGAGGTATCGTGGGGGACGTTTTAATCAGTGCGGAAGAGATCAATCGTGCCATGGGGTATCCGGCGTCGGAGGTCCTATCTCCGCCAGAGGTGAAGAAGGGGGTCATGGGACAGTTGAGGGAAGCATTGAAACGTCACCGGTAGATGAGATGTAGGATCCAGAAACAGAACTGACGTGACAGTCGATCTTGCGCATATGAGAGTATTCCAGGTGTATATGTCCAGTGCTGATGGCCAGTCATGTCTGATGATCTCGTTGGGTGCCTGTATTTCATATCGTTTTCGGCCACCTGTGAACAACTACCACGACGGAGGAACCGCAGATCAAGGCAATCAAAAAATCAGGATGAAATGTCGACCTTAAGTCAGCCCAATCAATCTCGAGAAGGGCATTGGAATAGGAAACTATGGTGGACAAAAATGTTGCCTGTCAAGCAGCGTCGTGGTGTACGATCACTCGGGAATATACCCAGGGGCATAGTTGTGTCAAGATAATCTAAGCAGTATGCCTAGAGCTTGTTACGTTGCATGCAGCAGAGTAGTACTGGTCGATCATCGCCAAGATGAAGAAACAGGTCAGTCGAAGGACGCGAACGAAAAATGCTCACCTCTCTCATGCGTGTCCTTGAAAGCATTACGTAGGGGTTCTGCCCAGTTCCCCGTGCAGAAATCCATGTGATGGGCTATGGAGTGGTATGTTAGATGTAATACTGACCCGTGCCTCCTGAACCTGATTTGAAATGACAAGTTTCTTGCTCATTGATTTTGATGTTTTTCTAGTCTCACTTTTCGGATAGGCCTCTTTCGTTTACTTCATTGTCCACAAGTTCGTTTTTAAAGGTCTCTTTCCAATTGTTCTCCACTTCTCCAAAGTGTCAGGGCATTTCTCGCTACTTCATCTGCGTGGAGTACGATGGCCCCAGCCTGTGGGAACATCCTCTCGACATGTCGCGAGAAGGCGTTCCCTTTGAATGGGAAGCCGGATGTTAGCCCAAGTTGGTTTCTAGCTGGTTCTTACGCTGAAGATGTAGATGAGCTCGATCATGATAGCAGCCCCTTCTCAACTGTCGAGAAGGTGCGATCAGATAGAAAACGTGAGCTGACCGAGGACGACTGCTATGATAAACTCGGATTCAGCTTTGCCTGGTATAAGCGCTGGATGATTCTCACCGTCATCTTCACCGTGCGAGTGTCTCTATGAACTTTAATAGCAGCGTGTATCCCAACGCAGTCACGCCACTATCGGAGCACTTCCACATCAGTAAACAAACAGCAACCGTGGGCTAGATGATATTCCTGGTGTCCCCATGCTTTTGGCTGTGAGCTCTGGGCTCCTTGGAGTGAAGAATTTGGCAGCTGGCCCATCATGCAGCTGACTCTGTTTCTTGTTAATATCTGGCAAATCCCATGTGCCCTCACCCCGAACTTTGGTACCATTGTGGTCTGTCGAGCACTCGGTGGTCTCAGCTCTGCGGGTGGTTCAATAACGCTCGGAATGACTGCAGATATAAAGGAGCCCGATGATCAGGGGTTCGCAGTCGCTTACGTGGTTCTGTCTTCCGCCGGTGGAACCACGATCGGGCCTATCTTTGGTGGCATGATTCAGCAGTGGCTTTCATGGCGATGGAATGTTTGGATTCAACTTATCTTCAGCGTCGTGACTCAGATCGCCCACTTCTTCCGCGTCTCGGAGACCCGCGCGACTGTCCTGATTGACCGCGAGGCTAAGCGACGCCAAAAGACAGGCGAAGATCCAAATATTTCTGGCCCGAATGAAATCAAGAAGCCACGCTTGAGCACCAAAGAAGTGCTTTCTGTCTGGTGCCGGCCATTTGAGATGTTTCTTCGCAAGCCGATCGTTCTGTGCCTCTCTCTCTCCTGTCCGGGGTCTTAGATGCACTGATCTTTACCTGCATTGAATCTTTCAACTTGGGTTTCAAACAGTGGGACTTCAACGCCTTGGAGATTGGTCTCTGCTTTATTTCCGTGGTTGCAGGCTACTTGGTTGCGTATGCAGTCTTTCTTCCTGACATTCTTACTTCTCCTGTTCATTGCACGTCAATTGGCCTCTTTGGGTTCACATGAACCTCGATGGGGCTAGCGTATCCTACGGGATCTTCTGGCTGGGATTTCTGCGATATATGCCACGCGCATGTATAGCAATATTAGCGGCCAGTTCCACCTCGGGCGTCGTTTGCGTGAGATGTAGTCGAGATGGTCTGAAGTGCATAGTGCCCCACGCTTTTCCGTGGCTATGATAACTACTTTGATGATTTTGCTGCTCTCCTCGGGGTCCTAGGGTGACATTCGTAGCTCGGTACCTCCAGCGCAACGTAGACAACCTCGTGGATATCGCTCAACAAAAGATGCCCGTACAGATATATTTTGCTAAACTCGGATGCCATGAGCCTAACGGAGAACATGAGATTAGTTTTAGTTATTTCCAACATTTACATTACAAGTTCGCTAGATGGACATACTGGGAATTTGCCAAACAAATGAAGCTATTTGGACGACGTTTTCGAGATGCCTTCGCTGTCCTTCACAACATTAATTGACGCGGCCCCACCCAATTCGGAAGTTCGGGGGTGCTTCCCCGCGTTTGGAAGGTTGAACGTCTCTGGCGGAACGAGTCTTCCGCACTGCCCGAGTCCTTCTTCATCTTTCCCACGGCGTCCGGTGTGGGCCTACATGGACAGCATTCAGGATGGCCAGACAGTTGCAAACGACCCCTGCGGGTGCCGTGGGCCGTGGGCCGAGAGATGTTGAGAGATGCTGCCTTCGCCACATTGCTGGACGGGGCGGGACTGACATTCCGTCCCTCCGCAGTGGAGCCCGTCGACCTGCGGGCAGACCAGCAACGCGAGGCCGTTTGGATGTGCGCCTCGCTCTGACTGGTCCTCGGGAGACGCTGCGAGTCCCAGCGACAGGCCACTGCTCGCCAGTCCCGAGCCGGCGATAGCCAGACGTGCATCGCGGGATGACGCCGCCCCAGTCGGTGCTGGTCTTAAAAGAAGCTCCCTGCCCCTCATCTGCAGCAACGACCTCGAACTGTGCTTTCTGCGTGGATACTTCTGGCCCGTCATGACCGTTCAAACACTTGCCATCGCCGTGGTGACGGTGGTATACTTCATCATTCGCTACTTGAACCGCACCGATGTTCCGAAGATCAAGGGCCTGCCGGAAATCCCTGGCGTGCCGCTGTTTGGCAACCTGCTACAACTAGGAGTGCAACACGCGCAGGTGACGGCCAAATGGGCCAAGAAATACGGCCCGGTCTTCCAGGTGCGAATGGGCAACAAGGTCGGTACATCACAAGTCGAGAACGAGTGCATGGGAATGGGGGATCATGAACTAACACGCTGCTAGCGCATCGTGTTTGCCAATAGCTTCGACTCGGTCCGCCAGCTGTGGATCAAGGACCAGTCCGCCCTCATCTCCCGCCCAACCTTCCACACTTTCCACAGCGTGGTATCCAGCTCGCAAGGGTTCACCATCGGTACTTCCCCCTGGGACGAGTCCTGCAAGCGTCGCCGTAAGGCGGCGGCGACTGCTCTGAACCGTCCGGCAACTCAGTCCTACATGCCCATTATCGATCTCGAATGCAACTCCAGTATCAGGGAACTGTATCGGGACAGCAAGAATGGCACCGTCGATATCAACCCGACCGCGTACTTCCAGCGGTTCGCGCTCAACACCAGTCTGACGCTCAACTATGGTTTCCGCATCGAGGGGAACGTGGATGACCAGCTCTTGAAGGAAATTGTGGACGTTGAGCGTGGCGTGTCCAACTTCCGTAGTACGTCGAACAACTGGCAAGACTACATTCCCTTGTTGCGCATCTTCCCCAAGATGAACACCGAGGCCGAGGAGTTCCGCGTGCGACGCGACAAATATTTGACCTATCTCTTGGACATTTTGAAGGACCGCATTGCTAAGGGCACTGACAAGCCGTGCATTACCGGTAATATTATCAAGGACCCCGAAGCGAAGCTAAATGATGGTAAGTCGGAACAGTACATTCTCGGAGTCATTTCCAGCTCCTTCCCATATTTTGGAATATTGGAAACTAAGACATGGTGATTAGCTGAGGTGAAATCCATCTGCCTGACCATGGTTTCTGCGGGCCTGGACACCGTGCCCGGTAATTTGATCATGGGCATTGCTTACTTGGCCTCGGAGGATGGCCAGCGAATTCAAAAGAAGGCGTACGACGAGATCATGACAGTCTATCCCAACGGCGATGCCTGGGAGAAATGCCTGGTTGAGGAGAAGGTTCCTTATGTCACAGCTTTGGTCAAGGAAACCCTGCGATTCTGGACTGTCATTCCGATTTGCTTGCCCCGTGAAAGCACCAAAGATATTGAATGGAATGGAAGCACCATTCCAGCTGGGACCACCTTCTTTATGGTAAGTTGAAGCTGCTGTGTTTAATACCGGGAAGACTTCCCCGTTCTAATCCTTCGTCAGAATGCCTGGGCCGCAGACTACGACGCGGACCACTTCGACCAGCCGGAGAAGTTTATCCCCGAGCGTTACTTGGAGCTCGGAGAGGCATCTGGCACTCCCCACTATGGATATGGTGCCGGGTCTCGTATGTGCGCTGGCTCGCACTTGGCGAACCGGGAACTCTACACGGCGTTCTTGCGTCTCATCACTGCATTCAAGATGCACCCCGCCAAGGTGGCTGGAGATCGCCCGATCCTCGATGCGATTGACTGCAACGCGATTCCCACGGCCCTGACGACGGAACCTAAGCCGTTCAAGGTCGGCTTCACGGCTCGGGATCCCAAGAAGCTGGAGCAGTGGATCGCTGAGAGCGACGAGCGGACGAAGGATCTGTAATCCTGGATCTGCTTTAACGACTGAGTGCATTTGTTTTTTCTTACACGACCTGCATTGTGGAAAAATATCGAGTCTTCACTTTCTGTATATAACCTTTGGAGGATGGAGAGAGACCGTTTCGTAGTAGCATTCTTGTAAAAAGCTACGGCGCAGTTTCAGGCTTATCAAGTCAATGAAGGATACCTTTGCTGCTTCTCTTTTCCCGTTCTTGATTCATCTCCTGCGTCATGACAAGGGCCTCGTACGTTAATGTGCAATGCAAATTTTTGTCTAAATCCATCAACCTCGGGGCTTGTATTTGATGGAATCTCTGGGGAGAGCGCCACTCGCCTGCCAAGTCTGGGGCTCGCGGAATCCCCCGCACTTTGGACTCTTCTTCCATCTCCCTCGAAAGACACACGAACTCCTTCCTCCCCCCTGTCCCTGCAACCCTTCAACCCCCGTTGATTTTTACCGAGATGGATCTTCCGCAAACATCGGTACCCCACAGCTGGGAACAAGAGCCCTCGGTAGATGAGCCGCAGGAAGAGCCTGTTGAGGAGCGTCCACGAAAGAAACGTCGCAAGTACATTGCTCGAGCTTGGTATGTTTGCCCTCGCCAAGATCAAAATTATATTGAGCTAAAACCTTGAGAAAAGCAATGAATGCAAGCGTCGCAAAATCAAATGTAATGGTCAAGCGCCGTGCCATCGATGTGGTCGGCAGCACATCGAATGTGTCTACGTGGAGAATCCTCGACCCGACAGCCACGGTGAAAATGAGTATGAAAACATAAGGACCATGTGTTACGGTCGGAGATCGATGATCTGATTTTATACAGGGATTTTGAACGACTCTTCGATCAATTGAAATCGATGCAGGATCAAATTAGCTCTCTATCAGCAACGGTGCGATCAATGGCAAACGGCGAAAGCCCACCCGTTGGCGGGACCCGTTCGAGTGTGGTCGGGCCAGCGACAGGGTCGTATGGACTTTTGCCAACTCAACGCCCTTTGCGACGCGTCTCGACTGCGAGAGAGGCCCCTTTTCAAGGTCCGACTACCTCGGGATTCAGCTTCGATCTTGCCAAGTCTAGCTTGCTCCAGCGAGGCATTGTGGAGCGAAATGACCCCGGCGAAGAAGCGGAAGGCGATTTGACTCAGGAACCCTCGCCTTTGGCCTCGCCGTCTGCTCCGAATCGAGACTCGGAGCTTCGTCATGCAGTGGACCCTCTCTGGGCGCTGCCGAAGAATGAAGCTCTGCGACTATGTCAAGTCTATGAAGAGGAAATGGGAATTATGTACCCTGTGCTGGAAGTCTCGGAGCTTCTGGAACAGGTGCATCTTCTCTATGGCTTGATGGATCGCACACTTGAGTCGGACATTCAAACTAATGGAAAGAACGCCTTGGATCGGGAAGACGTCTATATTCTTCGATTGGTCTTTGCGTGTGCATTGACAGCTGAAGCTAGCGGCCGCAGTGAGCAGGCTATTGCCTTGTTTGACAGCGTGCGAGAGGTTCAGGACAACTGTGTGTGGGGACCACCAGAGATTAAATCCATCATATTTTTGACCCTCGTGGTACGTCAACATGCGTTTTGTCGCGAGAATAATATCGAAGCGTCGACCAAATATACTGATTACGCGATAGTCCATTTTCTATTTCCAAATGGACGAAGAGACGCTTGCATGGCGGACCATTGGAATTGTGGAGCGCATGTGCCTAGAGAAAGGCCTCCACCGACGAGAAACACTCAATCAACCTGGGATTGTGGCTGCAGGTAAAGATCGAGTCTTGCGATTGTTCTGGTCGATTTACATCCTCGATATGCGCTGGAGCTTCGGCACCGGCATGCCATTCGCACTGGAGGACACGGATATTGACCCGTGGCTCCCAGAACCCGAAGAAAAGACGCCATATCTTCGCGTGATGATTCGGTATAGTCGGATTGCTGCGAAGGTCTGGAAGTTTATCTCGGCCTTTAACAATACGAACGAAATTAAAAAGGAGGAAATGAACTATCTAGATTGGCAAGTCCTGCGCTGGGCTCACACGATTCCCGACTCCTTGCGATTGGTCCACCCCAGTACACCCGAGTCCAATGCTGCAACCGAAGGTCCTCGCAGTCTTCGCAGACTGAGAGCATTGCTCTATCTCCGGGCTAATCAACTGCGCATGCTCATCTATCGTCCAGTCCTGCACACAGCTGGCCACATCGTCCGATACCCCAGCGAATCAGAGACGGTTGTTGAAATCGCCAAAGATACTATCCGATTTATTACGCGACTGAATGAAACCTCCGATATCTACCAGCTGCAGCAGGTGGCATTCAATTGGTTCTTGGTATCTGCTTTGGCTGTCTTGTTCCTTGCGGTTGCTCAAGCACCGTCTCAATTCAGCGGGACGTGCAAGGAGGAATTCTACTGGGCCTTGGAACTCGTGAAGGGATTTTCTACACAGTCCTACATCTCCCGGCGCCTATGGAAGTCAATCCGGAGCCTGCGTAGACTCGGGCCTCAGCTGGGACTGGTGGGTGCGCAGAAGCTCCGACGAAGTAATCCAGTCGTTGCCGAGCCTGGACCTCCTGGACCACCTCCGATGCAAGAGTCACCCATTCCGGCTGCCGGCTCCAGTACACAAAGCCAGACTCCATTGGACGGAGCGCAGATGACGCAGGAACTGATGGAGTGGTTCGAAGCCGTGGGTAATCTTGAGGACCAGATCATGGGTGTCGGCCCTGGGCCCATGCCAGATGATGCCCCGTGGCAGCAGATGCCGAATGGCGCATTTATGTTTGATTATGGGGAAGAGTTGTCTAGCGTGATGAAAGATTGTTTTTGAAAGGGGCCATGGTTGTTTCGTGTTTGGTCGTATATAGAATGAAAAGCTAGACTGGGCTGTCCCCTCGGAGTCGTCATCTCCTCTTTCATCATACTTGCACTAGATGATTCCGGGTCGTAACTTATCGAGATCATTCGACGTCCAGTCCGTCACGAGCATATGTCCAGGCTCATGAGCGAATACCAGCCCCTTTATTCGGTCGCCGGCCGCCTCTACAGCCATCTGCGGTGTCACACCACAGGCCTAGGGGCAAATGTTAGAGAAGAAGTCAGAAGACCAAAAAGGAACTGATAGAACTTACCCAGAATACCGGCACTTCACCCTCCTCGAAGACCTGTGGCTCCCCAAAATCTGGGTTGTTGATCTCCGTGATGCCCAGTTGCTTTGCTCCCTCCCACCCCCAAGCGACCGGTTCGCCGTGGGTCGACAAATACGTTCGCGTCACCTCTCTCACTCGATCAATTTGCTCGGGTCGATAGGGACGCATGGACACGATGCAGTGACCACCGGTAAAAATACCCGCCGGCAGCAGCGGTATGTTGGAGCGATACATTGCGACAATGGTGCCGGTTTGTTGGTGGCGTGGTTGTAGACCAGCTGTGGTCAAGGCATCTTCAAAGGAGAATGAACATCCAATCAGGAAAGCAACGTGACCGGAGGTCCATACATCAAGAAGATCTCGTCGACTCTCAAGATATTCTCCATTCTGGTAGATGCGATATTGGGGGAAATCGGTGCGAATGTCAAAGTCTGGGAATTGGATGCATCCGGCCGGTTGAACGGCATGTGCATCTCCGGGAGTAGTTGTCTTCCCTACCAGTGGACAGGAGACTGGATTGCGAAGGCAGAGGTCATGGAAGTCTGCTGCATGTTGAGCTGGTAAGATTAATAGATTGGCTTGTAAATAGCCTGGAGCCACACCGGCCGTGTTGGTCAGTCGATTCTGGCGACATGCCAGGCGGGCTTCATGCGATGGAAGATGGATGCTGCCCATGATATTGATAGAGGATGCCCCGGAGAATATAGTGAAAGGAGAGAACTCTGAACGGATGAATGGAGTTAATGACAAACAGTGTGAGGCTGAATAATGTACTGGTCAGAGGGATCAGCGATTGAATTGGGGTGCTTTATTCATGGGAACTATGGAAGACGGGTCTTGGTATAGACCCAACAGCATATTTCATTGCCGATCGGCCTCGATTATGGCTGTAAAGTACTTTCTCAAACACCAAAAACTCGGAGGTAAAACTCGGTACCTACAATCTTGGAGCAACAGCAACGATTGGGGTAAGACTATTCAACGAGAATGGAATATCTCACTGTCTCCGTACTCCGTTCTGGTTCTTCGTCTGCTTATCTTCGGGATCCGCTTACCGACGAGTCTGGGGAAATTTCCTCGTACAAGCGATTCTTCGTGATGCGGCCGGTCATATTGCATAGAGAGCCATCGGAGCGCTCTTCGATTCGTCCGTTGTATCGATTAGGTAAGTGTAGAGGGCCAGAATGCACATGTCAACACCCACCGGGGACTACTACCGCACCGGTAACCCCTGCAAGTTGCCAGTGGCAAAAGCCTGCCGATCCGCTGCATTGGTTCCTAGCGTCTCGCATTTCAACTGGATGAGAGCCATCATTATCGTTTCCACTAGTCATTGACTTTCTGGGCATCGCTATCGTCGGGCCGATGGTTCCCCATCGGCTCAGCCAATCCGACCAATGCGCCCGACGAGTATCATGCGGAGAATGGAGAAGACATACGGGGAGAGTTTCATGATGCTTCGTTGATAGGAAAGGATCCGCTCCCCCGCTTAACTTACTTATCTCGCATGGCATGGGCCTAGGGGCATGATAACCGATCCTCTGGAAATCAAGAAGCCCGTTGGATGTTTTAAAACATCCTAGCGTCTGCTCCGAGACAATCCCTGCATCTTCCCTGATCCCATTGTACCAATTCAATAACCATGGGCGTCAACCACAACGATGACGAGGCCGTTGCCATGGAACGGAGGCTCTCTGTCCAGAAAGAAGGGGACCACGAAATGACCCAAGAAACATCAACAGGGGAAGCCCTTGATGTGGAGCTCGATCCCGCAATGGAGCAGAAGCTCCTGATGAAACTCGATCTCGCTTTTGTGCCTATCATTATGCTAACCTACTTGTCTTGCTTTCTCGATCGCTCCAACATCGGTATCGATCCCAGGAATCAGATCAAATAAATGTGGAAGCTGATGAAACAACAGGAAATGTCAAGGTTGCGAATATGCCTGAAGACATCCACGCATCCGATAGCCAGTTCTCTACGGCAGTCTCCATTTTCTACGTCACCTACGTCCTCTTCGAATCCCCCTGGGCCGTATTGATGAAGAAGCTCACCCCTCGGAACATTCTCACTGGCCTCTGTATCGTCTGGTCTTTGACGACGATCTTCACGGGCTTCATCAAGTCCGTAGGCTCTCTGTATGCGACGCGATTGATTCTCGGCGCGTGCGAAGCTGGACTCTTTCCTTGCCTCAACTTGTACTTGACTATGGTCTACCGCCGTGAGGAGCAAGCGAAGCGAGTGTCGTACCTGCTGAGTTGTGCGGCCATCTCTGGTGCGGTCGGTGGGTTGCTGGCATATGCCATCCTCCATATGGATGGCGTTGCTGGCAAGGCAGGATGGAGGTATGTACTTCTCTTGTGAGGAAGAGTTTATTTCGCCTGCAATCTGACTGATCATGTTGTAGGTGGGTGTACATTATCGAGGGCATCTTTAGCGCCCTCTGTGCAGTGCTCATCTGGTTTGGGCTGCCGAACAACCCCGCGGAAGCCTATTTCCTGAACGAGGAAGAGAAGTGGATGATGCGCGTGCGCAATGAACAACGACGAAAGTATATGGGCAGCGAGAAGTTTAGTTGGAAGGAAATGCGCATCGCGTTGAGCGACCCCAAGCTGTTCTTTTCAGGACTCATTCAATTCTGTCAAGATATTCTCTTGTACGGATTCAGCACCTTCTTGCCAACAATCTTGAAAGGCATGGGCTATAACTCTTTGATGAGTAACGTCTTGACCGTCCCGGTCTATATCTGGGCCGCTTTGGTCTTCATAGCCGTGGCCTTTTGTTCTGATCGATACTCCAAGTTTGCATCAGTACGCGCGAACCCTGCTGACATCGTTTATGGTTCATACTGACAATCCTTGCAGTTCATCTTCGCAACCAACATCTTCGGTATTATCGGCTACATCCTACTATTAGCCGTATCGAACAAGGCTGTGCAATATTTTGCAACATTCCTCATTGGGATCACCACTTACACTGGCGTTGGGCTCAATGTCGCATGGATCAATGTGAATGTCGCCCCTCAGTACCGACGAGCGCTGGAAATTGGATTACAACAAACCATGGGCAATTGCGCAGGCATTGTGGCCGGACAAATCTATCGCAAATCACCTTATGTACTGGGTAACTCCTTCTCCCTTGGGGCCCTAGTGGTATCCCAGGTGGTCGTGGCAGGATTCGGGTTCTATCTGCGTCGTGAGAACAAGGCCAAGGAGCTGATTGAGAATGGCGAGAAAGAAGATACTCGACGGGTTCGAACAGGCGATGGTGCAGTAGACTTTAAGTATCTGTATTGAGTTGATAGGACATGCATTGATTATTTGACCGTTTGTCATTATTGTCAATTCTTCAGACTTGCTGTAACCCCGTTGATGATCCGGTGAGATCAATACTTCGTTAGGCGTCGGTGGTATTTAAGTGGTACATCCTCATGGCAATGATGGACTCTATTAAGGCGGCTCTTGAAACCCAATTCTGTTTGCCAGAGAGCCTATAATTCAATGTTTGTGCTCCGCGAAGGGACACTTGTCCTAGCGGTACACAACCACACAACACATCGTTGCTATTTTTTGTTTTTACTAAATGACTGGATTATTTCACTATCGCAGCAATGGCTTTTTTTCGCATATTTTATTTCGATGTGTGGTCTACGAGGGTTGGCCTCCTCGTCTCCCACCGCGGAAACCCCATCGATCGTGATTGGAGTCCTCACCCGCGATGAACCGTGGAACAGACTGGCTCTCCTCCCCATGAAGTGAATGACGCACACGACCGGCATATCAGGATTGATGGACTATTTCGACAAATTTATAAGTAAGTACTCCGCCCGTTTGAGCGTTCCTCCGTGTAACCTGAGCATGAACTTCTCTCCTGACTCCTACCCAGACCACTTGACGTCAACCCTTTTTTAATACACAACGCAAGCCTCCCAGACCTTCATATCCAAGAACAAATATCACAATTATGGGCCTGTGTATGTCCTTTCCGCGCCACAGTCGCATGAGACCAATGCCTATGGGAATGGGAGGGGGATGGGGACCCCCTCCTCGTCGAAACTTCCATGGCGGTGGAATGGGCTACGGCATGGGGCCTGGTATGGGGTACGGGGGAGGCTACGGTCGACATGGAGGATTTGGGGGTGGACGACCGGGTTGTGGCCCTGGTGGAGGGTTTGGAAGAGGACCGCGTAGGCGTTGGTAATGACAGAGAACTATTGGATGTCGCTTGTGAACGAATCCAAATGGGGCAAGATGACCAATACCCTCATGGAAATATCCTATATTCGTGTGGAAGAACCTCGAGTCGACAGCCCTCATCCACTTGGCATTCAAATATTCGCTTCTGTGACGATCCTCAGTACAACCACTCAGGTATCAACCTCGAAATCGGCGAATCGGGCTTCACCTCCATTGCCGACCGCAAAGATCCCTATTACCGGGCCAGTGAAGTCGAAATCGGTCATCATTTGAGTGTCTACCTCCTCCATGCACTGCCAATCGCCAGCAGAGTCGAATATGAAGAAGCCTAGAGAGCGCTCCATGTACCTGATCTGGAACTGAATTGTATCCTGCAATTTGATATGTTGAACCTTTTTGGAATTATAGAATTTGGCCGGATTCAATCCTTTGTAAACCGCTTCGCTGGCCTGGAAGTCGTACGCAATCGATAGGAAGCGATGCTCATCCTTGTAGAATGCCAATCCGGCTTGGGTGAGGCCATCATGACCAGCCGGGCTAGGTTCAGGACGATGTAGGCTCACGCTCGCCGTTCCAACAAGTCGCCGTTGCCGCTGTCCAACAAAGGTCACAATCCCTTCGGCTGAATCGAGGCCAGCTGGACGTGCTCGCATTGTGATTTGGCTATCTTGGATGTCATAGTCCCCCAGAACGGGATCTCTTAAGTAGACCCATGCAGCTGAGGTGGTGAAAGAGATATTGAATGGATCTGTTCTTGGTTGCTCCGGGGAATTTGGTAGTTCGCGGCGAGCGGCAACAGTATTGATGCTGGGCCACTCGTTGGTAGGCCAATTAACTGCAGCCAGAAAGCTCTCTCGTCCCATGATCGATCGCCCCTCGTCCATTCTCACGCCAAGCATCACCACCCACCATTGACCACTTTTGTCTTGAAAAAAGTCACCATGTCCAGTGTTTTGAACATATTGATCCGTACCGTCCGCGCTGTATAGTGGATTTCCTGCATACGACTCGTATGGACCCCAGACACTCTTGGCTCGGGCGATGCTCAGCATATGATGCTGGAACGTACCTCCCTCTGCACACAGGAGATAATACCAATTGTCCTTTTTATAGACATGCGGGCCTTCAGTGAAATTACCTGCCCATCCATTCCAGACAAGAGCAGGCTCGGTCAACATTTTTCCCGTGGTGATATCAATCTCAAAGTTGAAGATTTGGAATTTTGGCCCGACTTTGCACACCTGCACGTACACCTTGTCGTCGTCAAAGAGTAAGGAGGGATCAATCCCCGGCGTAAAATGGAATGGTATTGGATCAGACCATTTCCCTGAAAGAATATCGGTGGTATGAATGATGAACTGGTCGCTGCGCTCGTCGCCAAACTTGTTGGAAGTGTGAATAACGTTTGTGCAAATGATATAGCTCACACCGTTATGATGACGGATGGTTGGGGCATACAACCCACCAGTCGCCACCATAGTCGTGCCCTCTTCCCAAGGAGCGACCCAAGTGGTTGCCTTGCATAGTGAGAGTTGGGAGCGCCGGTTAATTGCATTTCCTGGCAGTAAGGAGGGTGGTCAATTAACTTGTCTTCACCTTGGTTCAATGTCTGGAAGTGGAAAATACCGATATGAGTCCAGGAAATTAAATCTGGAGAAGCATATATGGGGAGACCGGGAAAGAGATGGAAACTGGAATTGACTAAGAAATATGTATTGCCTATTAGGCAGATCGAGGGGTCGGGCGCAAAGCCCGGGATGATTGGATTATTATTCAGGTCGGAAGCCATACTATAAGTCCACTAGGTTGAGTAGCCTCTGTTTCTGTAGTTTATGGTTGTCACGAAAGGAAACTGTAGATTTGTTGAAAGCAGAAACGGCACTATTTGAATTACTGTGGCGCAGGGCATTTTGCCAGTTTGGTCACGGCTCTGAACCCGTGAGATTCCATCCAACGAGATAAAAGCTCAACCCCCGCTTCCTGCAGCTATATAGGCTAAAGGAGGAGATGTCCCAGAATGAGATCCCAACCTCTATGTGATTCGGTCATACTATGCCCTTTCACCGGCAAAAGAAAAACGCCATGTTGGCGGGGGAGCCTCCATCCACGTAGCTCGACCGTGCTATATATACCTCGCGATAGGGTTGCTCGCAGCCTCAACCTTAAATTTTGTTTATACTGGCAGCGATATCCATACGCCTAATCCAAGACATAGGTCTAAATAACCGCAAAATGGCTCAAGCTAGTCAGCCCATGAAACCGCCCAAGGGCCACTTTTTCTTGGCGGGGCGTACCTTTCCGAGGGTAAAGTGGTGGAAGAGGCCGAACATGCGCCTCTTGTATTTCTATATTGCAGTCTTGATTGCGACCAATACAGCCAACGGCTTTGATAACTCTATGATGTAGGGGCAAAATTGCAGAGAAGTTGAGTACATTCACTAATTAAAGTAGGAACGGCCTGCAAACTCTGTCTTATTGGCAGGACTATTTCAATCATCCCCAAGGACCTACTCTTGGCCTATTCAACTGCGTTATGAGTGTTGGAGCATTGACTGGACTGCTGATTCTACCGTTCATGTTGGATCGGTTTGGGCGAAAGCCATGCCTGGTGTTTGGGTCGATGTTCATGCTTCTTGGTGTCGCCCTGCAGTCTGGCTCCATCAACTTTTCCATGTTTGTAGGTGCTCGGTATATACTGGGATTCGGCGACATTATTGTCATTTGCACAGCTCCAATGCTCATTACAGAGATTGCACCTGCCCAAGATCGAGCAATCTTGGTAACAATTGCAGGTGCAACTTATCATTCCGGCGCGTTTATCGCAGCTTGGACTACATACGGTACCTTGAAGATTCAGGTCAGGACTAAGTGTGAACAATCAACCCTAAAGAAAATTAACTGATACCATTGGCAGAGCGAATGGTCCTGGAGAGCACCGAGCTTAATCCAAGGACTCTTTACTCTCTTGATGCTTGCCGTTGTTTGGTGGATCCCGGAAAGCCCAAGATACTATGTCTCAAAAGATCAACCGGAGAAGGGACTCCAGATTTTAGTACACTACCACGCCGAAGGAAACGAGGCGGACGAAGTTGTTCAATTGGAGTTTACGGAGATCACTACTGCGCTCGCCATGGAGAAGAACTCAGAGCATTCCAGCTCCTATGTGGACTTTGTGCGAACCGCAGGAAACCGAAAACGACTCCTGATTGTCGCCTCCTTTGGCCTCTTTGCTCAATGGAGTGGCAATGGCCTGGTCAGTTACTATCTTGTTTTGATTATGGACAGCATCGGGATTACAGACGCCAACAAGCAGTTGCTGATCAATGGCGCATTAACTTCATTCAACCTCGTCACAAATCTGTTTTTCAGCTTTTTCGTCGACGACTGGGGTAGACGACCTATCATGCTGGTCAGCTCTGCTGGAATGCTTGTCTCATTTGTGATCTGGACAGCACTGTCAGCAAAGTACGACGCACATGCTAGCTCAAGTCTCGGTTCCGGCGTCCTAGGGATGATTTTCATCTATTACCTGTTCTATAACCTCAAGTAAGTGACCTGCATGAGCTATTCAGCTTGTATTCAGAATAATTGAATTGTCCAGGTCGGGTCTGATTGCCAGCTATACAACTGAAATCCTTCCCTATTCTATGCGGGCCAAGGGATACACGATCATGGAATTCGCCATGTACATCGCGCTATTCTTTAACCAATATGTGAACCCCATCGCACTTGACAATCTTCACTGGCGGTATTATATCTTCTACTGCTGCTTTTTGGCGGTGGAAGTTGTTGTGATCTGGTTCTTCTATTTGGAGACTCGGTATGTTCCGTTGGAGGAAATCACCAAGTTATTCGATGGCGACGATGTTGCAGCTGCGACCAATGTGGAGATGGAAAAGGCCTGGGAGTCAGGCAAGGGCTTCACCACCGCGGTGCATATCGAGGGTGCAGACTGATAGTCTCATTTCAGTTTACGACTGTCGTTGCTACTCATCGATGTCGAGAGCAAGGAGATTGTTCGATTGTCTCGTGTCTTGCGGACAAAAGACCGCCAGAACATGCACATCGGTCTCTCAATGGCCAATATACCTTCAACTATGATTAATGACTTGAAGACCATAATTATATTATGGTTGCAGCTTTAATCAATGCTGGGCCCTGTCCGTTCCTGAACAAAGTAGTACTAGCTTACGTAATAGCTGAAAGTCATCCATGGACGGCGCCGGGTAATCATAAGTCCGACCTGAAATAGGCCAGTCCAGGATGATCAGATTTACGCGGCAACGCGGTAGCGGAGCGAGATCCAGTCGTGATTACTCACAATAGCCATCACCTTACCAGCGATGGCTTTGTCTATGGCTAGCGGGTCGTGACTCCGCTCATAGATTGTTCGACTACTGGCTAGTATGCAGATATCAGGGGTATCTTGGGCTACCTAGGGTTAAGCCATGGGAAATGAAGCTCGAAAGCTGCCAAGAAAATCGGGGACTTCCATTGAGAAACCGTATCGGCAACCACGGCGACGTCCTGCCCATTTACGGACCAAAACCGGCTGCTTAACATGTTAGTCTGGGAATCCTGATCACGGGAGAGTACCTATCTGCACCCAGGAGCTCCCTGACTAGCTATACAATCACTCACATGACACAGGCCGAAATCGGAAGAAAAAGTGTGACGAAACTCGTGCACAGTGCTTGAACTGTGTCAAGCGGAGTTTAGATTGCGTCTGGCAATTGGACGGTCTGATACATGATGAGCCAAAGATTCCATGTTACTCAGAAAGCGAACATCCTAGCAGTAGCGGTGCCGCAACTGAGAATGCTTTTGCTATCGAGGAGAGGCCGAGTCTTCAACAATATGATTCACATGATCTATGCATCGAAAGACCACGGGAAGCCGGGGACAACACAAGACCCAGGACTCTGCTGTCGAAAACAGCAATTTCGTCCACGGGCTGCAAAGCTCTAGCACGAACTCAGTCTCCTCAACCTACTGAGAGTATTCATGACATATCGCTTCACATCGATTTTCTTCACTCCCCTGCCAACACTAGGCATGGTCGACCTCTTTTGCAATTCTTGATCTCCACTTTTGTTCCCCAGCTGATACGGCCTACTACAGATGGGCAAATGGGCGAAATATTGACTCGCCAGACGCTAGCATTGGCATTTGAACATCCGTTCTGCATGCACGCTTTACTTGCCTGCTGTGGTGCAGAGATCCCCATAGAAAAGTCTGAATTTCGCGAACTTGCTCGATATCATTATACTCACGCAGTTACTGGACTTCGAAAGATTCTGGATGATGGACCCCTCCAATGCCAATGGGGCGTCACAATGCTGGGCATCATGATGTTATGCATCTATGAGGTGAGTGTACAGACAGTCTTTAACAACAGAAGAAATCATGAAGACTTTTCTCACTTCTCTCGATTTAAAGCGTTCCAAACAGAAGCCCTCACCAGGAGTCGGTATACACCTTGCAGGGGCCGCTCAGTTGATCCGATTGCACTCCCATACTCGCGGTGATGACATTAAATGCGATGGTGTTGAGGGGGCCATGTATCGACTGGCCCGTGAATCTTTCATCTTTCACGTCACGACTAGTCTCCCATTTCAAGATGAGATCGCGAACTCCCAACACACTCATTTGCCAGCTGATTCAACCCATTTCGAAATCGAGTCGGCACTTTCCTTGGCGGAAGAGGCCATTCGAGAAAATTTCCACGTTGACATGGTCTCTCATCCAAACTCCCCAGTTCTTGGCTTTCCGCCACGGCTATTTCGATGTATATACACGGTCTATCGATTGCACAAAACCTCAAGTTGTGACCAAGTGAGCCTGCAGTTATGTCAGCGACTTGACAAGGATCTCTGCCGATGGAATAGTCGTTTGGAAGCTCCATCAGCGGAAATCCCGTGTACTGATTTGGGCACAAGGAAGGATAAAGGAAACCCCGGAGAATCCACTGCATCCCGGCAAAGCCAAGCCCTACGCCAGTCGGCATTGGCTGGCCCTAAGTTGTATATTCTCGGCTGCCGAGTCTTACTGCAACGAATGGCGGGCGCAGTTCTTACCTCTGGCGATCTTGGTACCGAAGGATTGATTGAACAGGCGATGAGGCTGATACAGGAGCTTCAACCAACGAAAGATTACTACGCCGACTACTATTGTTGGCCACTTTTCGCCATTGGCATAAATCTCCGATCTTCCTGTGATCGGGATTTGCTTTTAACACAGGTATCGGCATTTTTAAAGTCCACTAACAATCCGACTATGAGACGGCTCCTCGATATGCTCTCTGAATACTGGCAGTCGCGTGAATCAAGCAGAGTCTGACCGTGGATTGCGTCTGCTGGCTTAAAGCAAGCAAATCAAAGACAGACGATGGTGACTGTGAATAATTTATGACACTCTGTCACACACCCTCTTGAGAATATTCATTACGTTTTTGTCATCGACTAAGGCGGCTGTCGATGGTTAGTCTGATGCCATGTACCGCGCCTGGAGGGTGAAACCACGGTTAGTCAGAGAGCCAATCATCCACCCAGGACTCTGGATTCACGCAGGTGACAATCCTTGATTCAGGCACTGTCGATCAAGCTCATGAAGCGCCAATCGTGACACCTGGAATGTGCACTGGTGAGACGATATGGTCTTAGCGTGCAGCGCCAAGCCAAGGGCCAAGACCGGGGCGCAACCGAGGTTACAGTGCATTTAAGGATGAAACATCCACTCTTTATGCAGTATTCAGAAAGGCCTTGGCAGACGGGATGCCGCCGGGGATCTTTTATATCAGTCTCTATACGAGATATCCGAGCAGAAGATAAAGACCTTCTCATCCCCGCGCTAAAGGTTAATCTCGGCATTCCTCATTGTGACTTGCAGAATTCCCGTGTAATTTGTTCCAACTCTAGCCTTTCCACTTCTACCAAACGTCGAAGACTACCGCAATGGGATTGGCTCGAGTATCACAGACCCTTGTAGGTCTTTTGGCTCTCCAGCCTGCTCTTATAGCAGGCCTCCCGGCCCCTGAACCTGTCCCATCTCCCCCTGGTGTCCCGTCTGCTTCAACAGCCAAGAGCGAGTTGGCCGGACTGGCAGTGGCTCCCCAAGGGTCTCAAGAGGGTTATTCTCGGAGCAAATTTCCTCATTGGATCAAACAAACTGGGTGGGAGAGTTCTCTTTCAATCTGTACTCTGAGTCACGCTCATAATTGTGCAGCAGTTGCGACACCCGTGACGTCGTGCTCAAGCGAGATGGGACGAATGTGGCACAGACTTCGAGTGGCTGTACCACCACCAGTGGCACATGGGTTTCACCATATGACGGTGCAACCTGGACTGCTTCCAGTGACGTCGATATTGACCATCTTGTTCCGCTGTCAAATGCCTGGAAGGTGGGCTCATACTATTTCTAACAAAAGACAGATCAAGAGGACTGATGTGTGTCTTTGACAGTCGGGGGCATCTGGATGGACCACCGAGGCTCGACAAGGCTTCGCAAACGATTTGACTCATCCTCAACTCCTGGTAGTGACGGATAATGTGAATGAGTCGAAGGGTGATAAAGGCCCCGAGGAATGGAAACCTCCACTTGGTATGTGTAGCTTTTGACCTTGGATGTGAAAAGACATCTGACTTGAAAATAGCCTCGTATTATTGCACATACGCTGAAATGTGGGTGAAGGTCAAGTCGGTTTACAATCTTACCATCACATCCGATGAGAAGTCTGCGCTCTCTGATATGCTCAGTACTTGCTAGATGTGGAATGATCCATTGTATAGCTGCTTCCCCTCTTGGTCTACAGATTGTTGTTCATGGTACTGCAAGGGAAGACAGACTAAAATACACGTTGAGCCTCTTAATGGCTGGCTATATTCGATTGCCTGCAGTTTCCCCTGTAGACTTCTATGACATGTAGAAGAAAGATGCTGACAGTAATATCGATCTGGTCTGAAACCCCGAGCCTTTTCTATGCTCATGATCATGTTGATAGATCTGTTTGATGAAGATGCGCAGTGATGATATCCAGATAGTCTCTAGCACGGGGAGTGATTGACTCCACCCCTTCCAATTTAGCTGCATCGTCCCACAATCGCAGAGAAACCATCTCATCCCGAAGGGGATCCTGATCAAACTTTTCGAGTTCATCTCCCTGAAATGGACCGCCCTGGAAAGCGAGCGATTTTTGTGACGCAGAAGACAACGAGTCGTAGTAAGCACGATTCATTGCGGTCAGATATCTGTTCGAGACGAATAAGAAAGAGTGAAGCCCTTGCAATTGAGAAAGAAAATACCTTTTCGCTGCAACATGGCTGTTCACCAACCGACAAACTGTCTCACTGAATCCTAAGGATCGGAGATACGCGGCACCGATAGCTTCATGACCCACGCGACCGACATTCTCGGTGCTCCCGCGAAGGTTCATACGAACCTCCTTCGTCGAGTCCAAGGGGATGATTTGGCCAATATCATGGAACAGCGCTGCGATTACGAGTTCATCTCTAGCCCCTATGTTCGCGGTGAGATACCGTACAGAAAGTCATATCTCATGGAACTCATACCCGATTTGCGTGCCTGATCTGCTGCCTGCAAAGAGTGTTCAAGCTGATTGATTGATTCCCCAATGTAATCGCCCTGCCCGTGCTGCTCAAGAGCATTAACAAGAAGCGCGGCCCTTTCTGCTGGTGTCTGACGTTCCATGATGAGGATAATAGTAGATGAGAGCCCCACTGCAGAAGGAAAGAAATTTTGAGTGAAAGGGAAGCGGGCAGGTGGCTCTTATACTCGTAACACACCCTTCGGCCTCTTCACCGACATGAGAAGCTCTCATGGATGCGGAACGTGGGTCTAAAATCTTCTGATCGTCAAAAAGGCCGCTCCTGGTGGTTCCTAATGCAATTATAGGCCTGTCCTCGGCAGCTCTTCATAATACTCTCATATACCCTTAATCTATAGTTTTTACTTTGGCTTAATCACAATTTTTGCCTGGCAAGTTCAGGAATCTTGGCCCCCCTAGCCTACAATACAGAGTTTTCCACCTCGTGCCCTCCGTCCTTTTTATTATTATTATCCCCTGCGCTATCACTACAACGTATTGAAAATTCAAATTCTAAGCTGTAGCAACAGGTCTTGGCTTTCCATCCACAGTGAGCATGGGAGTCCCAAAAGCGTAACGTGTTCGTCCTTCCTCATACGACTCACCCTCCTTGCGCATATGAGTTGCCGGCCAAAGCTTCTGGCGATCGGCATAGTATTCGTCGTGCAAATCTCCCTCTGTGGCGCAGTTGTATGTGGCATAGATGGCACGGCGATCCTTGGAGCTGGTGTTGGCCCCGCTACGGTGAGCGAGGTAAGATCCGAAGACCAGAATGTCGCCTAAACCTTGTGATAAGCAGAGGCAACAAAATCACATATAATGAGGCAATCTACCTGGATGCAAGTCGCACGGGGTCCATCTGTGACTATCAACCCATGCGGGCTCAATGCAGCGATCGGCCCCCAGAGGCACTTCCATACGGTGGCTGCCGTTGACTACCTCCAGACCCCCGTTGATCGCGTTCATCTCGTCTACAGCAGCGAGAATGGTCAGATGCTTGATGTTCTTCACGTGCGTGTAGGCATTTGCGTCGATGTGAGGGTCAAAGCCACCTAGTGAGTTTTTGTAAGTATTGACAGCTATACAAGACAATTGCGCGATAAGAGACGCACCACTCCCGGCAAGCTTATAGTTGATCTTCTCCTTGAAGAGTAGCATCTCCTCTCCAGCCAGCTGTTGCAAAACACTCGTGGCTCGCTGTCCCCGAAGGAAGCTGTCAAAGCCCGCGTGAGAGTTTGCAAAGTTCTCCGTGCGACACAGAACCCGTTGGCCCTGTCCATTCACTTCCTCATAGGGCATCCATGGCACACCCGGAGTCTGCGGCAGATCATGCACTTCCAGTGCCCATTGCTGTAGGACTTTGGTCTCTTCCGGGTTGAAGAAGCCGCGCACCAGCAGATAACCGTTTTCCTGGAAGCTTTGCAGCTGTTCTGCGGCTAGGGCATAGTGGAAGTTGTCCATCTTGGGCTTCGTACCCGTGCAAAAGAATGAAGACCACGTGCAATGAGACCAAACCCCAAGTTTTGGATACTGGGATGATCAAGAAAAGTAGAGGGGAAAAAACGAAGGAACGTGCAGTCCGTATTGCAGAACGATACAGCTTGTGGTTTTATAGATTAGGACAAGGCGTTGGCAAGTCATATCTCTTTTTTGGGTTCGAGAGCTGCTATCATCATGCCTTCGCGCTTCGCACCGAGCCCTAAGCCCAATTGGGCCCTACAGTGATGGATCGTCATCGGGTGGGGTGGGTCTGGCCCTGTCCGACTCTTGACAACTAAGGGAAAAGGGGCTCAAATGACTGGCTGTGCAAGTTGCAGGTCAGTGTTCGGATTGTGTTTCAAAGGCTACTACTTACTCTAAACAGTTATTCGGATTGGCGCAGGGTTGTTAACTTTCTTCAGCACGCAGTGGCTAGCAAATTCATTAGAGCCGTTAGAAGGATCAGAAAGCACCACATGGGCCTCAGGACTCGGTCTGATAGGCTTCGAGGAGCGGGCCGAACCCCCCACCCCCAGACCAACATAGAATTCCCAAAAGAAAAGAGTGTATAGCTGGCATCGACAGCCAAATGGACCCACCCCGACAGCTCGGACCACCACGCTAAGCCTATCTAGGAGCCAACTGTCGGTCTCAGCTCTCGAAAGTAGTTTAGCGCCTCGTATCAAACAGATGAATACACACGCAAACTTCCCCTTTCTCTTCATCTTCCTGGCAATCGCGCAATTGACTCTTGTACAGCAAATATGACCTCTTTAGGCGAGCAATTGTCTAGCCTTGATGCTGAAAACGATCGTCTGATCAATGAAAGAAGGGAGCAAGACGCTGAGCTGCGAGTACGCAGATAGCCTCCAGATATCTGGAACAGATTCCTAGCTAATCGTTCATAGTGGGAACCATGTCAAACGGGACCTACTTGGGTAACCGAGAATAAGGGCCATAAGCTAAGCGTTGCCGAAATCGAGTACGTCCAGGACCTCCCTGAGTATCCAAATACCAGCGAAGGCGGGTACGGCTATGTTGTCCCGGCAGCTGGTCGTTCAGCGGAGCAGATTCGTGCCTTAGTGGAATCTACTATACGGATATCCCAGGTATCTGCCAGATAGCTACGAGATATCTGACTTCTACCGTCAGGTCCAGTACTCTTACCGCCAATCTTATGCCGATAGACCATATAAAGGCGAGTCCTTCCTTGGGCCTGGCTATACCTATTCAAAATACGACTGCACTGGTGTATTTATTTGTCAATATATACACCCGGCTATTCGATCGATGACACATACTACTATTGACGAAGGTCTTTAGAGTACTCTTCATAGACTTCGGCAGAATTTGCCTTTTGTTGAAGAGGATGAGGTTAAGCGAAAGACGTACACGTGAGTCGCTAAATATTCTATAGATATCTGGCAGATATCCGCTAATCTCTTAAGATAGCTACTTCTCTAGCACACATAATCTATTCCAGCGCGGGGTTTGTAGGGCTCGCCTACCATCTTATCAGCCGGTACTTCGATAGAGTGTGTATAAGACGCCTCTAGGGGGTCATATATATTCTATAATTTGCAAAGAAGGAGAGGCTGATCCAGCTCTTTATTATCGTTCAGATATAATCGCACGAGATAGGAGTATTGATATCTACTTCTTATACTAGCTATTTACAGGTGAGATTCCGAGTCTTATAGAGGCTTGTTATACCGTCGAAGGAACGTTGAAGAAATCGCTAAAGTGTAGTAAGCCTTTCAGATATCTACCAGATATCCGAGTGATATCTGACTCCTCTAGGTTACGCGCATATCCAGGGTCCGGGGACTTAGGATCGGCTAAAGTGCAATGTCAGATTTGACTGGCTTATCCCAGGTGACCTTGATAGATGCCTATACTTCTTATTCATCTCTACCGGTCGCTATATGCACCCTCTAGTACCACTAAAGCGGAGTCCTATTGAGGTTGTACAGGGTTTGAAGAGGCTAATTACCGAGATAGAGCGGCCGGATCTTACGATAAGTAGGTAGATCCGAATTAGACGTCTGCTAGATATCTAGCAACCCCGGCTAATTTCAAACCTCTAGCGAAATTCCTCGCTAGTCCCGAGCTTCAGCAATTCTGCTTAAAATACTCGTATTATACCTTAACAGAGCTTTATACAAGCTTTGTGAATACAGATCGCCTTGCTATAATTATTCGGAAGCAGCGTCTTCTATTATTTCCTTAGGGGTAGAGTATGAATAGTGTGATCTTTAAGCGGGCAAGGAACGACGAGGTTAAGTATAACAGATATCTGGCAGATATTCCCTAGATACCTAACTTATTAGGGCTACGTTCGTGAAATCTCTATTGACCCTAATTGTATTATAGTTATCTGTATGCTTGATAGACAGGCATATCTTCTGGCGAAGTCCAATTCCTACGAGGTAGACATGTCCTTTAAGCGTGTGAAGGATAAGGAAATTAAGGAGGTTGTTTTTGCATTATTTTTTAGTGATCTTGGGCGGAGTAAGTAGATATCCTCTAGACGACTAGCAGATATCTGACCCCTCTAGTCCGTACACTCTGCCGCGTCTTTACTACTATTAAGACTCGGGAAGGATATTATCGCTTATTTAGGCGAGTCTATCTTCTTCTTAAGAAGATTACTAAGCAGAGGCCTACTTTCCGAATTCTGGATAGTATTAGGCTTAATACAGTAGTGATGGATATAGATACAAAGCAGTATTTCGGTAAGTTAGCAGATCTCTGTCGGACGTCTACTAGATATCTAATAACTCTAGGATTTGCCGACTTCCTTCATGAGTTCGATCACGAACACCGAGGTAGGCCGTATCTCATGCGTCAAATAACTCTTTTCTACCATATCCACTTTACCCGAGGTGTTGATGAAGCTCTAAAACGGGCTAGGGGAGGTAACCCTAGTATTCGACAGCGAATACTTGAGCTTCTCTATACCCAGGACCGAGCAGGATACGAAGCGGTGATTGATAATATAATTTGTGAGTCCCTAGATAACCACTAGACGTCCTACAGATATCTAATAACTTCTAGAAGTGCTTAAGCCTTCTCTCGCCGCTTAGGCAGAGCATAAGCGGCAATATTAGGTAATGTGTGGCCTAAATCCAGCTTGCTCTAAATCACTACCTCCAGGTTACAAGTTAATTCGTAGAAATACGAATACCGCAGAGCAGACACACCATAAGTCTAATACTCGTGGTAAACAACAGCCTCTTCTATCAGCAATCCTGAGGTTAGTCAGACATCTAGCAAATATCTACTAAATATCTAACCTCCACTAGTTCTCTTAAGCTTGATCGACAGGATATTCAGGAGTACAATATCAGCCGCTAGTAGGCAATACCGAGTCGATATGCTAATTCCTCGCCTAAGGCGTCACTCATACGCCATTTACAGACAAGCAGAACCGCCGTGCTAGTCGTAATCGAGAGAGGCAGGATAGTGAGCCACCTCTAGAGCGTGTTAGTAGTAGTGGAGTTCCTTACCGTAGAAGGTCCTCTACATCCTCATCTAGCCGCTCTCGCTCAGTCTCCCGGCGTATAACGCCATATCTAATACCTCCATCGACGCAAGAGGATCCTACTATATTAGAGCTAAAGAGGAAGCTTGAAGAGGATGAATTAAGGCATAAAGCTAAGATACAAAGAATACGCCAAGAAAGAGAGCAACAGGAAGAGGAGGATAGGCTGCTTGAGGCTAAGATCCGACTACGTGCGCGGTAAAAAGAATGGGAGCAGGGCGGATCCTAAGGGATTAGATATCTACCAGACGTCTGTCAGGTATCTAGTATACTAAACTACTCTCTACGGAACTACTCTCTGAGATTCACATAAATCTTTAAGATTAACGCATTCAAAAGATTTTTGGTAGAAAAACTATCATCTAAGGTAGTAAAAGCACTACGAATACGCTAGTAAGGTAAATTTCAAAGAACTCCAAACGCTATTACCTACAATGGCTTCTAGAGAGGGGTTAGCTATCTGCCAGATATCTGGCAGATACCGCATATCTTTATACTTCGGTAACTGCCAGGTATCTAACAAAGAATCTCCGGAATATTCGTATATGCAAGATGTAAATATATATCTTTCGCTGTTTTGTTCCTCTGAGTTCACCAAATACCTGGCAGGTGTCTGACAGATATCCCCCTGCCGGAACGCGCTACTCCGACCGTATAATCTTTCGACTTTCAGGAGGAGGGTGATAGCCAATAGAATAGTTTACAAGTGGGCCGGTATGCCAAGGTATTTGAGGTGGATGCGCCAGACCTCCGCACTAAGCCATATTAGGTATAGTCGATACGAACTGTCGGTCTCAGCTTTTTTGGCTGTCGGACCGAACTAAACTCTGAAAGAGAACAAAATCGATTCGGACTCTTGTAGTACTCCGAATACTTCGAAACTACGCAGGACCATATGCTAGGACTCAACCTAGTCCAATTATTGTGCGACGGTGGTATTGGACGTCGCTACTACCATGGTACTATACTGCTCCTCCTCCGACATTTGAAGCTTTTTGTCCCTTTTGTACGTTCCTTTCCGCCACGTGCTTCCCACGACCTGAAGCTATTATTCCTCGTGTTCCCCGTTCTGTATATTCAACTTCACGCCCCACATTGTCCCTTTTCCTCTCTCTCCCACTCCCACTTCATGCTTACCCTCGGAGACCGTCGCTGGTCGCTGTCTGTCCTTGGATGTCGCGCGGAGGGAGCTTGGACCTGCCTTTTTAACGCCCCGTAGTGGGTCTGTGAACTTCACGGACTTCCCACCGACAGTCGGTATCGCGCATCTCGTGCCTGCAGATGAGCTTGTCATTGGATCTACACATATGGGATACACGAACGGCGGTATCTCAATACAATCTGAGGATGCCTTGTACTACCACGGGGCCCAGCTACAAATGATGCTTGCTCAGACGATGATGGCCGTTGAAATTCGTTTTCCTTCTTTCACCCACGGACTCACCAAAAGAATCCCCGTCTGACTTTGCGCTGAATCAACAATGGAGGCATCGCCAAGTGACTCCGTGATGAAGATGGATGGTTCCAAGGAGCAGAATCACAACGAGGACTGGGCCCTGGAGGATTCTCAGCCGAAAAAGCGATCAGGCGTCTTGAACGTGGTGATCGCGGGTTTGGCTCTGTTCAGTGATGGGTATAATGCTCAGATCATTGGCTACATGGAGCCGCTCTTCTCGGTCTTGTACAAAGATGGCATGTCGGCCACCATGAAGGCGCGTCTTTCCAACTCCTACCTGATTGGCGAGATTTTTGGCATGCTCTTCTTCGGTGTCTTGATTGACCGGATTGGTCGTCGGACCGGCGTGATAACCGCCACTGCCTTCTTGATACTGGGCGTGGTCTTGGCTACGGCAGCACATGGCACAACTCAACTAGGGTAGGAGAAATTTATTCACATGGCTGCTGGTCAAGGCCAGGAGAAAGAATGGCAGGCTGATAGTTTATGCTCCTAGAATGTTCTGGATGATGGTTGTCGCTCGAGGCATCGCGGGCTTTGGTGCCGGAGGTGAGTATCCAGTCTGTGCCACCAGTGCCACCGAGGCCGCGGATGAGACAGCACCACTTCGCAAGCGACGGGGCTTTCTGGTCGCAGTCGCTACCGACTTTGCGGTAGATCTGGTATGATACTATGATTCTGTCCATGTGAAGCGATATTTATCAGAAACTAGGGATTCGTTGCCGCAGGTCTAGTTGCCCTGATTGTGCTCGCATGCTATCACCAGCAAAATTCAGAGGGCGTTTGGAGGGTTACGTTTGGCCTGGGTATGGTTGTAAGTCCGGCTAATTCCTGGAGACCTTCGGAGGCTCTTCGTACAAAACTAAACTATTGAACAGCTACCCCTTGCCGTTTGCTTCTTCCGTGTTCGCATGATGAACTCTACCCAATACCGAAAGCATGCGATCAAGTCCCATTATCCTTACTGGCTGGTACTTCGCCGTTATTGGAAGCCAATGCTCGGTACTTGTGAGAAACCCCACCTGCGATGAAAAGCTGACTGCATAAGACTGACTTCGATACCATCTTAGCTTTGGCCTGGTTCTGCTATGATTTCGTTACTTACCCGTTCGGTTTGTTCTCCTCAACTATCGTTGAACAGTTCAATCCCAATAATACGACTGTCCAAAACATTGGATATGGGGTAAGCTAGTCACGATCTGAGAATAAGATCAGTCTGCTAACGTCCTCTGTGTTTTTCTCAGACGGTCATCAACTCCTTCTATCTCCCTGGCTGTATTCTGGGAGGCTATCTGATGGATCGGATTGGCCGTAAACAAACCATGACTCTCGGCTTCATGCTTTGGGCTATATGGGGCTTTGTTCTGGGAGGTGCCTTGCACCTTATTCAAAGCGTCTTCCCCTTGTTCGTTGTCATGTATGGCATCTTCCAAGCCCTTGGGGGAGATGGGACCCGGTGTTGCCACTTTCCTGTGTGCGGCTGAATCATTCCCTACGCCCCTCCGAGGCCATTTCCTCGGCTTTGCAGCTGCAGTGGGAAAGGCCGGTGCTTCAATCGGCACCCAAGTCTTCACACCGATTCAGAATTCATTTTCATCTACCGAGAAGGGTCAACAAGCCGTGTTTCTAATCGGAGCGGCTTTCACCGTGGTGGGAGGCCTGATCGCGTGGTTTTTGATTCCCGACATGTCCCGCGAGCTGGAGACCGAGGACGCTCGCTTCAGGGCCTACCTCCAGGAGAATGGTTACGACATCGATCTCTACGGAGAAGCTCTTGTAGTTAATCGTGTTGCTTAATGCAGACACCAAGAAGCGAAGTGGATGACATGTAACTTTAAATCACCAAAATTATTGATTGAATGGAGTCGAGAACTTGCATAAAACTGCAGAAATTCAAAGGACCAAGCTTTTTCCGATCTGATTAACAGACAAATTTCTGGTTGCTAAATATGCGCTAATGCTGTGGTTCCTGACGAGATAGCGATTGATGGCCGTTGTTGCCAGACCCATTGATTGAGCTTAGGAACCCATACCCTACGCTATACCTTTCCGCTCTCTTCCCTCAGATACTCCTATTTCCCTAATAGCTAAGTCAATATATATTTATTTGACCATTCACTATAATATCACTCCGATTTCTACGTACTGATCTTATAAATCTTAATCATCGGACTTGGGGAAGTCTTGAAGGAAATGCATTCGGCTAAGACTTCTAAGCTACAGTGACCAATTCGCTACAAAAGCATTGTGATATCTTGTCTCACTGAAAAGTCATAGTGAAATTACCCGATAACCTTCCTTTTTGCCGTCGTGCATAGCTGCGGGGAATTATGATCACCCAAAACGCGATCTGGAGTATTTGACGCTGTTGAGTTCCCCGCTTTCTGCTTCCCCACCTCACCCTCCACCCTCCTAGGACACTGGGGGTCTTCACGGATAATCCACGTTGTGGTGGACCTGGATTACTGCCAAGAGGAGATGATCTGCAATGTGCACACACAAACTGCGATGTCCAAATACCACGGTAACGTTGACTTGGGGGCAATAAGCGTTTAGCCTTGTGCGATTCGCAACCGAACTCGTCATGGCAGATTTATCTTTTAGGATATCTTTCCCCTCATTAATGATCAGCGATCTGATATTTAAGTATAAAAGATTCACCTGGTAAACTTTCGTGGTGGAGCCCTGGAGTCTATTCGAAGAATTTCATGTCTCGATCCTCGGGTGTTTGAATCGATGCTAAAGATGAGATCTCTCACGGTATACTTTAGAGTGGTTGCATTATCCTTCCTCTGGACTAATGGCCTACTCTGCGAGGGGACTGAATTTGTGGATAATGCATGGAACTATCGCACATGGCCAAATGCAATCCAATCGCGCGACCGTGAATCTTCGGGGAAGACTGCATTTCTGAACAGTCTAGTTGCAAATCTCACCATTCCAGAACTAGGTATCTTTCATCTGCGACATTACATCCAGTTAAAAGTAATCTCACAACAGACTTGTAGTGCTACAGATGCATCTTATGTTTGCCGATAACATCATCGGGCCGTATTCTGACAATTCCTTCTATGGTATCCCTTCTCGAGTTGGCGGTGAAATCGCCAAGCTAGAAGAGCTATTCTAACAATTTGACACTAGACCAAGCATTGCAGGCGGCTCCTGGCGCCTCTATCGGAATTATCCATGACTGGTATCCGACCAATAAGTCACAGTACAATGACATGCAAAAATTGAACTTCGAAAAGTCCAGAGCCAAGATTCCATTCATGCAAACAGGAGAATGCCTTCATGGTGTGGGGTCATTCAAACAATCCATGTTTCCACAGGCAATTGGTATGGCAGCGTCCTTTGACTCGAATCTTGTCTACAGAGTGGGCCGAGCCATTGGCAGTGAAGCACGATCAATCGGCATCCACGCGTGTTTTGCACCTGTTCTTGATCTTGCTAAAGATCCTCGCTGGGGCAGGGTGCAAGGTAAGTCGCCTATTACCAAAGCCAGAATAAGCGAGATTTATCTCACTCGATGATTAGAGGACTGGGGCGAAGATATGGTTCTCACGGCGCATATGGGGGTTGCATTTTCCTCCGGTCTATCCAAGAACAGCAGTTGGGCGGAACCCGATGCAGTAATTCCAGTCATGAAGGTTTGCGCCACACGCTGCAATGTACCCACAAGAGACTGCAAACTGATATTTCTTGTGATCCAGCATTTTGCAGCTCATGGAAGTCCACAAGGTGGCCACAATGCGGCGCCATTTATGGGTTATGGAACACGTCAAGTTCTTCAGGAAATGTTGGTTCCATTTAAGGCCGCTGTAGACCTTGGTGGTGTAAAGGGCGTCATGATGTAAGCCAGAAAATCTGTAGCAGTCTTATGCAGGCCAACTCACCGCTGAAAACAGGGCATATAATGAATTCGATGATGTTCCCTCTTCTGTGAATCCTCTCCTTTATGATGCATTGAATGATTGGGGGTACGATGGTAAGTAGACCACTATCCCCAAAGTGACGACTGGGTCATCACTAATGGAGCTTCAGGCTTCATAACAGCGGATGATACAGGTATGTCATGAATCAATGATTCGAAGGAAGGACTTTCAGCCGTGCAACTCTTACAGGGGAATACACAGGGCTTTCTGAGCTACTCTACACTCATCAAGTGACTAGCTCCATGGCAGATACCATTGCTCAATGGCATAATGCGGGTGGCATGGTTCAATTTTATGATTTTCCTCTCGAGGAGTACATTAATGTTTGCTTCCTTCATCCGTTCGTTTTCTTCGTTCCTTGCCGAGATGCTAACTCATTCAGGCAACTATCGGTTTAGTCTCCAATGGCACGCTCACTCGACGCACCTTGGAAAACCTGGCCAGTCGTGTTTTAGGTGTGAAATACGACCTGGGGTTATTCAGAAATTCCCTTATCCCCAAAGATATCGACTCACACGCGCTCACAATAGCTAACATTCCACTCACCTTGGAGGCTGCCGAAAAAAGCATTATATTGCTCGAAAATAAGGATTCAACCCTGCCCTTACATCCACGCCAACAAGAGCTTTCTCAAATTGCATTGATAGGGCCATTCAGTGATTCATTTAACTATGGTGACTATTCCGGCCAGTGGGGCGGTTATCCCGTCAACAATGCCAGTACCATACGACAAAGTCTCATCGAGCACCTTGCCACTAACTTTCCGGGGACTAAACTGGTCACCGCATGGGGTGCAAACTCTTGGAACTACAACGGACAATACAACATACCCCCATATCTATTATCTGTGAATGGGAGCACTGGTGGCCTATTGGCTACCTACTACGCAGACACCAATTTCACTGATCCAAGATCACAACGACTGGAAACACCGAGTCTAGACTGGGGCCTATATCCCCCAGATGGCCTGCCGTCTAATAACTTCAGCGTTGTCTGGGAGGGCCACATTCACGTACCCGTTGATACAACCACCCATGGTTGGCTGGGAGTCGCTGTCTATGCAAATACATCCGCGAAGCTCTATATTGATGGCGTTCTACATGTAGACATTGAGGCTACAACCAGCGGCAACATTCTATCCAACATTCCCGGGCTGCCATACACTACCATCAATGATACAGCGCCTCCTCCTGGTTCTGCGCCTTTTACATTCAACGTGAACTCGATTCATGAGATTCGCTTGGAGTACCAAGCTTGGAACAATATTCAAAAATTCGAGAACGTGAATTCCCTGAATGCGCAGGTGCTCCTTTTCTGGAACCTGGTGGATCGTGTTGATCCCGTGAAGCAGGTATGCTGATCTTCTGATCCAGACGGGGACTGGGACGCTGATGGAAGCAGGCTGTGGAGTTGGCGAGGGAATCAGACATTGTGATTCTAGCAGTTGGGGCTAATTGGAACAGTGATGGTGAATCAGGCGATCGAGCGACTTTAGGATTGTCACCTGATCAGAGTCGGTTTAAAATGGGATCCCCGATTCGATCGGGGCATTAAAACTGACTCGGTGCTTCTAGCGACACTTGCAGATGCGATTTTTGCTCTAGGGAAGCCCGTCATTATGGTCTTACAAGGCGGCCGTCCATTCGCGATCCCCCAATATTACCAGGAAGCAGCAGCAGTTTTGAACACAGTGAGGAAATTCCCTATGCGTCTAAGAGAACTCCACAGTCCCTAATATTGCCCAGTTCTTTCCCGGACAGTCTGGCGGGCAGGCTATTTCGAACGTCTTATTCGGATTGACGAATCCGGGTGGCCGAGTTCCCCTTAGCGTTCCGTATAGCGTTGGAACTTTACCAGCATTTTATAAGTATGTTCCTCAGCACTCCCAGAATTAACTGCATTCAAAATTGATCCTGTGTTGATACCAAAAGCTATAAACCATCGGTTCCGCGAAACTACACCGATGTCCCTTACAGAGCACTTGTGAGTCAACCACAAATCGCTTGGTCGTACCAGGCTCGTGAAGACTCTGCCACCGTTCTTTACTAACTCAAAAGTTTTTATTGCATCAACAGTATCCTTTTGGGTATGGACTCTCTTATACACGATTCTCGTTGACGGACTTCCATGCATCGACGACTGGTGGGAATGAGTCGAGTATTCGTGAATTTAGCGCGGGCTCAACTATTGTCTTCTCGGTCAAAGTATCCAACACTGGGGAAACAAGAGGTAGTCACGTTCCTCAGATCTACCTACTTGGCCGGGTTTCATCGATTGTGCGACCAGTGAAACAGTTGGTGGCGTTCAGTCGGGTCTACCTCGACGCGGGTGAGTCCAGGACGGTCACGATGGAACTGGAAGTCTCACGCTACCTCGCGATTTTGGACCGGGGTTACAAATGGACAGTGGAGATGGGAGATTACACCTTTGCACTTCTGGAGAACGGTGGTAGCGTAGTCGATACTTCCGTCAACATTACCATGACCTGCGTGGGGTGAATCTCTTTCCCCGGAGATAGTGATGACTAGTAAGATGTCGGGCCTCATTCATTTTCTCGCCCTCTATATCGACAACTCTTTCAATCATTAGGTAGTTGGCACTAGGGTTATGATGACGTCATGAGAATCCTCGTGGCCGCTGGACTAAAATCTCATTAAATCCGGTTGTTTACTCATTTATGATTCGTTATATTTTCTCTGTCAGTTACTGGATCTCTTCCCTTCCGGGCGTTCAGTCATTCATCGATCAGTCATTTACCGATGAAGATGACCCTGGATTGCGGAGATGCGGAAGGTTCTGAGAATGTAAAATATTGTTACTGCAATCATGGTCTGCAAAGATACTATATTGGAGGAGTCAAAAAGTGCCGGTGCCGACGAAGCATACAGCAATTTAAGCCTTGTCGGATTCGCGGCCTTATCGTCCCCTAATTGCCTCGATACGCCGAGTCTGGTATACTTTTGTACCATCGTTGATAGAAATCAACTACTCGCATCGTGAGGGACGAGCGAGACAGCAACGGACAACCGAAATCGGCCAGGGCGCACGCGACCTCGAAGCCTGAGGCTGTAAGGCCTCAACTGGACCCCACGAATAATTTATGGAAAATCACTTCGGAAACATCCTGCCATCTTGTCCACGAGCAGTCCTCGTCATCCCCGATCCTTGGCCCTGTCCTCCCGCCTCAACAAGGAAAACACTTGCAGATTATTGCCCCAGATGATCATCCTCATGGGTCTCGGCGGGCTCCGCTCCACTGGTGACTGGTCCCTGGTTCCGTCGCAGGTCTCCGCCCTTCGGGTCGGCGGGACTCGGTGGGGAGCCGGCTGGACCAGTCCGAAAGGGCATGGCTTTAAAGCTTGCACCTCCCCCAGTTCCCCAGTCAAGGTAGGGGCTCCCGAAGGAGACTCTTGATCCAGTGGCAAATCCCTCGCCTGGCCATGTGCTCGACCATGTTCCGCGGTTGTCACCAACAAGCAACGGGGAAGAACCTCGACTTTCGTTGACAATTTCCATGGAACGCGCCTTCTTGAGAAAGACCCGTTGCAAAAAATAAAGAAAAGAAATAAAATGGTTGGCGCATAGATTGCGACGTCTCGGGGCTCTCCTCGAGTGGTACCACCAAAAAGCGATACGGGCGCATGTCAACAACCCCCCCCCCCAAGAATCAATCCCTCGGGTCTCTTGTTGCCCAAGTGGACCGGCCCCCTCCGTGGGTCAATAATCCGTTCCCCAAAGAGCGAGTGGTATTCAAATAGAATCCCACATCCCCATCTTGGAGGTCCTGGTCGAATTGGAATTTCGTTGGACTGTCGACGTCAATTTATCAAGAGCACAATCATGAATCGCGATGTGGAGAAGCGCGCCGGAGCAACAGACCCGCCTCTCGTCGAAGAGGAAACGGGTGCAGTGCCTGCCTCAAGCTTCGAGTATGGTGATTCGTTGTACGCCAGGCTTCAGCGACTAGGGGGAAAGATCAAAGTCGAGCAGCGAGGCATCGAGCGTGTCCCCGATGACGAGAGAAATGATAGTTCGTACTGGAACATTGGCTCAATGGTACTTCTGCCCTCAATCTTGCTCAGCTAGTCTCTAATCCGGGCCAAAACGATCCCAGTGGCTGGCTGCAAACATGGTAGTCCCCTCATTTACCATCGGCGTCTTGGGGAAGCCCTTATTCGGCATGGGCTTCATTGATTCCGCCCTGGTCATCATCTTTTTCAATTTTATCGGAGTCCTTACCGTCTGTTTCTTCTCCATCTTTGGGGCCGCTTTTGGATTGCGCCAAATGGTCTTGTCCAGATTCTGGTTCGGCTGGTGGGGTGTGAAGCTAAGTATGGCTGACCTCACCAGACATTGTTCTTTTGGAATTGGCTAATCTTCTTGTCTTCTCTCTGATCAGTCGCCATCTTTAACGTGCTAGCTTGCGTTGGATGGGCAGCTGCCAACATCATCGTTGGAGCTCAATTGATCAACGCCGTCAATCCGGATGTTCCAGGGTTTGCTGGAATCTTGATCATCGCGTTTTGCACACTGATTATCGTTTTCTTTGGCTATCGAGTTGTTCATGCCTACGAATACTGGAGCTGGATACCAACTTTCATCGTCTTTCTTGTGGTCCTGGGTGTTCTTGCCCATTCGGGCGATTTCATCAATATTCCCATTGGAGCCGGCAAAGCCGAGCTAGGTGCGGTCCTTTCTTACGGTTCCACAGTGTTCGGCTTCGGCACAGGTTATACAAGCTTCGCTGCAGATTATACAGTCTATCAACCGAGCAATCGCCCCCGCCGTAATGTATTCCTGGCCACCTGGTTAGGAATCTTCCCAACTCTCCTATTCACCGAACTTCTCGGCGCTGCGCTTGCCACCGCAATGGCTCACAATGGTGGTGATAATGCTTATCAGCAGGGATGGGATGAGGCAGGAGTTGGCGGTCTTCTTGGCGCTCTTCTGTTCCCACGGGTCGGAGTGTTTGGCAAGTTTTGCGTCGTGATACTCGCCTTCTCCATCGTGGCCAATAATTGCCCCAACATCTATTCCGTCTCCCTTACACTCATGGTTATGGGACGGTGGACCCGACATGTCCCTCGTTTCGTGTGGACAGTGGTTGCTACCGGAGTTTATATCGCAATTGCTATTCCGGGGTACAGTCAATTCGAAGCAGTGCTGGAGAATTTCATGCATTTCATCGGCTACTGGCTTGCGATCTATGAGGGAATCGCCATCACGGAGCATTTTGTGTTTCGACGAGGGTTCTCTGGCTACCACCCCGAGGACTATGACATGCGAGAGAAACTACCGCCGGGAATTGCGGCTCTTCTCGCATTCTGCTGCGGAATTGTTGGAATGGTGACCGGTATGAGCCAGTCATGGTATGTCGGGCCTATCGCCAGATCAGCTGGGCCAGCCCCAACTGGTGGTGATGTTGGCTTTGAATTGGGGTTTGCGTTCGCAGCGGTCTCGTATGCCATACTCAGGACCATTGAACTGAAGGTTTTCAAAAGATAAGATCTTCCATTGTGATACGGACGCCGAAAACCTGCTTCATAAATCGCGGCAATTCCTTGCAGCCTTCGGTTTCATATGTCACGGTAAGAAGTACGTGGCCCAATGCGGCACTCAAGATTCAACCGAGCTTCCATAGTATTTCAATATGACAGTCCTGTAATAATTTAAACAAAATATTCTTCTCTGAGCATTGCTCGATAGAGTGAATATGCATAACTAAACAGCGTATTCGGCTTCATGAGGTATGGCAGTAACCTCCATGCGGGACAGGTCGACCAGGATTGAATTGAAGGGGGTTCAACCTGATGTGGGGACGGGCCAATGAGATTCTAGAATCAGCAGAAAGTGGGGACGCTCGCCTATGGTACTATACGAATAAACAACTGGTTTAACGTCTCATCTCACCCTACACATCATCTTCCATGTCCTGAAACATTGGAAATGATGATGCCATTAATCAAGTTAATAGTTATGTTTGATCAAATGATTCATAACACTTACGACACAAGGATCTCTGTCATTAGATAGAAAGTTTGAAAGTACACGAGTATCTGGGCCGCCTCGGGCGCTCATGCTCAAAATATATGATGAAGAAAACTGGGATTTACCATTTGATGTTACCCCCTCTCCTGGCAGTGAGCCATAGCTGGAGATACCTCTCCCGGATACAAATGAAGCCACTTATCGTACGGTTATCAGAAAGAAGCAATGCTTTTCAACCTTCCTTTTATCGGTTTATTAGACTCCATGGAGCTGCCGGGCAGGGTGCCGTTCTTTCACTTCACGTTTCGCTGTTGAATGTGTAACCAATCTTTGAGAGCATATTATGTTTGTCCATTGTAACCAATCTTACAATCTTTTGTAAATCGTTTCCGTAACATGGTATGGCTTTCATGTCATTGTTGCGACTGGACGAGCTTCAAAATTCTCAACGTTCGGCCGAATTCACGCCTCTAGCTAGGATGCCATACCAACAGATTCTGACTGCAATCAGACATTCCCTCTGCTGGACGTCGGCTTTCCAAGACATATATGAGTTCTTGTATGGCGGCTAAGATAAGAAGATGACAGAACAGCTGAGAGCCCCTACTAAACCACTTGTTGCACTTATAACGACTAAGTGACCGACTGTTAGCAGTCGATTGGAAAAAATGACAAAAAAATGATTGATACGCGTTCTGATTGAGAGCCGCGGCATTAATAGTCTCCCAGAAGCGAAAGTATGTATTAAGACTAACGCTAAAGATATTCTCCGCTCTTCCGGCGTTCGACACTTGATTTCTATCCAGGCATTATGGATTGGGTAATAGCCCACAGCGAATCCAGTCACGGCAGTCCGTATTCGAAGCTTGCACCAGTTACTAGCATACCGTTGCACTCCCCTCAACACAATGATCGCAATCAGATACGCCGTGATAGCGACCATGACGGCGATCCCACCATTTTTTGTTTTGTCACTAATCCAAGCAAAGACAAGACCACTGGTAACGTCAGAATGCCCCTGATGGCAGCGAGAGCATTTGTTTGAACCCGTGAATAGCTGAGCGAATGCTAATACTCGGCGTGCATGTCATTAGTGGACTCCAAGCCGCGAAGACACAAGGAGTGGTGTGAGAAATGAGGCCATTTAAGGATATCAGTTATTAACCTCCATTGACCCTCAACCAGTGGTAATTGTCAATATGCATGTTTAATTGACCATCCAGTACTTGTTTCAGTCTCCTCGTCGGCTACAAGATTATAGGACGTCCTCTGTGGGAGAAAGGTCGTCTGCCTGCCAAGCCACCCGTTATTGCACGGGAAGGATCTATGCGGTCCAAACGATAAGTGGAAAAGCCAATGAGTAGAAGAGTAAGACATGGAAGTCAGCACTGACGTATTGTTAATCATGGCCATTGCACTGGAGCCAGATAAGCATGAGTCTCCGCTTGTATACATCCCAAGTGACTGAGCCGCAGTTCTGTGTTGCTTCTCGTGACTTTCATTGTGACCCTGAAGATTTGCGAATTACGCCTTGATAATGATGATTGTTTGTGATGATATTTTTATAAAGGACACGTTAGTTGTAGTGCAGTGCAATCTTATTTCTCAGAGACCTTAGGTAGACTGAGCAGAAGCCCCCCTGCACCTGGGAACCGCATCTAGACCCAATCTATTTGCCCCATCAAGACGCACTGAACTTCTGACTTTTACTTTCCATTCAAAATGATAGAAGACTATCCAGACGTGCTCATACGAACATTCAAGTTACCCGAAAGCCGCACAAGGAGTGCGTATTATTGATATGTCCACGGATCTGTTGACGGATACCGTTACGAAGGTTTCCGAAAGCCCCGTATTATGTGTCGAAACAGGAACCGACAAGTGAAGCCCGGAAATTTGGCTAGCTGAACGAAGCTGAGACATAGTTTATGCTTTATAGGTTTTGTACACATCCTGCGGCTTGGGTAAAGCTTGTGATTTACATAGGTTTTGACTTGCGCAAAGGAAACTCTTGACGAAATTTGATATTTGTAACTGATATTAGCAAGTTTCAGGATGGCCTAGTCGATCTCGATGCACACCTGGAGCCGCCATTGAATAAATAAAAAATGGAAAGGGAATCAAGTGGGCTTCTGGGTGGTGGCCAGAAAATCGACCGGGACTCAGGCCCAGCCGGCGCTGATCACCCAACTAACATCATCATTGAATGAGGCGGTAGCATCGAAAGTATCGACACCTCCATTGCTTGCGACGTAGAGCACGTTGTTGTAGTGTCGGAAGTAGCGGGTAGGATAGCTCCATGACCGAAGCGAGTTGCCTTGGCCGTTGAGGCCAGACTGCGTGCAGAACGTGGCGTCCTCATAGAACTGTTTCGTGCCATCGTTCGCGTTAAGAAGGAGCCCAAAGTCGTAGTGCCTGATATAGCTACCGGGGGTATCAACTGATTCGAATGAGAAGCATGCGCTGTTGCCAAGGCCTGTGCGAACTGTCCAGCTAGCCTGCTGTTTCAGGGTTGTAGAGCTGGACGACGAGACAACTTGAGTGTTAACAGTGGTGCCGTTGTATGCAATGTAGCGTGTCGTGTAGCCAGGTGTGGTGGCTTGCAGCGAAATTGAGGAACCGACCGTCAGTGCAGGACCGCTAGTCAGCGAACCCGCGGCGTAATTGGCAGCAACAATATTAGCCTGCACCGAGTTTTCTGTCGCATCAGACGGATAGCCAGAGGTCATTACGCCCTCGTAGAATGTACCCTGGGCACCGTTGCTATTATCACCGCCAATACCCAGAATAATGGCTCCTTCTTTGCTCATCGGGTTATAGCCAGATACACTCGGGCGTGCACCACTATAGTAAGTTGACAGGGAGCCAGAGACCGCGTTTCCGCCGCGGATTGCCCATTGGTTTGATTCTCCCTTGACGATAGCACTGAGGAAACGGTAGCTGATAGATGGGTCAGCGGCGTTGTTTCCCGAGCTCGACCCGGAGAACAGGCCGTTCTCAAGATCTGCCATGACCCATGGTCCACTTCCAGACCCAGTACCCCAGACGGTGTTGTCACCAAAGTAGATGGCCTCCATATGGCCGTTGCCCGTGTCCCTGCTGCTGGTTTCGGCATTGCCATAATCAAAGCAGCAATCACCATTGTAATGAGTGCCATCGAGCACCGCATACATGCCCTCTGCTGCGTCGCCTGTGGCTGTGCCGCTGGCAGCGTTATTTCTGTAACCCGTGCCGGGGGAGATAAAGACTCCATAAGCTTTTTGACCATTCAGAGTTACAGGCGCACCAATGGCGCTCGCCAGATTATCGTATCCGTTAGTGTCTGGGCCGTTGAAGCCTCCCGGTGGAGCCTGCGTGAGGTGATTTCCGTGGCCAGACTGGTCATAAATGATGGTGATGAGGCAGGTTGTGTTTGCACAGAAGGTATCTTGAGCGGCAGCATTCGCGACACCGCCTGCGGAAAGTGGGGAGATAGTAGTCGTAGCACCATCAGAGCCGCGTTTAATTTGATACAGTGCACCACTGAATGAGCTATACAATGCACGAGTGGTGCTATGCGCAGCGACGCAGGGTGTACCTCCGGATGAGTAGATATCGCAGGGCCCAGCGAACACGAGGGATCCCTTCATAACAAGCCCTAATGCAATCACCCACGCATGGTCGAAACTAAGTCGTGGAAACATATTCACTGTAAGGTTATCAACACCCGATGATCGTCGAGAAATTGGTCAGGGGGTCTTTGAGGAAGAACAAGTATGTTGTAGAACGTCACCACACGCATCCTCACGCCGACCTTTATGTAGTTTTTGGACCTTTCAATATTTTCCCATTTGTCCCAATTTCGGACAGAAGAAAGAATCCTTGAATTACATGTTGTCAATTTCCCTCCAATTAATATAGATCTAGTTTATTGTCAGCTGGTTAATATCAGCTAAGTCGGGCTACCAGACATCCGTATGAAACCCGTATTTAGCCTTGGATTTAAGCGAGCTCGGAATGTTTTCTTTTCTCTCTCTGGGTTGAAAAGTACTCCCATATCGCTAATGCAGAATCGGAAATGGATCTAAGAGGTTTATTTGGTCTCTAAATTGACGTTTATTCTTGAACAATGTCAAATGAGGTCTCGAAAATATAAACCTGTCTACTCATCAAACATAGGTTCCATTCAAAGAAAGCAATGCAGAAGACCTTGCACGGACTTACGACCCGTAAACAAAAAGAGGGTACATGGAGCTTCACGAGATAGGCTAGTAGCGGGTTTATACTTAAAAAGGATAGATTTAAGTAGCAGAACAGACCCAAATTTCAAGAGAGGGCTAACAGTGGCTCAACTTAATGATTCTCCGTGCCGTGTGGATAAGACCCCACAAAGATTCATAGTCTTGCGGGGCACGCTAGGAGGCGTGAGGAGCGCGGGGGAAAACTTTCGCACTAACTTGTGCCTCCCACACGAAGTCCGCAGAATCGCGTCCACTTGCAGACCCTGTTGAATTATCCTGGCTCCGGATAATAGAAAAGGGGTCAGTTCAAAGTTTGGAGACTAAACACTGGAAAATATGAGTCAGACCGCAGACGTCTCCGACACTAGGGACCTATTCTAGAACTAGCCGTATGCCAGGTCACGAGGTGGAGTTGATGTAACGCTGGAGCATAAATGGAGCATTGATGGAGCATAGATTAGCATAAGGTTTCGGAACCATCCTTCTATCTCGGGTACCTCTCCATATCGGATGGGCCTGAGACCTGACGAATCTTGGGCACTAAACCCCCGGTGGGAGCACGCAAAGCTGACGGCGCCTGTGCCACCGGAGTTTTCCCATTTTCCTAACGCGGAGACTGAATTAACCGAACCTTTGCATGCGAAGCTAGGGATCAGCAACTGCCGCGTACACACCCCACAATCATTGCAACAGCAACTGAAAAGACTAACCAATATAGGATTGTTGCGCCCAAGCTGTTCAGGGTTTAAATCCACTTACAGGGGTTCAGGGAAGAATAAAAGACCGGGAGATTGTCTTAGAAACGTGGGGCCCCGCACAACAGAATCGTACCCATCGAAATAAGTTAAGGATACCTCTTACAACCCCCCTCCCCCAACACCACTAACCACTAGGCATTGTACAGAAAACTTCAGCTCATGGGCTCAACTGTAACTTAGTGATAGCGATGATCCTCGCAGGGAAGGCAGTTCAGGTTTCTCCTTTACTGAATGAATTCTCTGATATACTGCGGGTCCACTGTGATAGATTTAGAGAGATCCTTGTAGTCTGCTTTCTGATGAATAACAATAACACTTTCTCACAAGGCTTCCAGGGGCAAAGAACTGGCCTCATATATGGGGATATATTCGATATCTGCCATCGTTAGACTAGCTACACAACTGTTGCCCCATCAAAAATCGTACGAAGGATTCCCTAGCGTAAGTTGGCAAAAGCCTGCACACGAGAATAAGGCCAATGAATATATCTTCGAGGAATATGGTGCGAAGGTCAGCCCGACTTTGAAACAACACATGGGATTTCACATCTTGAAATTTATTTTCGACCTTGACTCAAGTGTACCAATTGTTGGTTCTGAGTGTTGGAGGCTTTAGTTCATCATTGATCACCCTAACTGTAAACTAATTGAACCGAAACTAAGCAATTTCCCCGAATGCCTCTCCCTTGCCCTAGGCCTTAGTTAGCCAGCAAGTAGGAAAGTGGGTTTAGACACTGATTCTACCCGCCTGTAAATAAGCTTGAAACGCTCTAGCTGGTAATTATAGATTCGAAAGAAGAATGAGCCAAACTGGATTAGCAAGATCATTATTTTTCAAGCGTACCTTTTGCAGAAGTTTGGATCCTCCGTCCCATATGAAGAAAGCGATAAATGACAGACAGAGGCTGGGAATTGATCAGGATCAAGCTGGCTGATGACGATTAGATGGGCGACTAGATTAACGGATGCAGCATAACGTCGGTCACGTACCAAGCACTTCACTGATATTGATCACTTTCACCGAGTGATGTAGATAGCGAGTTGTGTTGGTTAATGAAAACCCTTGAAACCTAGTAGGATCGCACAAAAAATAGCGCGAAGAGAGACTGTGTATTTGCCTAGCAGGTCCGTTATATGTATCAGTTCTTTTATTGTGGCCTGAATAGAGGGAAATGCTAAACGTCCCCGATATTACGTATTCATCAATTTGATTCTTATCGAGAATCTTTATCAAGGTGCAAGATACCGGAAACAGTTAGCACTGTCTGTATAAGCTATTTGTACTCTAGCATTGGAGAATGGAAAGATATGAGGCCACCAAAATCACCGGGGCGCTGGGTCTCACTGACTATTTATATTTTTTATCACCGCGCCATTCCAGGCTTGGCCGATGGATTATGACAGGAATCCATGGCGATCTCATCCCGCGGATAGTCTATTTCTTGGCATACAGTGGATTGGGGGCCTACCGTTCAGCTATAATCCTTTATGGTCCGTGGATTGAGGAAGCATGTCTGTGATTACCAGAATACTAGAAGTATAAGCTAGTATTGGCGGGTGGTTTCCTATTCTATTCTTAATATTCTTGCACTCGCTCCAGAAGATAGGGCCGGAAACACCCTGTTGTAATACATTGCGAGTGCAAGGGACTGCTTGGGGAAAAGCGAGGGAGTGTGACCGAATGAGTTGTGAACTGAAAATAAGTAAAAGTATCAAATTGCATATCATCAGGTTGGTATTATAGAGAAGTTCAAACAACCCAAAAACTTTCCTGGTCCTATCGCCGGTATATCAATGACCATCATAGGGAACTCCACCACTGGTTGGGTTGCTCGGCGAAAGTATGAAGCTTATATGCATCTCAACGGATTGTACCATTTGGAGTTGACACTAATTATTATTTGTAGACTTCTGTGTTATCCACATTGTATTTTTCATTCTGGTTATCATCGCTGTTGGATTGCGCCCCCGCGATTTTGCGGAGAACACAATCAAGATTACCATTTTTATCGCCTCCCTATGGGTCGTTGACCGTGTCCTTCGTTTAACCAAAACATGCTGGAACTTCGCTGCAAACTTGGCAATTCTTACTCCAATAGCTGACGGAGCTGCACGAGTCAAAATTTAGCGCAACCTCCCCTGTCGCCCCGGGTCGCACTCTTTCCTGTGGATTCCATCTATTCACCTTGTCGAGACTCACCTCTTCACAATTCTGTCAAACTGCCCGACTGAGTTCCTAAGTCGGGAGTATGATGGTTTCACGTGCGCTCTTGGCAATGCTACCCGAGAAAATCCTGGCAAAGCCTTGCGGTGCTCTGTGGACGGACCGGTTTTCCTTTGATTCGATTGAAAAGTCATGAATTGTATTCATTACCTATAGTTACAGAACGCCTTTGCACTATTGGAACAGGAATTCGCCTACATGCATGCAATAAGGCCTTATGATAAACGTTTTGATATGGTAGAATAAATTCCCAGTCTGGACATAGCATTCAAATCCAACCATTCTAGCGCCAGGTCTTGGGTTTGATAAACAGAGCATCTGACTGAATATAACCGAGGACAATTACCTCTAGATTCTAAGTAAGGGGAAAGTTTAGCAAAACCTACAGCTAGATGAAAAACAATTCTATAGAGGTGTTACCCGCTAGAATAGGTAATAGTATGCTCTAAAGAGCGAGGTAGCAAAGACTCTAGGGGCGTCTACTCCGTTTAAGGCACTGCCCCCTATACCTAATAGCTTCAAGAAAAAGATGTCTGGAGAAGAACGATGAAGTCTTCTCTATCAACAGAAATTCTAGGAACAGGAAAAGAAATCTTGCCATTTTTTCCAGCATTTTGAATTATTTCCGACAGTTTCATACCGAAACGGCCCAGGGGGTTAGAGGTTCTGTCTGATAGCTAACACACTCTCCCTTTGATGGGGGTTTGCAGTATCTTATGCAGGGCAGTTAACTATACCCATTTCCTAGAGATCTGTAAATCGGTTTATCGTTTGCTCGAAATCTCCAACTTCAGTTCAACTCTGAGGCAAGCTTGAACAGGATAGCGTCAAAAGAGTCTCGTCTCATCACAGCGCCGAATCTAGATATTCCCATCATCTTGTTATCAATACAGGCAATCTTCCACTTGATTGAACGAACATACCCGTAGCATTTAATAATTTTCAACAGCGATGCTTTAACCCCGCCCAGCTTACCTTGGTCTAGTCTATGTGCCCACGGTTGTTGGAGTATATAGATCCAAGCCTGAGTCGGACTAATTTCGTCCGCACAAATAAGCTGTTCGGATAATGCTAAAAGTCTAGAAAATATGAGGGTCGGGTTGTCACACAAGGAGGCATTATTCTCCAGTATCAGCGGGATGCATTGATGGTGGCGGTGGTGTGGATAAATAAGAGCCGAGGATGCAAGCAGGGAATGGCCATTTGGTTTATCTGTGAGCGGATTCAAATGTGGGAGACATGGACTCTCAAGCCTAATCAAACGGGTCTTAGAGCTAAGAACAACACGCAGTGATAGACTGCACATATCGGAAGTGATACGTACGCTAGAACAAACTCCATGCCTGCGGCAATCATATCTAGACCTCTTGACTTGTCGGAGGTTACGTTCGAAAGGTTCAGAATGGTGCTTGTGTCGGAGAAAAGGGCTAGGTGGTGAGAGTCCATGAAACCAGGTGGTTTCGACGATAGAATGGGCAAAATGTCAAAGTTAGTATTCAGGCTCGATTGATGCGTCGATGATTCCCCACGGTGCGGATTCAAGCAAGTAGTATGGCCATCATTTTCAGATATCTTTAATCTATCATTCGGAATGTCGAAGTGAGACAACTCTTGCATGTCTGGAGTCGACTGGAGTGCTTCCAATTGATTTCGAAGGTCTTGAATTTGAAGTGTTAAGTTGGTTTCACTTGCGCGTAAACGTAGGAAATCACTCTCGAGAGTTTTGAAATATTGATTCTTGCGCTCTCGATGTGTGCTACTTTCATATTAGCTTTGGGTTGCTATTGTCTACTACAAGGAACTGTGATGCATTCCTACCGCTGAGCTTTGCGGAGTTGTTCTTTCCTTCTTTTGAGGGCTGAGCTGGTATCAGCCACGGGTACTGGAAGGGTATGAATTGCTTGCTCACCTGACTGAGAATCTTGCGTATCTGTTCGAAGGCCAGGAAGAAAAGTAAATGCCTTTTTCATTTTGGGTACAATAGAGGATAGTGGAAAGTCTATGAAGAGCCTGGCATCACATCATCCAAGTCAATCAGGTCGGTGCACAGGAGATTGGTGACGTTTGATAAGGAATCGCAATGAAACCGAAGTGAGGATGAAATTCCCCCTTGATCATGAATCAAGGGATTAGTGAACTTAATTAACTCGTAAATCATGCGGACGGAATTTATCGGAAGATTGCTTTTCCGTAAACCACAAATACCTAGAAGCGGACTGTTGACAAAATCACTTTCACCTATTTAGGGCTAGTCTAAACTCTAAATAACTAACAAGACCCCGTTTTCTACACCAAGAATCAAGATTCGGCGTACTTACATCCAAAATGGTTCGATCCTAGTGCGAGACCCCCTATATGTGTGTATCAAGTGTTGACTTAAGCATTCTTCCTCGTTTAGGCTAGCCTGGGTTATTTAAAAGCCAAGACTGTCGGTGGGTGGAACCTCCCCGAAGGGTGGTGCATTGTTGACCTGAACATGATTTCCTAAATCGGTGGACTGGGTCGTCTTTTCCTTCGGGTTTTTTTACTGACATCTTCAGGGAATGATTTAAAAAGGAGTTAGGGGCAGTAAATATTTCAACATTGATCAGCTTAACATCTTCTTCCTGTCTGTTCCTATTTCACTGCCCCTGGTCTGCTTGTCCCAACAGGATGCATTTTTCTATTCCCGTCAGCACAGGAATAATGCTTCTTGCAAGCTTTATCAATGCTAGTACGATCACGTGTCCTAGTGGTCCCGGCGGGAAAGCGCTCTATCTCCAAACAAATGAACAGCAAAACTCCATGATTTCTATCCCAATCGGAAATGATGGCAAGCTCTATGGTGGAATTGCTACCTTGACCGGCGGCCTAGGCGGTGATAGTATCGATAAGATGACGCATATGCCTGCTGGCCCTGATGCTCTTTCATCCCAAGGCTCCGTCTTTGCCATCGATGATGTGAGTGCTTTTGTAATGTCTTTAGTGCAGTCTCAGGCTCACGCCGGCTTTGTAGCTCGTCTTCGTGGTGAACGCAGGATCTAATACCTTGAGTATGTTCAAGGTGAACAAATTCAACCCAACAAAAGTCTTAATGGCGGGGCAGCCAGTGGAGATTCCCGGCGAATTTCCCGTGACTGTCACAGCCTCGACGAAGCGAAAAACGGTTTGCGTGGGGTACACTGGGGCCAAAGCTGGCGTTTCCTGCACACAATTCACAGTAGCAGGTCTACAGAGGATGGAAGAAGTACTTCAGCTCAATCTTAACCAAACCACACCTCCTGTGGGGCCAACAAATACAGTCGCACAAGTTTTCTTTGCTGCAAACGACACACGGCTAATCACAACCGTGAAAGGGGACCCAACTTCTGGCAAAACAGGGTTTGTTTCTGTTCTGCCATTCAAAGATTCGTCTTCGTCGGTATTTGAAAGCCATGACATTCGAAGCTCGCCACCTGGTACGACAGTGCTATTTGGTGGTGTGGAGATTCCCGGCACGTCAGACCTGTTCATCACGGACGCGTCTTTCGGAGCCGCTGTCCTAAGTCTAAATGATGATACCAATGAAATCTCTCTTAAGCAGAAGATAACCATTGAAAATCAGAAAGCTACTTGTTGGGCTGCTTATTCTCGGGCACGAGACAGCGTCTTTGTAACCGATGCAGCGTTCAACAGACTGGTCGAAGTCAGCAATGATGGTTCGAAGATCTTGACAACTGTGGAACTGAAGAATGGCGACCCTGGTCTCATCGATCTCAAAATTAACGACCGCTTTGTCTACGCCCTTTCCCCCGGAAATGATACTACTGTCGCTGCAATCACGGTGTTTGACTCTTTCCAGGGCTGGCAGATCCAACATTTTGAGCTGGACAACTTGGGCGCGGGTCAGCGGTCGCAAGGTTTAGCAGTTTCCTGAGGAAGGAGTCGTTATGTGAGAGTGTTGCGGGTGAAAGATGTTCGGGCTGGTTGAAACAGTTCCATTAATACTGGGTTTGAAATATTTGTGTCATTCCAAGGCTTCTCAGCCAAGTGCAAAAGCACCTACGGTAGAATCGCATACGCAGGGCGAATTCCCTATTTAGGCAGATCGACCGACTACTAGGGCTCTGCTGATGTGTAGTGGGTGTAGGGAGATTGGCCACAAGATCAATTCATGTAAAAATTCCTATTTTTAGCTGAATTAATGGGTGTTGGTTAAGATAATCAATGTTGAAATTTTCGAATGGAGTAGGGTGGCCAGGTCGGCTGGGAATTACATCAAGTGTTCAGGGAAGAGGACACGACGGAATCAAAGACCATGCCCGTATTTTCCCCCACACATCGAAAGTTGAAGCTGGACCCACAAGCTGAACACGGCCAGCTTTGTCAGTTCAGTGCCAACCTTGTGGTACAATCCGTTTAATAAGTTTCCCGACACGCGCTAAAATTTTAGCGCGTTTTCATAAAACGCGTTCAACCACCTATTTTATATACAACCATGGTTCGCTGTTTTGGCACCGAAATCAGTGGTAATCGCAGATTAAAGGCTGAACTATCAACTGAGTAGCGATCGGCTATAATTATAGCTCTAGAGGATAGAGGATCGCCTACCGCGCTCGCTGCCTAATTCGGCTGCGCACGTAGTATAATCTATAATACCTTAAAGCGATTTCAGCAACACTAATCGACCGAATCCCTACCTCGCAGCGGTCGGCCTAGCTTAATTAGCTATCGGGCTAAGCGGTTTGCTCGCCGAAATCCTTAGTAGAGCTATATCACCCTTATATCGTAATTATCTTAACCTCTATCAAAATTAACGATTCGATCGATTCTACTAGGATACGGTCTCTACTAGGATACGATCTTTATAAACGCCGTGCGAGGAAGCGAATCTCTTTGTCTGTTCTTAGTGCACGAAAGCGATATCGATCTGCTTTAAAATATCGAGGATTTCGCGCGTGGGATACGTGGATCTTTTCTAATAAATACTCCGTTTAAAGATACTCTAAATTAACCGGTTCTAGTGGCGAATATATCTAGCGATTTTGGTCTAAAGTATATAGGCGTGATCTAGTGGACCTAATCCCTTATATACGCGATATTTCGTAGATAGTATAGGGTGCTATATAGCATGGTAGTCGATCTGAATTAGTGATTATAGAACGCGATAAAGAAGTATCTCGGCAAGGATATATAGCGAATTCCTATATCGCTACGCTCAACGAGGGTCTTATACCGATCTATATACCTAGAACTATCGTTTAACAAGATAACGTATCGATTTATATATCTAATATAGTGAAAGATTGGTTTAAAACGTATAAAATTGAAGTACCCGATTAGCCTGTATACTCGCCTGATATGAACCTGATTGAACTAGTCTAGCGTATGTTAAAAATCAAATTATTTAGTATGTTTCTAGAGCTAATTAGTATAGGAAAATCTAAGGAGGATTGGTAGTCTTTTATAGAGTGTCTGAAAGCTGCTTGGAATGTATTAGATCAGGGAATCTTAGTATGCCTAGGCGTATAGCTGCATTACGTAGAGTAAAGGGGTGGTATACTAAATATTAGCTAATTCTAGTAAAATCGATTGAATTTGCTATATTTCGATTGTACTATTATAGGGATTAACTAGGTGGTTGATGTAGAAATGTATATTTGAGGATATAATATAGAAAGTGGTGAAATTATATAATCGCGAGTGTAGGGAAACTTATTAATAGGGGGTATACCCCCTCATCTTAACGCCTAATTTACGATACTATAGGAATTATAGAAATAAGATAAGATATATTTTAGAATATAGAGAAGTTAAGCTATCTAGATATAATAAAATTATAGTATAATATTAAAGTTCTAGATGTACCTGAATACTATGATTTACTACATAGCTTTAGGCTGCCGTCTATACCCGAGATATAAGTCAAGCTATACGTTTTACTTATCTATAGAGGCTAGAACAGTCAGTGTCAACTATATGAGCCTATCTAGTATATTCGACTTACTATTTAGGGGTTTTAAAATCTAATGGAATTAGAAGAGAAGGAATTGACTATAGCCTGGACAACTATTTAGAAACAAAGTCGGTGCTCGTGAGAGTTAGTAACAAGTCTTAAGTACCGTCGCTAGATTATGAGATGAAACTGGTTAACTCTGCTATGTTTATTCCAGTCCTGGAGAAAAGGCCACAAACATGAAGTCTTGATTTATTGATCGTATCTGTGGATTTCTGTTCGTATTTTTGTGGCAAAGCAAACTAGATAGAGCGAAAAGCGCAGGTTTCACTCAGAAAAGAGCTGAGGACTATCTTATGTTATATGAAAAGAATATATTCAATTATCAGTGGAGGGAACCCGAACAACCAGGTACATTCCTATATAATAACAAATCGTATCCAAAATATTTGGCATAAAGGCGTAATATTTTCAGAACTGTCTTTCTGATGTTTATTGCGAATCGTCTGGGTATGTTTCCATTGGAGTGCTGGGAGGAGATTGACATGGCAAATTTCTCAAATAAGCGCCGAAAAATATCAGTAGCAGAACAGGAATGAGTAATGCTACCACAATGACTGCGAATATAAGCCAGGCATTTTGAATACCAACCTTTTCAGTAAGAGGGAGTCTATTGAACAAATAAGTTGTATGGACATCGAGTGGAATGGGAGTATACTCACGCATAAAATGATACCAAGCAAGAAAAAACTTGACGGAAGACGTTCAGGACTGTTGACACTTCAGCACTTTGTGATTTATAACACTATGAAAATTAGGTTAGAATTTGCGCTCAAGTAGCAGAAATAGGGTACCACCTACATCAGTGGCGTAAGCGTAAATAGTTGTTGTGGCAACCTGGAGACCCATATTGGACAATCCCATACCAAATGCGCTACCAACCCAGCTAACTGTCTCATAGTGAGTAAGAAGACACACACCCTCCACAATGATGCCAATGGGGACAAGTATTGCTCCCCAGATAGCGGTCAACCGTGCTTCAGGGAGGCGATCACCGTCGTGTCTCTTGGCATATCGATTCGATAACCAATCTGTTACCCATCCGGCACCGCATTCTCCGATAATTCCACCCACTAGAAGGGGTATACTAAGCATTAGGCCAGTTTGAGGGGCGTTGAAACCATAGAGCTTGGTGAAGAATTCGGCGCCGGTGAGGGCGATGAGAACAGTGCCATAGCCAAAACATGCTATATATAACGCGCTCGGAAAAAGGACAGCCACACATTTCAGCATTGCAAAGGGTCTAGTGAAATCCCGCAAATGCGGTCGACGAGCTGGCACATTACTGTGCCGAAATGTGGGATTTTCGATATAGGATTGTTCTTGATGATAATCAGGTGCGGATTTCGGAGCAAATAGCATCTCTGGAAGACAAAATATCGTGATAATGAATGTTCCAAGCTAGACATAGCCTGGAATATAAAAACAGGCTCGCCAGCCAAATGACCTGGCAGCAAATCCTCCAGTAATCGGGGCAATCTAGAGGCCGAGAATTGTTAATTCATATTCAAGTTCCGGCAGTAGGGCTATTTCGTACATGTGAACCATTTGTCAAACAAACGGTGTAAATACCCATATAAACACCGCGCTGGTGCATGAAGTGAAGGTCGCAGATTGTTGCTGCCCCCACAGCCACAACCGATCCCGCTGCTAAGCCATTTAATGCACGAGGGACCATTATTCCTACCCATGTGTTGCAGTAACCGGCACTGATGTTTGTTATAGCAGCAACCAAGTTACCCACAAGGTAGACAGGTCGCCGGCCATATCCACTGGCCAAGGGAATGGCAGCCAACGGTCCAACACCAGCAAAGAGGAGAAAGAGAGTAAGCTCTGTTGTGAGGAAAGTGAACGTAAGCAAAATCGAATTCACGAAAGCGGCAGGAACTCCAAAAAGCAAAAGGTACTTACTGTAGCTGACTTCTAGAATACTCAGTTGGAAGTGTTCACTCATGACAACAAAGGCCGGGTTTGGTGCTGCGGCCCCTAAAGGCCCTAGGAAGGCGAGCCAACTAACTTGCAGTGTAACACCCAATTTGAGCGCTGGGTGCCAGTTCTATTCGTTGTGAGTATCAACGGTAATGGAAAAAGTAGGCAATGCAGGCGAGTACCAATGGGTCGTCTTTGTGGGATGAGGGCTGTGGCACAAGAGGAAGCCCGTGACGGTCATAGCGAATTGATGTGTCGCAAGAGGGCTCAATTCGATCGACAGGTTTGGGCAGTATGGTTTCGCAATGAGAAAGTTCCGACTTTTCCGGGTCCATAGCAATAGAGTAGGACATAGTGTCGGGCAGGAAGGTTGCAGCAAAAGCCATCAAGCGGCTGGCGAAGAATGGTTTATTTAAACCACATCAAGGAGAAGATTCCGCGTCGTCGGGTGTGAACACCGTGGAGGCTAGAAGTGATATGAGCTGAAGACAAATGTCTATAGTTGAGCAGGCCGGGGAGTTGAGGGGAATTACTTGGGACTTGTGGGTCTGACTTATAGCCAATGATAATAAAGATGCGGGATACAGCTGCTCGCCTGTTCCGCGAATTGCCTAAAAAGCTTGGCGCAAACGTGCCGCCGATGCGGGGAACTTGGACCTTGGGCTTCTCACATCTCCCCTTAGGATCATTGATTTACACAATTCTATCTGCAATGAGACAAATGCTTGTTGATGTGCCGATATGGTTAGAGAAGTGACCAGTGCGACCAAGGGGCGCCAGAATCGGGTTCCCATCTCCTGCTTCAGCTGTAGAACTCTGAAGACTAAATGTGATGGCACACGGCCAGTATGCTCTACGTGTGCTCACAGCGGACGCCAATGTACCTTCGTTGCGCAAGGTATATCGAGGGGTGCTGGCAGCATGATATTGGTCAAGGAAGAGTAAGAATCATTTCCCAAAGACTCCCGAAGACATAACTAAAGCAATGGGCATTACAGCTATCTACGCACATTGGAGAAACGAGTTGAATCGCTCGAGAGAGTGGCATTTCCTTCTGCTTCTAATGCAGCAGTAGCGTCGGGACCTTCTTTCGCTAGTCAAGATCGACATGCGTCTGTTCAGACTTGCTCTCCATCCTCGACAGTCGCTGCGCCTCCTAATACAAACTCTTCATCGACCTCAGTGGTGATCGATGCCAATGTATCAATCGGAGGTGTCTCATTTACACAGGCGATTTTGAACAGCCTCCACGGTAATAATTCTCTAGAGGCGCAATCAATGATGGCTAGCGGCGAGACCCGCACGAAACAATCCTTGCTGACATTGGAGGATCTATATGCCCTGCCGAACAATACATCAGAGACTTTGGATCGATATTTCGCTCTTCGAAACATACTTACGCCTTTATTTCATGAACCTACTGCGAGACCAATGCTGAATGCTGCACTGCGTTGCTCAGCTGAAGAGAAATATCTGCATCGGTCCTCATTTATCCTCCTAAATATGATCCTTGCACTTTGTACTTCCCACTGGCTGCGTGACGTCGATGAGAATGCTCTGACAGCAAGAAAACACTATGATATTGCGATGACGCTTCTGCAGCCTACCATTTTGCGTGATTGGTCCTTGGAACATGTCCAAGCACTGCTTCTAGGTGCTAAATATCTCCAAGGCACCACATGCGGCGATGAATGCTGGAATATCCTTGGTCTGGCTATTCGAATCGGCCATGGCTTGAGTCTACACCAAGAGCCACCTCAGTCGGACGCGCCACCGTTGCGTGAAACAAAACGCAGAGTCTGGTACTCTGCCTACATGCTTGACATGCATTGGACTATGGTATACGAGCGTCCACCAGCTACCAGATTTTCCGAATTCTCCGTCTGTATGCCTGAAGATCTTGATGATGTCTGTATCCAGGCAGACAGAGTCCTCTGTCCGACACCCAGGCAGCCATCATCCATTTCCTTTCTGATTCAGAACGTCAAGTTGTATCGTATAGTCGAGAAGGCTTTACGCCGCATAGCAGACTGCGGACTCGAACGCAGAGAAACGGCAGAGTTGGTGACGTCTCTTGATGAAGACTACCAGACATGGCTCCGAGAGCGTCCAGCACATCTCATTCTTGATCTTCAGGATCCCCAGGAGCCGGTATGGATTCTTGCCTTGCGGAGTAATATGGTTTGCATCTTGATTCATCGACAGTCACTGAAGGTGAGTTTACATGAGAGAGACGAATCTGGGCCAATTGAGGAGTCCATGGTCAATCATATTTTACATTCGAGTCAGAGGATTTGCGTGAATGCTGCGATGGATTCTATTAATCTCGTCGCTCTAAGACATGAGCAAACAAAGGAAACAATGGGCCTTGACTGGTTCAATGTCTACTACTGTACGTTGGCTCAGCAACTGCTATGATACTCAGTAGCTCTAACCAGTCTCCCCAGTATTCAATGCCGCGACAACTTTGGTCTCTTATATAATCAATCCGCTTTACACCCCTGATCCACCTATCCTCGAGAAGATGGACAAGGCACTGCATATGATTAAGTCAATGTCGAAAAATCACTCTTTCGCAAAGCGGGCACATTCTTTTCTCCAGCAACTCATCAGGTACATGCATCAACAACTGGGCCCTCGGGAAAGAAGGTCAGAGAATTCAGTTCTTCCCGAATGTGTATTGAACACGCAGGCAATGGAAACGGAACCATCAGAAGCTACAAGGGCCTCTGTGTCCTCTGATTTTCACGCATTGTTCGGCTTTGCGCAGGAACTCACGGACAATTTGGAGACACAGCTAGGGGATTTCGACTCTCGGGGCTTGTCCGAGTCCATGTGGACGTTTACCGAAGAAGCGATATTTGATGGCGTCCTATAACGTAATTCCCAGCCGATCTGGACACCCGGCCGTCCTGGACACCCCAAAACATCATACAAAATACAATTTCTTAGGTCACAGTATATCAACAACGAGAAGATGGTTTTGTTCGATTTTTTGTAGTATCGCATTTCTGAGCTTTAGAAATAGCATGGCATAACTAAGGTATGCGAAAAATTATTATTTACTCACATTACCAAAAATACGCTCTGGTCTACTGATGCCGATATATATCTTAATGGTGTGAAGCCTTAAAATTCTTACTAACCTGATAAATATCTTTAGAGAGACATCTAGTGATAGGATAAACTTAGACCTAATGCTAAGCCTTGAGTGTTGAAAAATCAAGTCGTAAAATATCGCATTTACTATGGTGTTTTGGGTGTCCAGGACGGCCGGGTGTCCAGATCGGCTGGGAATTACGTTAGAGTTTGTGTAAAGTAATTCTGAATGGGCGGTCGCACTTGGTCCAACTTACTATTTCCCTTCGAAGCCGTTATCCGGATTAACTGAGCAATGCGCTAGATCCTTTTGGAGTATTCTATCGGCCCTTGTCAATATCAAGAATTGGATTCAATTTCTATTCACATCTCTCTGGTTGACAAAGCAGTGCAATATATTTCGGAATTTTTCCGCGCTCTTATAAGGCCCGGGAAGTTAAGAAAGGCAACTGGCCCCGCCGGGGAGATTAGCGCGTGTTTTGCTTAACCTCAAAAAATGTTTCGATTCGACGGATAAACTATTCGTATGGCCTCCTTGCAAGGTTCCTCATAGCACAGTCCAACATAACATTTCCAGCTTATTTCAGCATGTTTCGCATCGCTATCGTCGGTGGCGGCATTGGGGGCTTATTCGCAGCTTTATCCATTAAGCACCACTGTGGACTCAACGACATCCACATCGACATCTATGAACAAGCTCCTGAATATCGAGAAATTGGTGCCGGAGTGGGAATGTGACCTAATGCTGCTGAGCTTGTGAGAAAGCTGGGGCTCTTGGAAGAGGCTCTGAAGATCGCAGGTGACCGACAAGGCGTCTGGCTTTCTTTTCGTCGATATGACACAGGTTCGGAGGTTCATACAGTCAGGACACCAACAGAAGGTAATACAGCACCGTTACCGATGCATCGCGCGGAATTCCTGGAGATTCTCATCCAGGCTATTGAAAGCCGAGACGCGGCAACTTTGCATACGAACAAGCATTGCCAGACGCTCGAGGTACTGTTGATAGTCTTCTTACTATGCGTGTCCTATTTATGAATTATCAATTTGGTTCAATTGCTGATTATAAAGGTATAGGATCACGGGCACAAAATGTCAATAACATTCAAAGATGGAACAATAACGGCAGCAGACCTAGTAATTGGCGCAGATGGCATCCACTCAGCTGTGCGCTCGCATTATGTGGTATGTATTTCTCTCACCTTAAAACTTGATGACATAACATATCTATTAACTATTCTGATAGAATGACAGCGCCCAGTATGGCGGAATGGTAGTCTATAGAGGCCTTTGCGACATCGACAAGATCAGGAACGCGTGGACACTTCCAACGTTTTCTGCACTCTTTATGGCTCCTGGAAAGCACTTTCTTACGTTCCCTATTAGCAACAGCAAAATCCTCAATGTGGTTGGGTTTGTGACTACTCCATGGGAAAAGCTCGAGAATACAACAGAAAGCTGGACACTCGCAAGTGAGAAAGCGGTAGTTAAAGAAGAATTCAAGGATTTCACTGCAGCAGTACAGGCAGTCACTGAGAATATGGATACCAATCCATTGAAATGGATTCTTTTTGGCCGAAAGTCGAGCCCGGAATGGATCTTTTCGGGAGGCAAGGTGGCTCTGCTTTGCGATGCAGCGCATGCAATGTGTCCCCATCAAGGTTAGTTAAGGTCTCCTTAAATCAGTATATACGACAGACTACTGATTAGCTATAGCTAGAGCTTACCCGATGGCCCGAGTATATCCGAGGGCATAGATTCTTTGAAGTTACGGAACTCATATTCGTACTGGATCCCGTGACGGAGCCAGTTCTTATAGCCGTGGAGCTTAGCGTGAAAAGACTGATCTAGCGAGCGTTCGACTCGATCTCGTCCTTCACGATACATAGTACTATCGGCAGAACTTTTCGATATGGTTCGTGCTAAATCTAGCTTTCTACAGCAACGAACGATCAAGAGGAACGCCGCGCCATACCCGCTACATACGGCGCGATTCCGTCTTTTCCCTTTCAAAAGTCCAGAATCCTCCTAGAAGGCTGCCCGGCTTGGATGTTTCAGCCCGTTTTCTGCTATTCAGGCTAGAAAGCTACTAAGAACGCCTTAGCGGAAACAGCCGTCGGTATGATTCAGATTTCAATTTCGAGGCTAAACCCGATCCTGAACCTGAATCTGACCTGCCAAGTGCTGATAGGATCGTGATATTACGGGCGGCAGACTCGTACTTACGGATGAGCCTGTACGAAGTAGGAATAGTACGTAGTAGAAAAGAGATGGCGAGATGTGCAAGGAGCTAAGTTGGGAAGATGGGGAAGAGATCTAACTAGGCTATCTACCATGCAAACTAGTCAAACAGAACCATGAGGCAATAATGTAACTACTAGTGGAGAGTCGCACTATTCATAGTTATTGACTTCCCCCTTAATTTAAAATATATGCAACCGTAGCATTATCAGTGCCTTCGCGCACCCAAAGCGGGAAGCGCTTTGGGTGCGCCCGGTGTTATGACCTTTCCGGCTTCCTGACCTTTTCGTTTTTTGTATGGCCTCACCATACAAAAGGTACGTACAGTGCCAGGCAGTGCCAGGCAAGAAGTTTGCACACACCCTTAGTAGATTACATAATTTTCTGCCAGCAAAATATTAATTAAAATAATAAAAATCAATAGTCTGATATATCCGCATAGACTAGTAGGTGGTATACCACCCCTTTGACTCGATAATTGCCTGCACACGATTGCACATACTCATATTAAGCTTTCGCAAGATATCTGGGTCTATCTGGGACCAAGTATATTGCGCTGCGCTAATAAGATATATACGCGTTTCTTCATTATTAGGTATATCGTAGAGCTTAGGGAATAGCTCTAGTAACTTACGCTTTAATAACCCCCAAAGACTTTTAATTGGATTTAGATCTGGCGAATGTGGCGGCTACTGCATAACTTCTACGCCTATATCTCCTAGGAGATTGCGTACTATATACGCAGTATGTGTTAATGTATTATTATGCATAAAAATCGTATTAGATCGATTCGATAGAATCGATAGAAGATAGGTTGCATAGGTTGATCGCACAACTACTAACGTTATACCACCACGCAGTGAATCAGGGTCTCCGTCTATTAGAATTAGGCTAGTTCGTCTAGTATCGCCATTAAAACATGCCCAAAACATCTAGCGAATCTGTTTCCTATAAGGTTTTATTTGAATCTCGCCCTGGCGAGCTTAATGAATAGGTCGTACGAAGGTCCACTGAGCGCCTGCTCCAGAACCACGCTCAATTGATGTTTCATCGGAGAAATATACGCGTGACCAATCTTCTAGTGTAAAATCGCGATATCGCTCGGCCTATGCAAGGCGATTTATTACGTCGTTGCCGTTTAATTGAGGTCGTGTAATCTTACGCCACTTGCGTAGACCAAATTCTTTTAGTAGGTTTCGTAGGGTACGCTCGCAGATTTTATGATCGACTAAATCGAGCAGCTCATAGTATCGGCAGCTAGGATTTCGCTGAATATAATCATAAATCATATCGCGTTCCTCTACGGAAAGATTTCGTGGCCGACCAAATCGCTTGCATGTCTCGTTTTCTTTGCCGCGAATAACCTCACGTTTGCAGGTTGATATAATCGTGCTTCGTGGGATATGGGGGAAATGGCTAGCGATTTCACCGTAGGTAAGCTTCGCATCAGTACGAAGACTGCAGATTCGCGATCGTGTAGAGGGTGATAGTTCTAGCCCCCTGCCCATATTGATTAGTGGTGGGGTAGTTGAATAGGGTAGTTGAATAGGGTAGTTGAATAGGGTAGTTGAATAGGGTAGTTGAATAGGGTAGTTGAATAGGGTAGTTGAATAGGGTAGTTGAATAGGGTAGTTGAATAGGGTAGTTGAATAGGGTAGTTGAATAGGGTAGTTGAATAGGGTAGTTGAATAGGGTAGTTGAATAGGGTAGTTGAATAGGGTAGTTGAATAGGGTAGTTGAATAGGGTAGTTGAATAGGGTAGTTGAATAGGGTAGTTGAATAGGGTAGTTGAATAGGGTAGTTGAATAGGGTAGTTGAATAGGGTAGCTAACTTACCTAGTTGCTATTTATTTTGATAGCTGTTTGATGTTTATTTTGATGATTGGTATGATGGTTGATAGGGGGTAGGTATGTGGTTGAAAATAGCAGGCGGTAGACTAGGCGGAAGGAGGGGTGTGTGCAAAGTTCTTGCCTGGCACTGTACCTCCCCTTCTAGGTTTTTTTCTAATATCTCTATAGGGACGAAGTTTTTCCCTGTTATTACGATCGATAGAGATAGTAACCTATTTATTTTAGCGATTTCTCCTTTCTAATATCGAGTTTATATAAAAAAAATGTCGATTAATCGCCTAGTTAAATTTTCCCTAAGAAAAATTATCTATGAGGAAATTTTAAACTATTTAAAATCTACTATTATAAAGGTAAAAGTTCTTAAAGTCTCTTATATTAAGTATAATTTACCCTAAATTACTATAACGTTATATAAATCCTAGACCTCTTCTAGTAAAATTCGAAGATATTCGAGAAAAACGAAACAGAGGAGGTACGTACCTTTTGTATGGTGAGGCCATACAAAAAACGAAAAGGTCAGGAAACCGGAAAGGTCATAACACCGGGCGCACCCAAACCGCTTCTCGGTTTGGGTGCGCGAAGGAACTGATACATTACGGCCGTTAATGCGGGGTAGGGTCGGCATTGACTTGCCGTGTTGATAGCTAGTAGCATCTGACATTCACGCGAAAAGATATCTTTAGTATGTCGATTCTTTTAATAAAGCAGGGAGGCTACGCGAATATAAAGTCTAGGTTAGTGATCCCCTTATCGTCACCCGACTCATTACTTCTATAACAAAATGAAGTATAGTATCACTGTTTTACTTAGCGTGGCCTTGGCCAGCCTTAGCACAGCTTGCTCAACGCCGGGAAACTTCATTATCACCTTCTACGGCTACCCAGACAATTCTCCTCCTGGTCCCGATACCGCCCATAATTGTGGAGGCCGAAACTACAAGGCTGGAGGTATGACGGCTCTCCAACGCATATTAGTTTCCTCGACTCATGTTAATAATAATAGGCTCCGGCACCTATAATAACCCAGTCACGATCGCCACTGCGCCTGGCGAGCTCAACGTCTGCGAGATTGTCTATCTTCCGCTTCTCACCAAGTACGGCCGTTACGAGGACGACTGTGCCCAGTGCAGTGAGTACACAGTTCATTCTATGCTCTAAAAACTCTATTTCTCACTGGTCTGAAGCAACCGACTATAAGAACGGCCAACATCATATCGATATCTGGACCGGGTCATCTACCACCAACGGCGGCCAGAAGCAGATCAACTGTGAAGACGACCTCACCCCAGGTGGTCGCTATTCTATCGTGCGCAATCCGCCGACGAATTACACTGTCAACGGTGGGTCTTTTTCAGTCTATCGACATTTTTAATTCCACGCTAACTCATTCTAGCTGCTCCTCTGTTTGTGGCCCCCAACACCTGCAATTCTCAGAACGTCCACCCCAACAACCGAGCCCATTGCTAGACAATCGACGAGGTAGAATACGTGGTATAAAGAAAACAGCATCTTTGATTATGTTATGCAATTTCAGGTATCCTATACTGTCAGCCTGTGTGTGTGCGATTCCCCGCACTAGTTAACTAACTTATCAATCTCTTGTTCTTGCTTACTAAGCATCTTTACTGCCAAGAAACACTCTTGTTTACCCCTCTCTGATCTACCAATTTGATCCTCAACGATCTCGTCAATGCTGCCTATCTAGGCTGGAGAATACTCAACACTCCTAAGTGACCTCCGATGTTCTTGATTTCTTCATGTGATATTTACTATGTACCTCGTGTTATACATTCTGCCTTATTTCCTATCTAAATTAAACAAGTTTGATATCTCTTTTATCACGGGTAGAACTACCGGGCATACTTGACTATCGGAATCAACCTTCTACTGCTTGATTCTTCTGTCTAATCAGCGGATTGTGTTCTATCCTGATTAGTCACTCTTCTATAATAGTGGTACTACGATTAGTGCGCACTGTCTCTTTATTGCGGTCTTATGCACCAGACGTATTAAATCCATCAGTTATAAGCCCAAGCCTCTACTAAGGCTTCTACTTCTTACTTTCATTTTATCTATGTCTTACTTTTATCTTAGAAGTAATAGATTTATCTAATCTATATGCTACCTAGCTTAATTATCCCCTTAAATACCACGCGTATTTATAAGCAAGCTTGTGTGCTACGTAGGTAGAAAAGAAGAAGATTAAATAAGATAGATCGATCTTCTTCCTTGATTGAATAGGGAGGATAAAATTAATTTAGCTTGGAATTATAAAGATAAGATAATAGAAAAGTAAGGTAGGACTAAAGCTGGGTTAATTATATTAAATCTCTTTACTATATATTGAACATGATTATGATCTTGCTAGAGAAAGCAGGGTATATTTATAATTAACATTTTATATAAACTTATCAAAACTATTTCTTCCATATGATCGTTCTAGGTAGGTCTAAATACATTCTAGATATATAGTAATCTTATATAGTAGCTGTTTGATTGGTAGTTACTTGATTATACGATGTAATTAACCGTAGTGATGATATACGTCTCCAAATGCAAGCAAGTGAAAGACTGCTGTCCTTTTATTGCATCCTAGGTAATAAAATATATAAGGAGTAATATAAGGATAGACTAGCAAAATATAAGAGGAATAATAACAGAGGATAGTATTTATAAAAAAGCAGATAATAAATAAATTGTCACTAAGGAGAGAAAGACTTTATAAGGGCTGTCTCTCTTAAATAACAGGTATTCGCAGGACAGAATATTCGCAAGCATGACAGGAAGTTCTGCGAATCATGTCGCTCCATCCTTACAAAGCGTCCCCTTGGTCCTATTGATGTACCCTTCTGCTATAGCGCCAATTGTTGCACGTGTACCCCATGTCTACAAGCACTGGGAGTACCATGGATTGGAATACTTACAGGTGCTAGATACACAGCATTGAGCACCGGTCCAGCCTGTGCCACCACATTGGCCGTAGAGCTGAGAGCAGTTGCCAGAGGTAGGGCTCGACGACTGTGTCGAAGTTGTAGATGTGCTTGACGTGCTTGAAGAGCTCGAACCTGAACCACTACCAGCCTCGGAGACGGTGATATCGGCAGAACCAGAGCTGCCGAAACCCTCGGTAGAGACGATCTGATAAACGGCGCTGCTAAGCGGGTTGTGGGTCATGCCCTGAGACTGGTAGTAATTGTAGTGGTTTGCCATTGTAACAGTGCCGGAGGACCGCTTGTTCTGGCGGACGGACCAGTTCTGGAGGTAGTTGTTGCCACGGTCGACTAGGCAGACTTGGTACTCGCTCCCATCGCTGTAAAGACTGCCCTTGTTCGTGCCATCAGAACACGGATTGTAGTTGCCGTAGTCCTCGAGAATCTATCCTGGGTCAGATTGCAGTCGCATATCATTGCGTCAGTCCGCAGAGAGGACCTACATAGTTCTCGCCTTGGGATGACCAAGTGTATACAGCAAGGTAGAAGTTGCCCCCACAGTTGATGCTACCAGAGAAGTTGATATTCCTGGGCTCAGCCTGTGACCAGCCCTTACCTGCGGTGAAATCACCAACATTCTGCCAGTTCACAGAGTATTCGCCGGTAGGCCCATTTGTGTAGGTGGTAGTGCCACTGGAGCCATCATCCCCTCAACGTTGGGTTAGCCCTAAGATTTTTGAGGATTAAGAACTAATGCTGGCCTTGTACATACAGAATTGGTAGAAGTAGCCGTTGTTCGTGCCTGATGAGTTGGGGGTATTGCGCTTGGTAAGCGCGGCGGGTGCTGCCGCAGGTCTGGCGAGGACGCCAACCGCAACCGTAGCAGCAACGAAAGCAGTGGTGAAAGAGAACATAATGTCTGAATAAAGGTTTCCTCAATAAACAATGCTGTGAAAGGAAATTGTGTTTAAAGAGCAAAAGTGGTATACTTGAAAGGCATAAGAACGAAGTTGCTGAACTTATCTTATATATTGGTTTTTGTGGTCAACACTAGTTATATAGCCGAAACAAACAAATAGCCTTTAATTGAAAATAATATATATTTTTGTTTTAGCTTGTATAACTATTTAGTAAATTGTAACAAGCGCTGCATGGCTGTCTAAACAGCCTAAAGTAGCCTCCAGGGCAGGGGGCTCCACAGGGCTTCTAGAAGGCTTCCTACCAGCTGTAGATAGCTTCCCTCGTATCTTACCCTTACGAACCTGAACTTGCTGAGCAGTATGATGTATGACGCTAAGCTTTCCGTACGGAAAGCATGTGACCTGGTAAAGAGCTGCTAGATACCTGTTTCTATATGGTAAGAGGTTTGCCCCTGAGTACCTATATTTTATAGATAAGTCTTCTGGTCAAGGATCAGACAGACTCTTACACAAGTCAATACAACAATCCAAAAATTACTGGATCACACGATGCAGATGTGGAAAAGCTTAAAATCGGATAAATGGGATATGCTTGCCGAGGATCCGAACAAAAACAGCAACACATCTCTCTATATCCCAGCTAGCGCCTGGATACCCCGCATGTAAACAGAGCTTCCCCATTAACACCCCAGCCCCGGCTGCACACTTAGCGTGTCTGTGGTATGTATAGTGCGAGGGGGGCGGTTAATTGATCTAAATCCCTCACACCGGATATTGTCAAAGTTCTCCGCGATAATAGGGACTAAAAATCGCTAGGATTAGAATTAAAAACAAAGACTATTCGATTCTGATTAGTGCCTATACTGTATATTAAGACACTAGTAAACAGTACATGGCTAAACTCACTGTTCAGAGCTTCATACATATATGGAGCAAATCTTGGCATTTTCTGGTGACCTCTTTGTTGGAATATCTACCGCCATTATAATCGACAAATTCTATAGTTCCCCATGTCCTTATGCACTTGCATAGTTGAGAGGCACAGCTGACAAAGCTTTGTAATATAGGGTATAGTCGCACAGCAACTATATTATATATTCTGGAGGCTCGCGTCAACTCCACCGGCATATATGTCCTTAGCACAATTTTCGGCAGCGGATCCAGCAATATATGTACCTTATTCTAATCCAAGATACTCTACACGATTCAACTTGTGGATGGTTATGTTATTGGTGTTACATTATATAGGGATAATAACATATACATCTATATCGACCTTTACTAAACCATAGAGGTATAACGTAATCCACAAGCGAGCCGCCACCACAAGCGAGTCGCCACCCAAATCATAATCGCGTCCACTCGGTGGATTCTCTCTAATCCAACCCCCTACAATGCCACCAAAACGGCTCAGAAGCTTTTTAAATTCAATATAGCAGGAGGATAGGGTCTAATTAGCGATCCAGGCCCTTTAAAACCAGGAGATTCATACAATTACTAGTGCTGCACGCGTTTTTAATGTTCCCTAATCTATGCTTCGCAACCGACTACGCGGTCGCTCTTTTCGACAAGACTAACACGCAAATAGCCATAAATTAACCAAAACCGAAGAGGATATACTTCTAAACTGGATTCTATCTATAGATCAGCGCGGCGGAGCTCCCCGGCCAGGTATAGTAGATGAAATACTGAATATTCTTCTTATGAAGTGGGGTGGGCAGGCTATAGGAATTAACTAAGTTTAGAACTTTATAAAGTATCGTCCTGAGCTAAAAACTTAATTTTCACGAAAATACGATTACTGACGTGCGAAATGTGAAGATATAGAGATAATTTAAGAGTAGTTTAACTGTGTATAGTGTACAATCATAGAATATAGGATCTTGTTGGATGATATCTATAACTTTGATAAGACTAGCTTTGTAATAGGCTTGATCGCAACTGTAAAAGTGATTACATGGGCTAATTATTATAGTTAGTAAAAGCTTTTATAGCCTGGAAATTATGAATGGATAACCGCAATTGACTGTATAAATACTATAGGTAAGGTTTTATTACTATACATTATCTTCAAGAGTAACACCTATTATAAAGCGTAGTTTGGTAATATCTTATATACCTTCAACAGTCAGAATCTCCCGCAAGTCACGATCGCAGATTTGGCGAGGCCAAAGAGCGTGGCTGAACGGGTATAATAAGAGTCAGTCGCTCTACGGAGTACATTATAAACAATAAGTTGGCTGATTGGTGAATCCTCTCACCTCCACGCAGCACGCGGTGGCTATTGCACACTTTACCGAGGTTGGTTGGTTGGTTGATGTCATTTACCCTGACCCCTCGCTATGACAAGCGATATACGGGCTACCTTAACTATATATACATCCGCGTACGTACATGTAGGATTTTTCCACTTCCTGAAAACGAACTTAGAGCCTGGTTGAGACCTGTCGTAGCCTAATTGCCGCTCCCATTGTTAGGCTGCCCTCGTGGCGCGCGACTTCGGAATCTCTATGACGCCTCGGCGAAGTCTAAGACGGCGTTGATCGTCTTGGCCCGCGAGACGGTGTCTGGTTTACCTTTCTTACCTTCAGTTGAGCCACCTAGTAGACTCGATATA